CTTTGGGAAAAGGTACCTTTCTTAGAAGGTACCCGACAAAAGAAAGGTGCCTGTTAGGAAAGGCACCTGTGTAGAGCAAGGTGCCTCCTTAGAAGGGCACCTATGGGAATCGGTACCTGCAATAAGTGTGGCACCTCTTACAGGACGCACACGTGATTGGATTAGTAGGAATAGTGAGAATAGTTAGAGAGTCTGCTATTCCAACTATTCCCTTTAGCACGACGCCACTATATAAGTAGATAGATAGTTCTTAGATAGGAGCTTCGTGCTCAACTCAATATAGTATTCTGTTATATACTGTAACGTGTTTTACGAAAGCCTTTGTGTCTGATCCCCTGCCTCCTCTGTTAAGTAAACCAACGCAACGAAACCTCTGTGAGTCTTATAGTTTAAGACCCAGCGTTACAATTATATAGTACTATACTTACTAGGCCCTCTAGTAACCTTTCTACTAGTTTTAAACCTATAGATAGTACTTCTTATATACCTTATCCTAACTATATAATAGAATCTTTACTTCATTTATAATAATTATACTAGGCCTAACATTACTTATCTAGTCCCCTAGTAAGTCCTAATAGTTCTTACTATAAAGACTGTTTAGATTATTAGTTGTTCCCTTCCCTTAAGGGGTGTGTAATATAGCATAATAGCCATTAAATAGTGTATATTTAACAGAATTAATAATAATAAAAAGACCAAGTTACTTAACAATTCAAGACATATCCTTAGGAATTCAACTCCTCCTTACCCTCCTCTAGCGCCTTAATCTTCTGCTCTAACGCCAGTCGCTCCCCCTTCGTAAACGCATCCTCGCCCGCAATATCATTTATCTGGTCATCATTCATCTTTGAGGTGAACGATAGCTTGATGACCTTAATCGGGCTATTCTCTCCCGTAAGGAGATAATCGTCCATACCTTGCGCAATCACAGTGTCCACGAACCGCCTCATTGCAACCTTGTAGTATGCGTGCAGGACGTCGTGGTGATCCTGAACTACATTCTCTTCGTTGCTGTTTGACATTGCGAGGGCAGCGGCGGAGACCTCGATGGCTTTAACGGGTATATAATCCCCTCCTTTCGATTTTGTAGTCGGAATTGCTGAATTGTTGGTGGCTTTGACTAGGCGGGCATATCGCATCTCGTTCAGCGCGGTGCTGTAGCTCTCGTTCTTGGTGAGGAGAGTGCCGCGGTGCTCGACCTTGAGGATGTACTCGACGTGTTTAATGGCGGAGCTGTACTTTGCAACGAGGTCGTCCATAAAAAATGAGAGTAGCGCGTTTCGCACCTTGCTCTCTGGGCAGACAATGCTTAAGAGACGACAGATAAAATCGTGTACGTACACAATGATATCGTTTATGAAGGATAACGTGATACCACCCCAATTGCTCGATTGTTTTTGCCAAAGCACAGGCAGGATTCTGAGATCTATCGCTGGTAGGCCGTAACCTCTCGATTCCAGGTACTGACGTCTAATCCAGTCGAGAATGTTGGTTTTGTCTGCGTCTAATATGTTGAAGCTTTGGCTAAGAACATTGTCAAGTTCAGGGAAAACCCGACCTATGGGTTTCGGTGTTGCTATATTTGATATTAGTAGTTTCTCTAAATAATTGTTGTAAGGAGTTCAAACGTTCAACTTCATATCCCTTGCCACTTTCATTTTCGTCTGTCGCACTTTCATTTTCAGAGGCGATACTTATTGCTTCATCCGCATCCTCATCCTCATCATTGCCACTGCCATTGCCCTCGTCGTTGTCGAACTTGTAAGTGTGCCCCTTCGTTCTAATCTCTTTCTCAAATAGATCGTATCGATTCACTATTAGCGTTGGCAATCGGAGACATTTGTCGTTTTGAAAGATTTCATCTCGATAATCGGCGTCCAGTGCGAGCTTGGATAGATCTTTAAACTTCGCTGCAATTTCCTCAAGGTAAACTCTCTGTTGCTGAGGTGTCGCTCGCTCTGTGCCAATCATGGCTAGCTGTTTCTTTGCCAGGATCAGGTCTTGCGCAAGTTGACTTTTGATCTTAGGGAACTCTTTTTTGACCATGTCGGTCAACAGAACTGTTAGTCGTTTTTTCAGTTCGTCAACTCCAACCCGACTCTTTGGAAGTGCTGACCAAAGCTTCTTGTTGAAGAATTCTTGCTCCTTAGTTCTACGAGAGAGGGAGTCGTTCCGCCCATTCAAGCCTTTCTGAGCATCCAAGTCTTTCTGTGAAAGATTCCGAAGCACATGGTATCCATGTGTAAGCTTGTGCTGCTTCCCATTTATGAGATCAAACACTCTCCCTTCTTCGCCATCACCGACTATATCAGGCTTTGTTAAGCTAGTAAATATTGTTAAAGATGTTCCATGATTTTAGTAAACCATTACTTACATGCCTAATGTCCGAAGACCTTTAGGATCCGCTTTTTTAGCTATCTAATATAGTGTTAGCATAGTTGAATTTCAAAGACATAACACCTTCGCCTTGCTTACTGAAAGTATTTCCTGGGTAGCGACGTCATTATTTATACCAATGACTGCTAGGATAATTGTTCTCTCATCCTTGATCCAATAGTTGACCATTTCCTTCACCATTGCCATGTCTTTGGACGTAGTAGTCCCTTTCGTCTCAGTTCTGAAGATCCCTGGAATATCGATAATGCTCAGGTTGTCACGGCCTGGACCGCAAAGCTCTACCTTGAAGACGTCTTCACTGAAAGTAGGCTTGCTCTTACTACCATCGACATCAAACAGCTCTTCTGGTTTAGGAACACCCATAGCGTCACAGGCCTAGAAAACGTTATGAATATATCTGTATGCAGGAGTTCTAGACACTAACTTCGTTCAAAATTGATAAGAAGTTACCGCCATCAAGGACAGTCAACTCTCTCTTAAAATCCTGCAATTGCTCCTTTTCCTCATCGGACCTTGACGGACCAGGGATGATTGAAACGGTAATTCTTGGTTTTGAGGCACTTTGAAAGGTAATATTAGTAGCAAACCTAGTGCAAAGTGTGCCACTTCGAGGAAGCGGCAATTCCATCACTGCTTCTAGCACAGAGCTCTTGCCGCTCGATTGGTCGCCAACCACAACAAGCTGAGGAAGTGATACAAACTCATGAACTCCTAATTCTCGAAGCTTGTCAATTTTTTGCAAGAGATCTTTGTCGGAGAGCTCGGCATGGACTCCTAATTCTCGAAGCCTGTCGATTTTTGGCAAGAGATCTTGGTCCGAGAGCTGGGAATGCATTCCATCGATTGGTTCCATCTGGGGAATCGCGTCAAAGTACATTGTATTCGAACGGCTGGAATCTCCCATGGCGATATAATGATTATCCAATGTTTCAGATTATAGGACCAAAAATGGAAAACTGATAGGTGCAAAATGCCGTCTGAAGGAAGTCGAGTCTTGATTCACTAGTCGTATAGGAACAGAGAGTTTTTGAGAAAATAATAGAGGTATGAGCTAAATCGTCTTGACGAGGCGTCTTGATAGAAAAAGGACAATAGAAATAGACACGCTGGCATCGTCTTATACCATTCCAGACCTTATCCTTGGATTACAACTTCAAACATTCCATACCCTGCGCGTACATCAGGGGCACATGAAAGATCCCCCCGAAGTCACGCTAGAGGAGCAAGTTCTGGATTCAGCGACATCGCCGTCCCTTCTCACAGCATTACCTGCAGCCTTGTACAGAATATCAGACGACTAATAAAGGGACGGGGTCGCACAGCGCGTAAATAACAGCCAGAACAGTGCATACTGCATACGAGCCCTTGCAAACACAGTTGGGATTTGGGGATTTGTCGGGGATTCCGGGAAATACGCCCGTGCTTGGGTGTCCCTGCGGGCGCGCCGTGTGAGACATTGGCTCAGTTGATGAGAAAAGCTGTCAGAACTCAGGGTCTTGGCCGTGCCCCAGAAATCCCATAAGTAGCCAAGTAGAACCATTAGATAGTTAATTAATTTAATTGATCTATATACTATTTTTCTGTTTTGACCGTTGTGATACCAGTCGGCGCCGCTTGCACTTTTGGGAGCCGTGAGAATAACACACGTTTTGGGTGTAGATTACTGGAATCCCAGCTTTCTCCCTACAAAGACTTGGCCCCAACAACCAGGAAGCGAAATGAGCAAGGACTCTACCACACGTCAGCCTCCCATCATCAATCCCCAGCGATGAAGACCGTGGTTGTTTCATAATGTTTCTTCATACTCAATAAAGTACCGTTTTAGAACGCATCCCATTCCATCGGGATCCCGACTCAGTAGAGTAGGATGCGCTCTAGAGAGCTTATTCCCCCGCGACGCGGGAAGCCCGAAGCTCCCCGTGTCAACTTAGGCGAGTGTCAAATCATGCCCAATCCCAAATGCATGCGTACAACAAGTGAAACGCCAACAAGCTGCCCAATGCTTGCGAGCTGAAGTAGATCAAGTTTAGAAGTTAAACACTACTAGCCTAATGCTGGTATCATGCCCGGCCTCCAACCCAACAATATGGCTGGGAGTAGGACACGGATAGCGAAACAGTACCCTGTATATCTATGTCTGAATATAACCGTGGGTGGAAGCAAGTGCGCGCACTAGAAGCAAGTGCGCGCAACCAGGGCTAAATTTGCAGGTATCTTTACATAGTAAATTATATGTAAAAGTACAAATGGTCAATAAATTGTAATAATTACTATGCTATTACTAACATAGAAGTACATATAAATAATAATAAACATTCTAAATAACTTCATTAAAAGAGAAATAATAATACATTAATATACTCTATTACCTATAACGTATTTCATAAGTGAGTTAGCTACCTAAACGAGTTAGCTACTAAAACACTAAAACGCGTTAACTTAACAAAAGTTAATATGCTACAACTAACATAAGCCTAATCCTCTAATTAAGAGGGTAGAATACTATTAGCTATTTAAGCACTAAAGGAACATTAATTTAAGAGTGTCTAAGCTACTACATTATTATATAACGTGTTACATAGCACCCTTACTAATAGAATAAATAGAATGACCTCTTAACGCAACTCTACCCCTAACATATAGAAGTTAACTCTATATAAAGAGTTAGCTCTTATTTAGTATATCCTTAACCTAGATTTACATAGATTTCTACCCTAGCTATAGGGTGTATAAGAAATGGTAGATCTTCTACTCTCTAAACAAGGCAAGAGCCCTATTAAGAAGAATTAGACTACTAACTTTATAAAGCGTTGTATAGAAATCAAAGTAAAGTTTAGCTAGAAGTATAATTATAAACGAGCAAAATGTAAAGATCTTAAGATAATTTAAGAGTAGTTCTCTCTTATACAAAACATAGTTATAAAGTATAGCATCTTAGAGTAGGATATCTATAACTTTAATAAAGTAGGTTTTATAATAGGAGTTATTGCTACTATAAAGGTAGTTATAAGCTTAGAAGTAAAGAGTTGTCTAAAGACTATATAGCTAAGAAATAGGGAATAGGTGTTAATTATCTAAGGTGTTAATTTATATAGATAGGCACTCCTACTGTTTATTATTTTTAAGGCATAGAATCACCTCTCTACTTAGTATAAGGACTTAGGATTATTAGACAATTAGGTGATTATGCTAAGTAAGAATAGGTAGACTTTAAATTTAATTAGGTATAAGTAGATTTAACACTTTAATTAACATATAAACAGTCGTTTAATTAGAACCTATTACCTTCTTATTCTTAATAGATATAAGAGCTACCTCTTAGCTTAATTTTAGCACTACTATATAGAATAGGAGATAATTACCCTCTATATACTACTATACTCCTTATACATTCTTTAGCTACTTAACGTAAGTTACTTTACTCTATTAAAGCTTTTATATAGACGTTAGATTAAAACCTTTATATAGAATAGGCTAAACTATATTATAAAACTTAAGTTTCTCTCTACATTTAAAGAAGCATTTAAAGCTACATTTATAGAGTAGAACATTAAGAGTAGATTCTAAGTAATAGGGCTAGTTCTATAGAAGCTATAGAGTGTCCTCTCTTACTTAAATCTACACTTAAGGACTTTAACCCCTTCTATAGTTAAGAGTAATAATTAGACTTTAAAGACTCCTTAAACTATAAGGGAGCTTAATTTTTAAATAGAGCATATTAAGAACTATGTTATATAACATTAGAATAGCTCTCCTACCTTAATTAATAATGCTATTAGCTACCTTATTAAGGGGGTATAAGTTATAATACATTCTACTATTCTACTTAAGGTAGAAGTTAAGGCTCTATAAGTAGCAAATAAATAGAAAAAGAGGAGGGAAAGGAAGCGTAAGAGGTATATAATGTAAGGGAGTAGTCTCTCTATATAAGAGGGAGAGGATATTGTTTAAAGTGCTAAAGTTAAAGCTTAAGTCTATATAGAGGTAGTAAGTAAGAGTAGTTAGTAGGTAGGCTCTAAGGGCTAATAGAAGAACTATAGCTTATATAGTATTATAGGCTATAACTCCTATATATATAAGAGGCATAAGGATTTAATTATAATTAAATAAGGGTCATTATATAGGGTAGTAGTATAGAAGTAGGTAGTAATAGTTAAATTTAGTGTTTTAGTAGCTAACTAGTTTAGGTAGCTAACTTGCTTATAAAATACGTTAACTATTAAGTTTTAGATATTCTAGTAACGTATTTTATAAGCGAGTTAGCTACCTAAATAAGCTTGTTGTTCCACAGTTTGATAATTGGAACTATGTGCATATGGAAGAACTGGCAAAGTTGAAATTAGGCACTGTGGCAGACGAAGAGATATTTCGTCAGAGGGCAACAGAATATACTTCACGCCATATCATGAACGGTTGATCCCCTGGGTCAACAGATTACGGAGGGTCGTTTTCCCCGGCGGTGGAAAATGGAAAGAAGAAGATAGGCACCTCTACTCTCGGATGAAGGAAATTTTTAGGAAGCGCAGAAAGACCCGAAGGTGGCGGATTAGATGCGCCAACTTAATTGTGCTATAATTGTAGAAGTCACTGCAAAGAATGATACAGGCCGAATCGGGGCCAGCTGTGCCAAATCAAACATGGGAAATGTAAATCGAGAGCAGGTCATGGAGTGGGCTATGTGTGCATGCCTCGCTCAGAGCAGCTGCAAGCAGCGGACTTAGCCGCTGTCTTTGCTGATGGGGTGGACATCGACAGCGAAATTGGTGACACAATTGTGTTTGCCCCTCGTCTAGTGCAGCTACAAACAGCGGGCTCAGCTAGGCCAGCGGACTCAGCTACTGCCTTAGCTAAGGGGGTGGACATTGAAGCAGAATATGAACTTCCAAATGAGAATCAGTTTCCGACCCCTATAGCTACACCTGACCCAACGTTAGGGATGACGATTCACGAAACCCAGACAGACAGCCAGGATAACCCTATTCATGTACAGAGAGAGATTGGATTAGATGTCGATGAAGGCAATATCCTCACTGGCAGACGTATCAGGAAGACCCCTATTCTGGAGAGAGCATCGTACTTCCTAAGGGGGTGGAGCCGCCTGGTATCAGACCAGAATCAGGAAAAGACCCAGGACCAGGTCTCAGAATAGTACGAGGAACACAGAAATTACTTGAGACAGCTACAGACGCTTCCTTCGCAGACCATCCAGATAGGAAAAGCACTCAAGGCTTCCTGTTCAAGTTATTCCGAGGATCAGTGGACTGGAAATCAAATAAGTTTAGAACCAATGCAGAATCAGAGCTTCTGGCAGCTTCAGACGCAGCTACACAGCTGATATAGTGGAAGAGACTATTCAAGCAGGTTGAACTAGAACTAAACGAGGACTCTACAATCAGCTGCGACAACCTACAGACAGTCCGGCTCATGAATCAATCATCGATCAAGCTGCTTACAAAGCTACGCCACGTTTTATATTCATGGACATTGGCTACGGGAACAGGTCCAGCTAGGAAATATCAAGATCAGCTGGGTCTCGACCTCCCAGATGATAGCAGACGGCTTCACAAAGCCACTGCCGAAGCAGAAACACGACACTTTCGAGAAGCAACTCAACTTGGTCGATATCGCCCACTTGATATTGCCACTAGAGTTACAGTGCTATTGAATGATCGTTACAGTGATAGTATCGGTACTATCAATAATCCAAATCAATCCGCGGCAGGGGTATCTGAAGCCGTTTCATCGCTTCCATCCTCCCCTCCTCCTCTTCCTCATCATCCACCACCCTCGTATAATTATCGTTTTTCCCCCCATTACTATCACGGTAGTCATGGTACGCCCCGCTCGTCTCCTCATCAATCCACTCCCCTGTCCTCCTATCCACAATCCGAACATTCCTCCTTGGACACGCTCCCCAGTACGTCTCTTTAATAAAGTCTGTCCACTGCGGCCACAACCCATCACTCACTAAGAGATTAAAGCTCTCTAGCTTAGGGAAATCGGGGAGTTTGTGAACGTGGTTGTGGTAGAAAAATTCTGACTCATCCAACCCCTGTTCATTCACTAACTCAATCCTTAAATGCCTAACCTCATCTCTTTCCAGGATATTTTTGTCTGCTAGTAGTCTGCTTCTCATCTGTATAACGTCGCAATCAAAGTTCGCCCAAATGTAGCGTGGAGACGAGTTAATGATAAAGGCTTTTCGGTAGCTGCAATGTTCGCGGGATTCCGAACATGCTCTGGTTACAGCTGGTACTGCAGTGGGAGACCAATAACCTTGGTTGTGATTCCATGTTTTTCTGACTCTAAGAACTCGATCCTCCGTCGCGAATCCCCAGATCTGGATGCGTAGTTCGAGGGTAAGGCGGGGGAAGGGATGGAAAGTCGCCATTGACTTTTGAGTATTTTTGGTATTTGAGTATGAAGGTTAAAAAGTCGCAGGTTAATTTTAGCGGTCTTAAATAAGCGCCGGACAGCGTTGTCGAATGAGCTTAGATAGTGGACTAGCGGAGCCCAGTAAATACGAGAGCAAAAGGTGGCATTGCACACTTTGTCTAGGGAGGGGGTCCAAGAACATTTAAATACTTGCAGGATGGATTGACCTCACTATGCTAAGCTTATCTGAGTTTGTCGCATAGAATTTGTCGCTCAATACCTTGCACTTTTCTAGGTGTTTCGTGAGTCGCTGTTTTGCTGTACTGTACATATACCTTATCCATGGTTAGTTCGTGCGCACCTGGATCCCAAGATCACATACCTAACTTATTTAAATTTCACTACCTTACAGGTCGCGCAAGCATCCAAACGCCAGACATGCAAATTTAAACTAAACATGTGCTTCATCATAGTCGAATTTGAAGCTGTGAACAATATAGTAAAGTCTAGGGACAGCGCCTATACTTCTACATATGGTGTGTGATACAGTGCTGGGTAAAGCGTCATCCCGTGTTATTTGGGTTTGCACGAGGATTGTCTCATTTTCAAGCTCAAGTGAAAACTGCTGCCTAAACTGGCATGAACAGTGTGAATGGCCCATGAGCGTTAGGAACGATGATACGTGTGCATACCCCCTCGTGCTCATCGGCATCATCGTTTATTACCGTCCTATTGAGGAGCAACACGCACACATAACACACATAAAACACCACGGCATAGGTAAAGGCCGTAGTCCCATTAATTCTACGTTTGGTTCGCGCAGTCGGAAATCACGCTGTCCTACATGTAAACCACGTGTGTATACCACGTGCCAATGTATTCGTGCATCCGTGCATCACACGTTTCCTGTATCCCCTCTTTCCTTGAGAAAACAAAGGTTCCCTTAACACCTTGGCCTCCCTTTCTTCGCCCCTCACTCTCATTTCTTATGAAGGCAAACCGAAAGTCAGAGTTGACGTCATGACCGAATCAATCGAAACGAGTTCGTTTATCAACAGAGAGGTACAAAACGACATGCAACCGATTTGTTGAAGTACCAGAATATGAGGACGCAGACAAATTGTAGGGCGTCTCTAGTGACCGGAACTTCTGGTTTTTGGCGTAGCGGTCAGAAAGCTCAACATTACAGTATATAAGATAAAATTGAATTACCACACTACCTAAGGGGGCTACGTATACTAATTATAGAGCTCGGGGGGTTTCCTCAGAAAACCTTGACGAACCGAAATCCCTCAGCTTCAGCTGTGATAGAATTCAGTGGCTGCATATAGGTACTTACCACGACCCAAGCCTGAGCCAATACGAACGGACACTTCATAGTATATTAGGGTATCCACTGTCATAGCTCCTAGGTGCACTAGCACGCAGTTCCCCTGAAGGGTCGTAGACGATGATAAATTGAGAATTCATGCATCACAAGTTTAGATAACGTTACATCATCTAGTCCGTACAAGGAGACACCTTAACCCCATGAATAGAAACGTCTCCTTCGCCAACTAGTCCACAAACAATTCATCATAGAAGCACTACAAATCCTAATCCGTACTAAAACATGCCTTGTGGTACTTGAAGGTGACTGCGCCTATAGTTAGGATATAAAGTTAATACGCAGTATCATAGAAAAGTCACGGAAATATATACGATAACTATTTTTGGAGCAAATATCGTCTGCTTTCTATCCTATACCAAATTTTATCTAAGATGCCTCGTACACAGGAATTGACTGGGGACCTTACCAATCCCGACATGGTATCAACAAGCGAGCTAGAGTCATCGACAACATCAACAACATCAACACCGTTAACACCCCAATCACTTAAAAGCTCAGATCTAGTTCTGGTACCTTCTTCAAGGCTCGATATACGATCCGACCAAGAGATTACTGCATGGCTTCAAACACCTCATCCAATCACCTCTGACAAAAATGTGTGGGCATTTTGGCATTCAGGCTTCTCGCAAATGTCTCCCTGGGTCCAGCGAAATGTGATCAACTGGGTGCGTCGACTCGGACCTGAATGGACTGTCCACATTCTCGATCGTGTCCCCGGATCTGCTACCAACATTTCCCACATCATCGATTCTTCCTTCTTTCCAGCTGCTTTCAATGAGCACACTATGAGTGGTCCTCACGTCGGTCCCCACTCAGCAGACTTGATCCGCCTCCCTCTTCTTTATCTCTATGGAGGAGTCTGGATGGACGCCGGCACTTTCCTCTTCAGACACATCGACGATATCTGCTGGAAAACAATTGAGGATACAAACACGCCATATCAAATGGCCGGTTTTGTCATCGAGATCCGACCCGGTGTTGACGCGATGTTGAATGGCTTCATTGCTGCTAAGCGAGGAAACGGTTTCATAAAACGGTGGCATGATATTTATGTTGCCCTCTGGGAAGGTGTCACGGAAAGCAAAGGGTTTCATGCTCATCCGCTACTCCGCCACTTACCTCTCCTATCGCCTCCGGTAGACAAGCTAAATTGCCCAGATCTTGGGGTATTAATGGAAGCCTTTAGTGACTACTTGGCGCATTTCCTTTGCTTTGAGAGACTTCGCAAACTGGTTGACCCTGCTGATGGTTTCGATGGCCCAAAATACTACCGAGAGAACATGTTTCTTGTGCCGGCTATGCAGGAGACATACTATTTCCAGATGATGACTGGCTGGAATGGCATCAAGCAATTTGATCTCCTTGCCACGAGGCGTGATGGTGTGCATGATGAAAAATATCTCGAGGCGGAGAAATTTGTGGATGATATGCTGGCGAATACTTCCACCATGAAGCTGTCTCATGGGCCGCCTGGTGCGTTAAGCTCCTTTTTGGCTGACTTATGGGACGACCCAAAGAACCATCACGCCGATAATGAACCTGGAACTTTTGCTGCCTACCTTAGGTATGGAAGTGTTCATCTTGATCAAACTCGTGTTCTTGAGCCTCTCCAAGCTGCTCCTACGATTGAGGAGGTGCTTCATGTAGGAGTGTTAGAGGTACCAGCTTAGTAGATAGGACACTTTTCACGGTGAAATACACCTTGATTTATACATTACATAAAGAGTCTTTCATTCATATTTGCCTCATGGAACTATCCATTTTGCAGACATTCTTATCAAAATCAAAGTAATAAATGGCAAGTAAATGATAAAGCAGGCAAAGTGATAGCTCGTCGTTGAGATCTAAACCGTATGATCAGATCACTATAAAAGGCAAGAAATAATCCAAGTCTAATTTTGAAATGTTGATGCATTCATTGACTTATAGCCAGATAATTCCACCTATTAGACAAAATATCAACAGATGCAGTTCTTTGTGCCTTAGTTGACGATGCTTAGTCCATATTCGATTATATCGATGAACGCGGTGACGAGAGGCATCTCGGCCACAGATTGCGAACTAAAGTCGTAAGAAAAGAGCAATTTAAAATGCCAAAAGAAATTTGAATCATGTATCGTAGCTATATTAAATTTATATTTGATCTTTAAGTTTGCCATGCCGAAGGCAATACGGCAGATACAATGAGCATCGGAAGGAAAGACTGCAATTTATATCTAACATCTAAAGTTGGTTTATCAAACCTACTCATACGACAAATCAAGCAAAACTTCTCTCCTCTTATTGACTTGGGTTTTCTTAAAGTACCTCTCGCAATGATAGCTGTGGAGAAAACAACTAATTAGCGTTGGGAGTCGAAAATTTATTATCCTAGAAGGCAAAGAGCTATGAGACTTACCTCCAGTACGCGGTCCCGACGGCAAGATCTTTACATCCCTGCACATATTCTAGAATATCGGCATCGAGCTTTTTGTTTCCTGTGAAGGGTAGACGAGCTTCAGCTGCTGTGCAAATATCGTAATGCTCCCTGATAAGTGAGAGAACTTTGTCAACTGCCAGTTGCAAATTGAGGTTATATTCGTTCATGAAGAGTATTACTAGGTTTTCGAGCTGCCCCACACGCTGTATACTGTTAGCGAAAGTCCGTGGCTGAGGTATATCTTCTTTCAGAAGGGACAGGCTTACAAATTCCTTTTGAAGGGAGAGGACTTCATTCAGTCTTGGAAGGGATTAATACATGCTTCATAATATGCCTAGTGGGCGCAGTGGATGCCTCACAATGTTGTTAACTTGGTACACTCCTGTATAATGACCTGAATCGATTCATGTTTATGAACCCAGGCTGGGAGCTCAAACTCCATTGCGAATCTAAGATCAAGTTAGTTTAGCCATCACAGTCCAACTTGCAAAGAGACGGACTCATTCTGTGTAATACTTGGGATGACCCCAACATCATCGCTTCTCATCTTGAAGTGATCCCAAGGATTTGGGAGTTTTTCACCCTGACGGACTTCCTGTTGGTTTGCCACGCCGTTGACATAGTCGTGGAGCTCTTTCCGCAATCGCTCTGTCGAAACTAAACAGGGTTAGACGTTAATCCTAAAACTTGATTCACTTTACTTACCTGGCCCTAAGCCGGCGCGAAGCTCTGCAAGAATAGGATAGAACATCTCCACTGTGCCTCTGGAGTTTGGTGGCACTTCGTAATTTGGATTGGGACCAAGGCAGTCTTCGATGCATTTATTAGTCTCTTCGCAGCATAGCAGTGTACCGGTTTTATCATCTGTTAGCTCCCCACCAGTATCAATCTCTAGAATATATGCATTAATAAAGATCTCCTTGTCAAGATGTTGGCCAAAGTACCATCGTCCCAGAAGAATATCTATATCTGAGTGTTAGCTATAAACATTAAGAGGGGTTGCGCTTCGATGTACCAACCCAATACAAGAATTGCGTCAAAACCAGCATTTTATCTCTTGTGCAGTCAGGATAGTATACAGCAGTGAGCAATGCATAATTCCCCCGTGCTCGATGCTTAGCTTTCTTCTTTTCAGATACATTGAGGCTAGAATAATGGTCAGCATCCGTAGAATGTTTTTGTGCTCCACCGTGAGATGTACGTCCTCAACCACACATCAATCTCTTCATTGGTAGAGTCAATATCTGGCTGTAAATTACATCGCCAACTGGGCAGCAGCGTCAGAATATCTGGCACTAGGACTTTCTGATTAACGAGTCTCTTGATCAAAGACTTTCGCTCCTCGATAGGGTCATGATCAACCCTGGTGCTATAGGTAATATCTGGAGTCATATTGGGCAGTGGGAATGGGACTTCGAAAATTTCGTGACAGGAGTTGGAGTGGATTTAGATTGTAACAGAGAATTTGCTGGCGAACTGGAAGGAAGAAAATAAAGAAAATTATCTTATTCTATACTTTATACAAAACCCATCATCTCCAAACTTTCACCAAATCTGACCATCGTAGGATTGAAACCCTACTCAGTCAGAGCAATAAGGAGAAGACGCTGTGCCACCGGAGAAATGGCGTCTACCCCTCTTGGCTACCATCTTCAGGGGGAACTCTCGAGTCAACAAAGGAACGTATCAGACCTATTAGGTTACAAAAGCCCGAAGTTTATTTTGACAGGGGCATTACTGACAGAATGAGGTTATATGGTGACATGACAAGGTAGCATTGTTAACGATCGCGCGATAAAGATACGATAGTTACATTTATTTGGACATTAAGCCTCGTATTATGTTGCTGTGGCTAATACCTACCGTCGCTATGATGTGAATGATCCACAAGGTATGTCACCATGAAATGTCACGTTACCGATTTAATTGTCCTAGCAAGGGTTTTAGAATTTCGATGCTTACTTAGGGAAGGTGCTAACTCTCTCGAGAAAATGCGCGTGATACTAGTGTATGCATAGGGTTTGATCTCTTCAATAACAATTCTTTTGAAAGTTGATAAATTTGCTTGCCTTTATGTTAATGACATACTTGTATTGAAAATATCTGCGCAGCTGTTTGAAATTCTACTTTACTTGAATAGACAATAATTTGCAAGTTGCAGTACTTCAGAAATTGACGCTCAAAGGCTCCAGAGATGGGGTCATATTTTGATGCTCTCTTTGCGCCAGCGCCATTAGCTACTGGCGGGCTCCTCATCTTGGTCGCTCTGCTATCGATGATTTTAAGACCCACCAAATCATTTAATGTGCCATTCGTGGGCGTGGAGGATAGAGACATGAGTAAGATGAAAGCAAAATACGTCCACGAAGCCGATACGCTCCTTCGAGAGGGCTATGATAAGGTTTTCGATGATTCTCTAACAAATGTGGATTGCAGCTCACATTTCGTTTTCTTAGTTCCCAGCATCAATTTTTCAAGTCATGACACCAGATGGACCGCGTTTATTCCTTCCCCGAAGCTTTGCAAATGAGCTCAAGGGCTATCCACGACATGAAATGAGTGGAATGAAGGCAACTACAGATGTTAGAGCCCAATTTATGTTCTTCACATGAGGGCCATTTTTAGATCTTATGGCTGACTTGAGTGTTGTATTCGTAGCGGCTTTTAGGTGAATACACAACGATAGACCACGAAAGCCAAACAGGACTGAACTCGATCAAAATTGATCTCAATCGACATCTAGGTTTGTGAAGTTGTGTTTTTACACTACCTATACCATTAGCAACACTCTCTGGCTCTTCCCAAGATATGGTTCTTGCTAGGAATTAACTAATACAGTGCCAACTTCTAGGCACATTCGTTGTGGACGTTGCAGACGAGGTAAAATATTGCTTCCAGACCCAATTCCCAGACTGCGAAGGCATGCCAACCAACATTATGCATAATTCAATCTTTGGTCCATAGCTAACTGGGGAACAGATTGGACACCCATCAACCTTAACGACAAGCTTCCTCACATCGTCGCCCAAGCCTCCGCTCTAATTTTTGTTGGTCCAGCACTCAACCGAAACAAGGAATGGCTTAACTGTACAACCACCTTCGCAGCTGACGTTATGATTGGCGGAGAGAAACTCAAGACCTGGAAACCAATCTTGCGACCTGTGGCCCAATACTTCATCCCTGAGGTCCGCCGCATACGATCTGACCATGCCTTTGCACACACTCTTCTGCTTCCCGTCCTCAAATCTCGAGCGGAAGAAGAATCGCGTCAAGGAGACAAGTATGTCAAGCCGAATGATATGATCCAGTGGATTCAGGACCGCGCAAGGAAATCAGGAGACAAGACTGTGGATACGAAGGAGCAGGCGAACTTGCAGATGTTGGCGGCAACAGCTGCGATTCACACGACTAGGATGGCCGTCATTCATGCGATTTATGATCTGGCGGCAAGGCCGGAATATGTCGAGCCTTTGAGAGAAGAAATCGAAAATGTATTGAAAATGAGTGGCGGGACCTTCACAAAACAGTGTTTGACGCAGTTGAGGCGGCTGGATAGTTTCATGAAAGAAAGTCAGAGGCATAATCCGCCATCGATCGGTGAGTTTCAATAAGGATCTATAGACCCCACGAGAGGTTATTTAACTGACCTTCTTGTTTCGCGTTGTGTAGCTACTTTCCAGCGAAAAGCTCTCGTACCTGTGAAACTCTCTAACGGCTTTCATATCCCTAGCGGCACAATCGTCCAATGTAACACCAACATCCTCGAGGAATCGCCCCCCTCTTGGGGTGATCCACTTTCCTTTGATGGATTCCGCTTCTACAAGTTGCGTAGTAAACCTGAGGATACTAATAAATACCAGTTTGCGAGCCCGTCGTTTGATTCTATGCAGTTTGGGCTTGGAAATGATGCCTGTCCAGGGAGGTTTTTTGCTAGTAACCAGATCAAGATTATACTTGTCTATATACTCAGACACTATGAAATTAAGTTTGAGGAAGGAGCGGTGGGGAGGCCGAAGAACATTCTCTTTGAGGTTAATGTAGTGGCTGATCCAACGAAGAATGTGTTGTTTAGGAAAATAAGATAGTGTGCTATAAGGGCAGGTGTTGACAATAAACCAGAAGACAATTAGGGCTCATTTAAAGACTATAGTGAGCGGATGGATTCAACTCTAGATTAGATGAAGCAGGTCCTTATATCTCTAAATCCTATTAACAGCTTGTTTCCTTGCATATCCATTAGGAACAATATAATATGTCAAGGTTACACTCTTTGGTTAAGTCAAAATTTGCTACTTCCTTATGCTTGTTTTTAGCAGCATTGCTAAGACAACGCTATTTAACCTAGTTCTTCACTTTCTGTTCATTAGGTAAGCACTGCATAAAAAGCCCTTGCTTCTTTACTAGATTAAGATAATCCTGTCTAGACATTACCGTCTGTCCTATTATAGCAGGAAGTAGGTCCTTATAAAGGAGTTGAGAATGTTATAGATAGCAGACTATAAAAAGTAAAGGTAATAGGGAGTCTGTCTTTATACTACTTTCAAGCCTCACCTGCGCTCACCCTTACTTACCCTTAATCACCCTGCTCACCCCGCTCACCTAGATCACCCAAACTCTCTATAGCTATCTAAAGTCGCAGTGCGTTACGTCCATCGCGTCTTAATAAGGGACCTACATCTTATGTTGTTAACGTAGTCGCTATCACGGAACTGAGGGTGATAACTGGATTATCGTGAGAGCATCAAAAACTTAAGGCGGCGACGCTCCCGCACTATGTCACCGACCGAAGTAAAAAGCAAGTGGTTGCTTGTAGGTCTGCCATACACAAACTTGAGATCGGTGGATTAGTAGTTGGGTGGGTTACTACCAGTGAATACCTACTGTTCTATGTTTTTATTTTTATTTATTTTTTTGCTTTCTCACATCACAGCTCATATCCCATCCCCTACCAACCTACCAAACACGCGAGCAGATAAAGCAGAGAGTGAACAAATATACATTTCCCATTTCCTCTACCAACCATAGCTGCTGTTCATGAGTGTGCACAAGAAAGCAAGCAAGCATAGACAAGCAGAGGAGAGCAGACTAGTCAAAAAAAGCTTGACCTGTAAAACCTTCGATTCCATATATAAACACTCATCACCATAACCCATAAACACATATAATACACGTCCACTCCACTCCACATCTAATCATCCCATCCCATCCTATCCCATCCCACCCCCAACCCCCAGGTATCACCCCCCCCCCCTTTTAAAACAACACCCGCTCTCGCTCCCCCGCGCGCCAAAAACCAAACAAATCCCAAATGCCAAACAAAAAAACCCATACCGAAGGCGGAGCAATGGCCTTGTGTCTATAATATTCCCCCCAGCTCAGATCATTTCAGTCCATCTCAGTTCCCCATGCTGCCCGTTTTCCGGTTTCCGGTTTCCGTACATATAAAAATACACACTTTCTCTCTTTCTCTCACTCTCTTCCGTCCCGATTCGAACGGGAGAATCTAATCGCTCGTTGATGCGTTGAGGTCGTGTCGTCTCTTCTCATCTCTTCCATCTCTTCCCTCATCCTCATCCACCTCAGCCATCTCATCTCTCGTAGAAGCAGATCACAGCAGTCCGTATCGGTATCGGTAGGTGGGCAGGCACCTCTCACCCCTGCCCCCCCTCAACCAAAAACCTCAACTGCGCCGCCAACGCCACAAACCTAACATGCAACTCGATAAAAAAGTCCGGCTTCCCCACAACCTCCGCCAACCCCCTTGCCCTCACCCCCCTCCCCCTCTCATCCCCCCTACTCCCGAGGAAACTACTCCGTATCCTCGGCTCTCCCTCTCTTCCTCTGTTACCAGCACCACCACCACCACCGCCTTCCTCATCAATCCCCTCAGCGATACCACTCTCCGAGTTCCCCGCCTCGGCGAGGCCTTGTATCCATCCTGCTAACTCCCTGAATGCGCCGGCGAGGAAGCCGAAGACACGCATGGCTTTGCGCTCGCTTAGGACGCTGAGACATAAAAACGCATACACGCGTCTCCGACCCCTCGCCCAGGGATCTGGTATGCGAAAGAGGAAGGCGGTTGTATACCCGGCTAGGGGGTCGCCGAAGAATAGTGGGCCACCGGCGGGTTGTGGGGTAGGCGAGGAAGGCGGGAGCGTCTCGCAGGATAAGGTGCGCAGGCACGCAGCGCGGAGGAGGGAGAATGTCGTCGCGGAAGACGGGTCGTGAGAGGATGTGTAGTCGAGGTAATGCGTATGTTTCTGAGAATCACCCGCTGATGCCACCGAGCGCGGAATGGACCGTCTGCGGCGCGAGAGCGCAGGGCCGGGGGGGGCGTCCGGTTCGTCGGAGTCGGAGGGGGAGTGTTTTGGTGTTGAGGAGGCGGAGGAGATGAGTGCGAAGGGTTTGCGAGTTCGGAGGATGGGGGAGGTGGAGTCGTCTGCGGGGGGTGGGGGTATGGAGGGGGAATTCGAGGCGGATGCTGAGGGTGAGGGGGAGACTTTGCGGGGGAGGGTGAGGGCGCAGTTTTCGCAGGGGATAGCGCGCTTGCGATCTGCTTCGTCGTAGGTTTTTCGGAAGGAGGAGTCGCGGCGGTGGATGCGTGGTGCCATGCGGGGGGAGGCGGGCGGGGTGGAGGGGGTGGGTGAGGGGGGGTGAGGGCGCGAGAGCTGGATGGATGTTGTTGGGGAGCTGAAGGAGCCGGAGGGGTTGCGGGAGAGAGAGGCGGAGGGGAGGGGGGTGTCGGGGTAGGTGGGGGGGTCGAGGCAGGTTGTGCAGGGGACGGGGAGCTCTTCGGTCACCATTAGGGGGGTTGGGCCGTGGGTGTCGCAGTAGTGCGCAAGGCAGAGCTGGAGAGAGAGAGGGTTAGTTGAGATCTGGCTGAGGTCTGGCTGTGGTTTGGAATTTGTAAAGGGGGAGGGTTGAGTGAGGGAGAGGTACGGGGGTATGTGGATGTGGGGGTTGAAGATCGCAAAAGTGAAGGCGGGCTGGATATGCAGGGAAAGGGAGACGGTATGGGCTGGCTTACTATGGAAGTCATGACTGCTGCTCGTTGTGTGTGTATGTGTTGTTGTCTGCTGCTCAGGCAGAGCGTCGAGTCCTGGTTTGGGTGTGCACACCTGTCTCACTCGTCGTCGCTAAGGCCAGCCAGCGGGTGTGAGGGAGTGGTATTCTCGTTGTTGTCTCGTGCGTATCGTATCGTATGTGTGTCGAGTGTATACAGTACAGTACGGACAGCACAGTACTCGTACAGTCGCTATCGCACCGTCGTGTGAAGGTTGCGGCGGGCGCCCTCTCAGCACCTTATTATGTAGATCGCGGTGGTGTGGTGGACGGGTGGTGGTGGATGGTGGCGGGCGACAGACAGAGAGACGGAGGGCGGAGAACGGTGGTGGGTGTGAATAGTGTTGTATATCGTCAGCGTGATTTCTTTTGCCCCAGGCTTACGGATGATGGACTGGGCAGGGCCGGGTGACGAAGAGGGTTGGTTTCGTGGGCGGGGCCTGGACCGAGTAGTGCCGCGGCTGGGCTTATCCACTTTCCTGACCCGGCGATCTGGCGGGTTTCGATCCTACGGAACTTGGCCGGCGCGGCGTCGGCAGATGGAGGAAGTCGAGAGGGGTGATCGTATTCGATGGTGAAGGTGAATTGGACGCGAGGCGGGGGAGGCGAATGTGAAGTTCGGAAGTGATGTTTCGTTGAAGGGAGAGAGTCGAGCTGTTGGTGTGAAGACTGACTGACGGAAGAATTTCGAGTTTCTGGGAAAGAGCGGCGGGCGCAAGTAGTTGATAAGAGGCGCGGGCGGGCTGGGTCTAGACAGACGGACGGGACGGCGTGCGTGGTAATGTATGGTACTGACTACTGCACTGGCGTCTTATTTCGGTGGTTATATGTGTATATGTGCAGTTGCAGTATTTACTGCATGTGCTTGCTCTGTAAGGCTTGGACTTGGACGTTTTGAGTGTCGGGAAGGTAGGGAAGGTAGGGAAGGGGCGTCACTTCATGCAGTTGGGCTGCAGAGTGGGCTGGAGAGAGTTGTGGGTTGGCTTTGAGTGGAGTGGAGTGGGTTGGTTGTAAGTATTCCCAGCGGAACAGTGGAAGTGTCCGAGTGGTAAGTGGGCTGGAAGTATTTCCCAGGGCTGCTAAAGTATCGCCAGGGCCTGTCGCTGTCGCGAGTGATCGGCTGGGAGGGATCGACCGTGGTATCCCGCGTGCCTGCCCTGTAGGGTGATGTATATTGATGACGGGAATAAATAGACTGGTAGGGAGTGGTCGAGAGTAGTAGAGAGTGGTATAGACTGGTATAGACTGGTAGGGTATACCTTGTTGATTGTCGGAGTGGATGTCAAGTATTGTAGAGTATGTAGAGTGGTAAAAGAGTGGTAAAAAAAAGAGTACCTGCACTGTCGATGATGCCTGTCTGTCCTGGGATATATCCTGGGATGGTGGGGCTGGAATTGGAATACCTGCAAGATGGCCAAAGACGGACAAGATGAGCAGCGGAGAATAGAGTAGGATGATGATCGGATCGTCTTCGAGGAATATACTTCGGACGGTAGTTCTGTATAGGCTGCCCAGGGTGCACAGGATGCACAGGATGCACGGCTATATAGTAGTGCGCACAAGAGGATGTATAGTGAGATGCAGAGTAGGATGGGCAGGGAGGTGCACAGGAAGATTCGCAATGGAGAGCTGATGCAGCGCAGATCGTCTCGTGTCGAGCTGTCGTCTCATCTCTTTTTGACGGGTGGCAGCTGGTAGGTAGTTGCGTATAGAGTTTGGGTTATGTAGTATGCAGTTTTTTTGCCAATTGGAGGGAGATGAAGGGTGAGGGTGATGGGTGGGGGTGAAGTATGAAAGTGGAGGAGGGTGAAGTATGAAGTATGAAGTATGAAGGTGGAGAGTGACGTTGTGAAGTGTGAAATGTGAAGTTATGAAGGGCCGGGGGGCGGGGAGCAGAGAGAGAGAGAGAGATTGGAGGGGACGGATGCGGCATGTATGGGAATGGAGATGCGGAGGGCGGATGGCGGATGGCGGATGGGGATGGATGAATTGGGATGAGGCTGCTTATGAACTATAGTAGTATGGGTATAGTATCGGCTATAGAGGAGAGAAAGTATACGGAGGCATAAAAATGATTGTCGTCATGGGCGGCAGAGATCAGACATACCCATACGAATGCGCATACACATGCAAGATTGTAGATGTAGATGTAGATATCCATACCGGCATCGACGACTCCATCGACGACTACATCGACAGCCTCTACCCATCTCCCAATTATCCGCGGCTATACACCACACGCACACCCTCGTCGTCGTCCCCGGCTACCCTGCTGTATACACACATACCACAGCAGCACAGCACAGGATATCGACGGTTACCATGAGGGAGGGAGGGTGGTTGAGTAGCGACGGTTACCATGAGGAGGGCTGGTCGATTGATTGATTACACGATGCAGGTGGTATAGTATACTACCAGTAGACTGGGCTGGGCTGGGCTGTTACCAGAGAACCCGACCCGACGACGATGATGATGATTGATTGATTACTGACGATGATGGGTTACCAGGGAATGAATGAATACGACGATTACCACAGCCACAGCCGCATCCACGCCGTCGATATCCAGCTCATCGACCTCATCCACCGCATCCATCTCATCCACCTCGTCGTCGCTCCTTCCTTCCTCCACTCTATCAGCTATCACCTGTCAAACTGTCACCACCACCGCCGCCGCCGCTGTCAGCTGTCAGCCAGCCAGCCAGGAACCACCTTCCCTTCTAACTTCCTCCACTCCTTCTGCCCCTCCCTCCTTCCCTTCCAGCTCTTCTTCATTCTCCTCATCCACTCCTTCATCCTCCTCGACCCCCTCGACCCTCCTCCTCCACTCCCCCATCTCCCCACCACTCCACTCCCTCACTCACCGCCTCTCCCCTACTCTCCACGCAATCAACTCAAATCAGAAGGCGCCGAGTTAAATCAAATCAACGCAAGCAGCTAGCCAACAGACAGCCCCCACCCATCTCGGAGCGGAATACACCCAAACCAACCCATCCAGCCCAGGATCCTAGTCCAGACAGAAAGACAGGGGGTGGATGCGCCGCCATGTGTGAACCAGGGTATGAGGGCGGCGGAGGGGAGGGGGAGGGAAGTAAGGGAGGAAGGGAGGGAAGGGGAGGGGAGTGTGGTGCAGACAGGGGGGAATGGGGGGATGGGGGGATGGGGGGATGTCTCGGTAAGTACTCGTACTCGTACCAACTACATACCACATTCCACAGACCACACAGACCAACATTAGCAATCCCCCAAACCACTCCCCTCAAAGCGCCGAAGAGTACCGACACACACTCGCACGCGCGGGCAGCTGGGATCGGGCAACGAGATGGACAACGAGATGGAGACGGGATAGGTCGGTCCGAGGGCTCCGCTGGGGGGAGGGTTGATCAGCACCAGCATCAGCATCACCACCACCACCATCGCATCCGGATGGCTTGGAAGGGTAGTCCGAGAGTATAAGCAGAAAAGATCGGGAGGGGGGGTGGTAAGGGTAAGTCCACCTATCGGGAGTGCGGGATTTCACATTATATCACCCAACCAACCTACGACACTGTTGTGTTGGAGCGGGTGACTTGACTTGACAGTCAGAGAGCATGAGAGATACAATACAATACAATACATCACCTCGTCGCGAGGCAAGCGAAGCGAAGGGTAGGGCAAAAAGGAAGGAAGGGGCCGAAATTACACACCCCGCCCGGCCGCTGCTAGACCGCTGACAGACAGGTGCCATTCGATTCGGCCCTACGGCACTACGGGTCCACGCGCGTCGGCGTGGTATGTGGATGTGTGCTTGGGTGCGTGGGTGGGTTGTCGCAGAAAGACGGCAGACAGGCAGATGGGCGGATAGAGTTGCGCCGGTCGGTTGGTTGCTCGGTCGCTGGTGATGGGTGGTGATGAGTGGTATAGGTGGAAGGGGCGAGTATGGGTATGTGTGTTTAATCGCGCGGTGGTTAGTCGGAGGTGTTTTGCGGTGGTGAGACGATGGGGGGAAAGACGCGCCGAGGAGTGTGGAAATGGAGGGAGTTCTGCATGCATGTGTAGCGTGGAGAGGATGGAGCCGTTGAGATGGGCTGGGTTTGGGGTTGTGTACGCTGTGGTGAGGTGAGGTGTACAAACTCGCGGCTGGATATGGATACGCAACGAGGAAGGAGGAGTAACGTGTCCTCCCACCTCCCCATTATCCGCCTCTCTGTCCCTCCCTCACCCATCTATCCAAACTCCCAAATGCAATGCAATGCAGCACAATACTCCCCTCCCCTCCCCCCCATCCCGAGTGTACCCCCAATCCCACCCCTTCCCTCCACCACCTCTCCACATGGCACCGCGGTAGAAGCACTATCAATCCTTCTCGAAGGCCGCGTTGACCAGGGGTTACGTGGGATTTGTCCAGGGGACTGCAGGGGTACACATGGGTCTACACCCCTACTATACCCCTACAACCCTCCCCTACGCCTAATACCGCACTGTCGATCCACCACGAGACGCGGTCAAAGCGTGCGCAGCGTGCGCACGAGCAAGTGCAACGGTTGTGCAGCAAGCAGCAAGCGATGGGGAGGATTAACCGGTCTTAGGGTTTCTTGTGCAGCGGAGAATTATCTCTGGGCAGCCGCCGGGAGAAAAGCCGTTGAGGGAGATTGGATTTCAGTGGGGTACAATATGGAGAGACCAAGGGGTTGGGCCGGTATGCCACGTGTGATGTATATCAGATAGATGGACAGACAGACAGACAGACAGACGGTGAGTCTTACTGTACAGAGCGGGGTTTGGAAATCCCGCTGGGTTGGGCAGCTATGGTATTACGGATACTATACGGGACGGGAGGGAGGAAGACAGGGACGGATACGCGGATGACCACGAGGACATCGTGGATGGATGGGAAGGGAAGGGAAGTGCCAGTGACATGATCCTTCGGGTCATCATCATCCCCCGACACCCCCGGTCCTCCCGGGACGTTCCTTTCCTTTCCCTGTATACCACGCGCTCACTCAGCCGTACTGTGAGACGGGTGTGGGATGGGATTGGGGTATCGCCTCGGCCCGTAAGCCTCTGCCGTTTCTCGGGAGGGAGGGAGCTAGGAGGGAGGGGTAAAATGGAAACGCGTTTGAAGGTACGTGGTTATCCCGTCTTACACACCCACTTCTCTTCTCTTCTCTTCTCTTCCCTCATGTCCGCGTTTCTACCGTTTTATCCGAGTTTTGCCGGTTGGGTGGTGTTGGTGTGGTTTGTGGTGTGTGTGTGTGGTGCGTGTTTCATAGTTGGTGGATGGGTGAGGAAGGAGGTGGAGGGAGTAGGGGGATGAGGTGAGGTGGAGGAGGTGGGTTGGTAGGCTGGTAGAGAGGTAGAAATACAGCTCGCCGAAGTCACCTAATTAGGAAATACATGAGAATCGAAACACTCCTCGAGATAATCCAACAAGCCGAGGTATAAACAGTTATATGCGCTATAAACATCCACACACACATATCCACACACACACACATCACACACACCATCTGCAAGCAAGGTAGACGGTAGTATACGGGAAGGAATATGATAAAATTTAGCACCAGGTAGGTAGGTAGCTAGGTAGGGCATCAACAGCCACGCGTGTCCACCCTCCCCTCCCTCCCTACAAAAGAGAGAGGCCTGCATCGAACAGCCGCGGCACATCCCCCGCATCCTCCCGCGCTGCTGCAGGAGACGGATGTATGGAGGTAGCCAGCCAGCCGGATTGTCGGGACTATGCAGAGATCCTGCAGATGAGAAGTGATGGGAGGCAGGTACAATGCGTGGTGACAGCTGCAGCCTGCCGGTTCTTCCCTCACCCCCCAAGTAGGTGCATAAGGTGTGTGGGAACTGTAGAATCCCGACTGATCCGTCATGTGTGTATGTAGGCAGGCACCACACTCCGAAGTTCCCCGCGCCAGATGGGAGGAGGGTCCGTAAGTTTCCGTGGATCCCGAGACAGAGAGACAGTATGCATCTATACCCAACATACACGCAGGCAAGCGATCCGCAGTATCCCCTAGGTGACATGCACCCCGCCTCCTGCCATCTGCGACATCCCGTGTACACCGCTCTCACTCGCTCAGTCTTGGAGCGGCGTCGGTGAGCCGGGGGGGTATCAGGCGGTTTGTTGGGGGGCTTGGGATTGTTGGAGGTTGATTATCTTGGGAGGGTTAGTTTGGGCTGGCTCTTTGGGTTGGTAAGGAGAGAAGGACGAAGGGTGCGAATGATGGGGAGGGGCCGGAGGGGAAAGGCGGGGGGAAAGGGGGAGGGAGGAGAGGAGGTATGGGGAGACGTACTTCAGACCGCTTTGCGTCGCTGGAGGCTTGGATATCTGCGATTTGCTTTTCGGTGCGTTTTCTGTGCTTTTTGTTAGCTTCCGCGATATTCTTAGGGGTATAGCGGATGGGGTAGAACAGCGTGCCAGCCGGACGGGAAGAAGGGGGACATACATCTCATTATCAATAAACTCCAACCGTCCGTCCACAGCCATAACCGCCTCCGTCTTCTCCTGCTTCAACAGCACCGGTCCAACGAGTTTATAGATATTCGCTTCCTCGGCGAGGGAGTCGAATTCCTGTAATCAGAAGTTAGATTAGCACACATGTTCCCCATATTCCCCCTCAATTGTCGGAGTAGGCCCCGAGGAGGAGTGGACTGGGAAAGGAAAGGAAAGACGAACCCGCTTCACGCCCTTGTTCTCTTGCTGCTGGCTCTCGAGCTTTTGGCGCGCGGAGACGATGGTTTGGAGCTCTGGTGGGGTGTTAGAGGGGGTCTGCGAGAGGATGAACGGGGGGAGAGGGAGGGGGGGGTACCAGCTTGGAGCTTCTGGTATTCATCCGTTAGGACTTGAGCGCGCTGTTGTGCTTCTGCCATATTTGCTGTGAAGTGCGTATATTCAGACGGAGATTTAACTATTCGTATACCAGCTTGCTGCGGTTACTATGCACAGCTATAATGTCGTGCGTTCGGAGTTCCTGTGATTTTGCGGAGGAGGCTCTTTTTGCTGTGGTGCTTGCACCCCTGGACCGATTTGAGGCACGTTTCTTGGTGGGGTCCGCGTCAAGCGAAGCGGGCGGCTGGCCTTGCGTCACTGGAGCGAGCGGCGACTGACAACAAGCCGTTTAACACCACCACGGCGACATTCGAAACCGCCCTTGGCTTCTTTCTCCACCTGTCATATCGATTACTTGCTGCATTGCGTGCTATAAGCGTTGTGAGGGCTACGTGCTGAAGTCTCGAGGTATTCGTCAGCGTTTGCGAGGTCGTCTAGGCAACACCACTTCTATCCCACCAAACCCCTCATCTAGGCCTCTACGCCAACCTCCAAACTCGAATTCCACACTCCTCGCCACTCGAGCAATTCACCTCCCACCCCTCTCCAAGATGTCCAACACCGACTTCCTCGGCCGCGCCATCGACGTCGTCAAAAAAGCCATCGAGAGCGACACGAACGGCGACTACGACAAAGCGTACCAACTCTACTACCAGTCGCTGGAACTCTTCATGCTCGCCCTGAAATGGGAGAAGAACGCCCGCTCCAAGGAGATGATCCGCGCCAAAGCATCGGAGTACATGGAGCGCGCCGAGAAGCTAAAACAGCACCTCGCCGACGCGGAGGGGAAGCATAAGAAACCCTCCATGATGGGCGCTGACGGGTCCTCGCGCGGGGGCAACGGCAAGGCCAAGGACGAGGACGAGGGCGACGCGGATAACAAAAAACTACGCAATGCGCTGGCCGGGGCGATCTTGCAGGATAAGCCGAATATCAAATGGGAGGATGTTGCGGGGCTGGAGGGTGCGAAGGAGGCGCTGAAGGAGGCGGTGATTCTGCCGATTAAGTTCCCGCATCTGTTTGTGGGGAAGAGGCAGCCGTGGAAGGGGATTCTGATGTATGGGCCGCCGGGGACGGGGAAGTCGTTTTTGGCAAAGGCGGTGGCTACGGAGGCGAATAGTACGTTTTTTAGTGTTAGTAGCTCGGATTTGGTGAGTAAGTGGATGGGAGAGAGTGAGAGGTATGTGTTTTCCCAAGTGCCAGAATGGTTGGTTGCAAGATGCTAATTCAAGACTAGGTTGGTGAAGCAACTCTTCGCTATGGCCCGCGAAAACAAGCCCTCGATCATCTTCATCGACGAGGTCGACGCGCTCTGCGGCTCCCGCGACGAAGGCCAATCCGAAGCCTCTCGCCGCATCAAAACCGAGATGCTAGTTCAGATGGACGGCGTCGGGCAAGATTCTCGGGGCGTCCTCGTCCTCGGCGCGACGAACATCCCGTGGCAGCTGGATAATGCGATTCGACGCCGCTTTCAGAGGCGTGTCCATATCTCTCTGCCCGATTTGCCGGCACGGACGAAGATGTTTGAGCTGGCGGTGGGGACGACGCCGTGTGATCTTACGCCAGCGGATTTTAGGAAGCTGGGGGAGCTGAGTGAGGGGTATTCGGGGAGTGATATTAGTGTGGCGGTGCAGGATGCGCTGATGCAGCCGGTGAGGAAGATTCAGATGTCTACGCATTATAAGAAGGTGCGTTCCGATTTCCCTCTCCTTTAATCCTCCCTTGAATCCTGGAGTGGAATATTATGGGGTGTTATGTAGGTTCTAACAATAGCAGGTCGATGTCGATGGCGCCGAAAAACTTACTCCCTGCTCCCCTGGCGACCAAGGCGCAATCGAGATGTCCTGGACAGAAGTCGACAGCGACGCTCTCCTCGAGCCCCCTCTCCTACTCAAGGACTTCATCAAAGCAGTCAAGAGCTCGCGACCAACAGTGTCGCAGGAGGATATCAAGCGCAGCGAAGAGTGGACCGCCGAATTCGGTAGTGAGGGCGCGTAGACGTTTGTTGTGGGGAAGGAGGAGTTGTCTGGATGTGCGCAGATAGCTTGGTTAGGATGGGGTTGGACATTGAAGCGCGGCGTTTGGGGAAGGGGTGGGAGCATTTGTTTATAGGAGGGTATACAGAGATGAGGAGGGGATATAGAAAATTATACAGAATTATTGAGTATATGTTATGCCCACAGAACATACAGTTATAGCCACAACAGTCACAGTATTCACGGCAGCAAGCACCCCATATTTCTTTTCACATGTTATTTATTCGAAGCACCTAAGATCCTAAAGATGCCAGCCTACACAGAGCCGCAAACGCCAAACATGCACAAACTAGAACTGTATGCGCACCCACACCTTCATGACCGCGCCGAGTTATGAAAAAAACACAAGAGAGAAGTACAAGAGTCGTAGCAAAAGGGAGAAGCGCCGCTAGGGCACATCTAGGCAGCGACCTTCTTGCTCTTCTTCTTCTCCTTCTTCGGGGGCTCCTCGTCGGCAGCCTCGCTGCGCCGGCGCTTCTTGTCCTTCTTCTCGTCGTCGCCGCCGGACTTGCTCTTCTTCTCCTTCTTATCTTTCTTCTCCTTCTTATCCTTCTTGGTGGCGCTGGGGGGGACGATATCGGCCATCTCGGGGTCGATCTGGATCTCGCCGAGGACGGCATCCATGGCTCCCTTCTGCGGGGTGTGTTAGCAAATCTGTTTTTTTATTTTTTTAGGGAAATGTAAACGGATAACGTACCATAGCCTCCTCGTTCCTGGTTGGTGCCTTTCCGGTGGCGTAGAACTCAAGTCTCTCCTCGACCTGAGCCTTGAGAGCCTCACCGAACTTCGTCGACGGGGTCTCGGAGAAGTTATCAATCCTCGACGCAATGGAGCACTTGTTGGCCAAGAATCTGGAAATGCGGCCCTTGTTCTTGGCGCCAGCGCGACCAATGAAGCTAGAGTGGTAAATAAGACCGTACTTGGGGGTGTTTCCCTTGGTCTTCAGCGCGCGGAACAGCGCCTTCTCAGCACCGAGAATCTGGACGGTGGAGGCGGGGTACTTGGAGAGGTTGGTGAGAGAGCCCGCGTGGGAGATGAGGCGCGCGGCGACGACCTCGCCGATCAGCGAGGCCAGGTTGGGCGCGACGATGGCCATCTTGTCGGTGAGGTATTGGAAGAGGGAGCGGCGGTATTCGGCGAGCTTGACGACGCGGTTAGCGAACGCAGAGACGTTCTTCATGTCCTCCTCGGAGATGTCCTGGCCCATGGACACCTTGCCGGCGTCGATGATGGCCTGGGCGATGTCGGCGTCGTCGTTGACGAGCGCGGCGATGTCGTGGAGACGGTCGTCGCTGAGGGACTTCTTGTCGCCGATGGCGAGGGCCAGCTTGGCGTAGGTGTGGTTGTCCGAGACGATCTTGATCAGCTCGGGGAAGTGCCACGAGTACCACTCGCGCACGCGCATGGAGAATGTGTTGACGGCCTTGTCGAGGTGATCAAGGGTGGCAATGGCCTGGATGATGTGGTTGTCGTTCTTCTGGACGGAGAACTTGACCTTTGCGCGAGAGTAGGCGTGGCCGAGACCGAGCTGGGCTCTCTCGACATCTCCCTCGTGGAGACCCTTCAGCAGCTTTCCAGCGTGCGTACGCAGGCCTCTGAGAAGGTCGGCGACAACCTCGGAGGTGTCACCGGTCTCGCACTCGACGGAGGAGAAGTTGGCCTTGATGCTACCGGCCAGGGCCTTGTCCTGAACACCGAGAACGGTCTTCTTCTTCTTGCTGACTTTTGGGAGACTCAGCTCAAGGACGGAGCGGAGGTATTCGGACAGGACACCCTCAGAGATGAGGTTGACGTTCTCAAGGGCCTCGGCCGCACCTCTGTAATCAGAATTAGCAATCTCGTCTTAGAAGAATTGATTCCGTTTCAATTGTACCTGTAAGGCGCAAAGTTGACCAGCTTGACCATCTTTCCGAACTTGGCGACATCCTGGGAAGCAGCCTCAACCTCCTTCAATCTGCTGCCAATAGTCTCTGGCTGGTGGACGACCTGGAAGATCGCATATCCCACTGAGCTCTCGTGGAGCAGGTAATCGATGGCGGACATGGTGGGCAAACGTCTTCGGCGTCTACCGTAATTGGTGTCGTAGACCTTATCAAACTCACAAGATTTATTCTTGAGAGTTGCGGTCCAATGGTTGTCGGTGATAGTTGGTCGATAGTGGAAAACCTCAATCACAGCTTCGCAGCTTGAACTTTTTTCGTGCAGTGCGATTTGCAGCCCGCTAGCATTTCTGTGGCGCTAAACCTAATGTATACTAGCGTCTTCACCACCCGACCAGTGAACTTTTTAGTAGTGGATGAGGCTTTCAGTACGGAGTGAGAATTTATTTTTACGGAGTATTTCTGGGTTCAATTCTCTTGGCTATCCTTACTTTCAGAGTGAAGTTATATTTCGGTATATATACGCTATATATGCTTTTTGAGACCACGAATGCGAGTACTACAGCCAATATAAACCACCACAACTACAGGCACACGCACACGGCACTTCAAATCAAACAAGTCAAGTGATCTTTTGATTCACAATGGTTTTAAGTAATTCCAATTCTATATCAACTGCGTTGAAGCAGGCTCTGCAACGATAAACAACCCAGCCGGAAAATGCGATGAGCTTTCCCTAACCCTTTCCACACCAAAACACCCATAAAAAGCAAACAACACTTAAGCCTTCTCGGCTCTCCATCCCTCAACAGGGAGGGGGAAGCTGGAAGCCCAGCTGGCGATCTCCTTGCGGAGAGCGTTGATCTTCTCGATCTCGCCACCGGCAACCTTAGCCCTGAAGTCCTTGAGCTTGTTATCCGGCTTGGGGAGCGCGGCCTGGACCTCCTTGCAGATCTGGATGGTCTGGTCAATGTAGCTGGCGACTCTCTTGAAGTCGTCCTCGCCGAATCCACGGGATGTCATGGCGGGGGTACCGATGCGGATACCGCAGGGGCTGAGGGCGGACTTGTCGCCGGGGATGGCGTTCTTGTTGCAGGCGATGTTGATCTGCTCGAGGACGGCCTCGACGCGGGCACCGTCCAGGGACTGTGCGCGGAGATCCATGAGAACCATGTGGGAGTCGGTTCCGTCGGCGACGAGCTTGTAGCCGAGACGCTTCAGCTCGACCTCGATGGCCTTGGCGTTCTTGACGACCTGCTCCTGGTACTGCTTGAACTCGGGGGTGTTGGCCTGCTTGAGGGCCACGGCGAGGGCAGTGATGGTGTGGTTGTGGGGTCCACCCTGGTGACCTGGGAAGACGGAGAAGTTGATGGGGTTCTCGAGGTCGTAGAGGATGTCCTTTCCGGTCTTGGCGTCGGTAGAGCGGACGCCTCTGCGGAAGAAGATCATGGCGCCACGGGGTCCGCGGAGGGACTTGTGGGTGGTGGTGGTGACGATGTCGGCGTACTCGAAGGGGGAGGGGATGACACCGGCGGCGATGAGGCCGGAGATGTGGGCCATGTCGACGACAAGGTAGGCACCGACCTTGTCAGCGATCTCGCGCATGCGCTTGTAGTCGATCAGACGGCAGTAGGCGGAGGTACCGGCAACGAGGACCTTGGGTCTGTACATGAGGGCATTCTGCTCGAGCTGCTCGTAGTCGATGATGCCGGTCTCAATGTTGACACGGTAAGGGAAGGTCTCGAAGTAGGTGGAGACAGCGGAGATCTTGCGCTGCGCGGTCTGGTAACCGTGGGACAGATGGCCTCCGTGGGGGAGATCAAGACCCATGAGTCTCTCATGGGGCCTCATGATGGCCTGGTAGACCTGGAGGTTGGCAGGGCTACCACTGAGGCACTGGACGTTGACACCCCACTTGGCCTTATCCAAGTTGAAGGCAGTAAGGGCACGAGCCTGGCAGGTCAACTCAATGGCATCGATGTGCTCGTTACCGCCGTAGTATCTAGCACCTGGGTAACCCTCAGAGTACTTGTTGGACATTGGGGATCCCAATGCGTCGAAAACGGCGCGGGAGGTGACGTTCTCGGAAGCGATGAGGATGATGGACTCGCGCTGTCTCTGGATCTCTTTCTCCTGGAATTTGAATTAGATATTGCCATCGTGAGGTAAGCTTATGATGGATTAGACTTACCATGATCGCAGCTATCTCAGGGTCGGTCTCCAACAAGGACTTCTCAAGAGACTACATTGTGATGTCAACTGTCATGTCCGTTATGACTCCGATAGCTGTAACTTACGTCCTTGTGCGCCTGGGACAGGGCATATGTGGGTTGGGTAGTAGAAGCCATTTTGACAATTGATTCGATCTTGTCAAATCTTAAATCTTCAAATTTAGTGAATGGTAGAAGAATAAATGGTGGGATTAACTTCGAAAAGTATGACGATAATGACCCCAAAAATTTTGACCGCCACCAGATGCTGCCCCGCGTTGTGTTAATCCGCTAAATTTATTAGCGAAAATGCTATCGATTGTGCAGGGGTGGAGGCCGATGAAGGAGGTTTGGGAGGTAGGTAGGTACTGGAGGATGGGATTGGGACCTCCGAAAGACTCCGAACTCACCTAGAATTATTGTCTAACTATTGTTATAGTTTTTTCTGATAGCTTTGAAGCTTCACTGGTTGAGAAACAAAAGCAATTTCTCCTTAGGTTGAGTTAAATCGTATGTCGTCACCAAAGAAGCTCTCCCGTCACGGGATGTCCTCGTCTTGGCATCTCACTCGCATATATTCAAGCACGGGATAGATAGGATCCAGAGCATCCGGGTTTGTATTACAATGTCTTGAATATCCACGCCATTCCATTCTCTACTCCTATAATATTACAAGCCCAGTATTCTCCAATGCAAATGCCATGCCTCGTTTAGGTGTAGAATGCGAACTTATCCTTCTCCGCCCCAGCCTTGACCTGGCTTGAGTATGCATCCTCCAAATCGCTCTGAATAATATTATACCTGTTCTTCCTGACCGCCCTCAGTCCAGCTTCCTGCATGATGGCAGCGATGATCGCACCGCTGAGCGGGTCGTTTCTGATGATCAAGCTGTCGAGATCCACCTCGGGAGAAAGACTCATCTTGCTCGCGATGGTGGTGAAGATCAGGCGTCTCTCACGTCTATCCCTCAGGTTAGGGAACTCGATCTTCCTGTCCAAACGTCCAGGTCTCAGAAGAGCGGGATCAAGTGTATCCGCTCTGTTGGTGGCCATGATGACCTTGACGTTGGAGGTCTGATCGAAACCATCCATTTGGTTGAGAAGCTCAAGCAAGATACGCTGGACTTCTCTGTCGGCACCAGTCTGGGCATCGAAACGCTTCGTGGCAATGGCGTCAATCTCATCAATGAAGATGATTGCTGGGGAGTTCTCGCGGGCCATGCGGAACACGTCGCGGACCATACGAGGACCCTCACCCAAGTACTTCTGGACGAACTCGGAACCAACAACACGGATGAAGTTGGCAGTGGTAGAATTCGCAACGGCCTTGACAAGCATAGTCTTTCCCGTTCCTGGTGGGCCGTAGAGCAGCACACCGCGCGGTGGGTCGATACCAATTTGTCTGTAGAGATCGAAGTGCGTCAGAGGAAGCTCAACAGCCTCTCTGATCTCCTGCTTCTGCATATCTAAACCTCCTACATCTGCGTATGTGACATCGGGCTTCTCGTGTGCGCCGAGCATGGCGATGGAGGAGTCCGCCTCCGGGGGAAGAATGTCGACAAGGGCGTTGGAGTGGCGATGGAGGGCGACGGATGACGATGGCTTGAGCAACTCGCGGTCGAGGGTCGAGAGGATTCGTACGACATAGTTGGAGCCTGTTGATGATTGTACGATACCGGTGCTGGATTGCGCGGTTAGTATTGAATAGTGATGGTGATATCAATGCCTTACTTCTGATCTATAGCTTCCATAAACTGCCCAATAACAAGAGGCACACTCTGAATGCGCTTGATCTCCTCCTGTGCCCTGACCAGCTCTCTCTTTAAACTCCTGTATGTTGTTAGAGTCCTTGTACATACTGTATATTGATTAAGGTTATTTACCTCTGTTCATCCTTGATGTATTCCTCTTGAAGCTGGATATACCTGGATTCGTCAGCATGCTGCCTGCCTGAATGAAGCTTCACGATGGCGACAAAACTCACTCCAAGTGCCTCTGAAGCTTCTTCAGCGTCGAATACTCATCGCTTCCATCCGTGGCCAGCCCTTCTAACGAATCGATGTTTGGAATGGACGATGGCAGCTGCTTCCTGTGAGGCAACACCTGTGTCGCAGGGTTCTCGACAGCCGCGTCCGCCATAGCTCTCCTCGTGCTGTAAGGATACCTTTGACGACGCTTTGCAGATTTATTGAGATCGTCGCTAGCAGGCTGTGATGAGGCAGAGGACTGTGAGCACTGTAGAAGTCGTGGATGGGAATGATAGGTTGGGTTCGGTGGTTGATGAGGCGCGTTTGTAGGTTGTTTAGTCTGAGTTGTTGCTTCGCTTTCGTTGGATGTCGACTACCTAACTACGGGAATCTCCATTGATTGGCAGGGATGCCAGGTGATGGACACAGCAACTGTCGGACTAAAGTATGTCCGGTCGCCGTGTGTATTTCTGTATTTCTCGTCTACCCTAGTACTTAGTACGGCGAGTAGTACGGCTGTCTGTAGGCTGAGGCCTCGTAGCTGCGTTATCGAGCATTAGAACCCCGCCGTAGTAAGATGGGGCGTCCCATCAAACGATAAGCAGTCGTCTATCCGCTAAGGTACCTCTCTCATGATGGGAACCTGATACCTGACCCAACCAAACCAACCAAGCCAACCAAGAGTCAGTCACAGTCACAATCACCAGCCACATCACAACTTCCCCTTCCCTTCTCTCCTTCCTCAAAACTTAAATACTTTCTTACCTTACCTTACTCTTGCTATCCCCTCATATGACAACAAATCCTGCTCTGTCTTTTACAGCCTGGCTAAGGGTTCACTGTATCATAAATCGGATGCTTCCTTCACCCTGACTTCACCACCCGAGCACATAGCTATGTCCTCATCAATCACCATCCCTACCCGCCAGGCCTACTGTGAGGTTGGTGGCAAGGTCGGATCGAGCTCGAGCTCTTCATCGTGCTATTCCACCTCGCCTCAGACTCCCCAGCAGAAGGGGAAGAGCCCGATGTCGACGCCGTCCAAGTCGGCGGGCCATAATCGTAGGCCGAGCATGCTGAGTGAGTCCTCTCCCTCCCCGATCCGGCTGTCACACCATTCGGCCAAGCGGCTGTCAACGGCTCATCAGCCCACGAAGTAGCATGATGGATATGGGATACTTTCAAATTACAATAGTTGTGGAATGTGAGCCTGACAGGTTTCATTAGGCTCGTCCTTCTCCCAACAGGAACACACCGTCATCAACATCGGTGACCCGGATGGAACGCCTCGCCTTGTGAGTCCAACCCACTCCGCCACCACCACAACTCCCCCACCGGTTACTGACGTGTACACTCCAGATCACCTGCGTCCGCTACTCCCAAGGCTATGAATGGAATCCAGGTAAATAAAACCCCCTCTTATCCTGACCCTAAACCAAAACCACCAGCTAACGAACGACCCCTACCCAGAGATCTTCCTCCCCTCATACATGGAGTGCGACTTCGAATCCATCGAACGCAAGCGCGACCCCGTCCACGAGATCAACCTCAGCGACGAGGAGATGAAGAACATGTTCCCCGAATAAGCCACGCCACGCCACGCCGCCACGCCACGAATTGTTCGCATCGAGCCTAGGGCGCTCGCAGCGGTGTAGGAAGGAAGGGAGGGAGGGTCTTGCCTTACATACCAATGTCGGGGTTGGGGTTACATATTAGTGTGTGATATGCGGGATTGACAACGGATATGTCTTTCTGCTGGCTTGGAACAGGGGGATCGCCTTAGCATTTTGGAGTATAACTGGGTATTATCTTTTTGGGCAGCGGGCAAGGCCGGGGGGCGGGGGCGGGGTGCACATAGGTCTATGAAATTACGAGCATAATTTGAGTTCATGAAGGGAGGGTCGAGTATAACGTTGGGATCTGTCTGGTATGGATTGGGGGAGTTGGAGCTCGCGGTGTCTCGGTGGAAACGGCGCCAAACATATTTATAGTTTTTATTTCTCATCCCATACCTTGTTTTTTTTGGGGGGGGTTTCGTTACAAGGGCACTTTTAGAGGTTCTATATAGGCTCAAGGCAACTTATTTTTCTACATCTCGAGATTGTGATCCATCACCCATGTCTTTAAGAGACGGTGAGTCCAGGCTTCCGGCACGTGATGCCAGTGCATGAACTTAGTGTTGTTGGCTTTTGTTAATTATATAGATCTAATATTACTTGCCTTACTAATGAAACGTCTGCCTAGAAATCTGACAACTTTCACTTCTTACTACCTAATTACTCTCTCACCAGCCACTCTCTCTCTCATCAGCCACTCTCTCTCATCAATCAACCACTATCACAACCAAACGTTCACAAATGTTCACAAAATGACGACCTCTGCTGGCGGAGAAAGTAAACAACTACCCCCCTCCTCCTCCTCCTCCTCCTCTACATTTCCTCACTTCCCAGACCTCCCTCTCGAGCTCCGGATCCAAATATGGCAACACGCCCTCCACTCCGCAAGGAACAGCGTGATTCCCGTCGTTATCAACCACCACCCCCTCCTAACATTCCATTCCTGCATCACACTTCACGGCAGCTTTTGCGGGCAACATGGTCATTGCCCACTATACAATCCCGATTCCGCTCAACAGCCGAGCTCTAGCTTGGTGAGCATGATCAACGGCTACTTCTGCCTCGGCGCCAACACCCCCGACATCGACGACGCGGGGGTAAGGGAGCTCAGCAGAGTGTGTAGGGAGTCCCACCAAGTTTTCTTGTCCATGTACCCGGAGACGATGACGGTGTATAGAGAGATGTGGTATCCCAATGTTGAAATCCATCCGCGGCGTCGCGTGCGGTGTAATCCCAAGACGGACACGGTGCTTGTCACCGCCCTGACGAGTTATGCGTCTGAGCAGAGACACCCGAGTTCGTTGATTGATGGGGTGGGGGATGCGTATCAGGATGATTTGGGGAGGTGGTTCCCGCCGCGGGATACTGCGGGTGCGTTTGAGGGGTTTAGAAGGATTGTGGCGGGGTGGAGGAGGGTGGTGTTTGGATTCCTGGACGAGTTTGAGACGCCTATACCGTCGTTGAGGCTCTCGGGAACCTATGAGGACCCGCAGTTTCGGCGGTTCTTGGTGTTTTTCGAGGGGCTTGAGTGGCTTTATTTGTGCGCCGATAAGGGACACGTGATGGCGGGGACGGAGACGGAGAGGGAGTGGGAGAGGATGGAGCGTGTTGGGGAGAGCTGTGATGGTGGTGGGTCAGTGGACGACGACAACGTGGGTTTATGGAACTTTGTGGGGGGGTCGGGTGGGATTTTGAATTGCGATGGAAATTATATAGATTCTGTACGAGGAGTTCAGAGTGGACTTTCTGATGATGGTGGTAGTGGTAGTGGGGAATGCTGTTGGGTGCCGATGCCGAGGGGCTTTGGGGGGAGTTGGGTATTTTGCTCCTCTAAAGATGTGATAAGTGATAGGGATGGTGAAAATGGGGAAGAAAGTGTGAATTGAGGAGGGCATACATAGTAAGGACTGTAGTCTGTATGTAACTCGACTATATGAATTAAGGAAATTACTAGTAAGCCATGAATCAACTACATCATAGTGAAGTTTAATGTTTACATTAGTACTAAGAATTTAAATCTATAGAGTATTAGTATTAAGTGTGAAGCCGATTTCGAAATTCCACTCTAATCTTTAAGTATGATAAGATAAGATTTCCTAATCATAATCGCCCACAATCGCACCCGCCACTAACCCCCATTCAGCCCCTCACCCAAAGTGCGTGCACCACAGCCTCGCATCATCTGTAAACAAATCCCCAGCCCCCCCCCCCCCCCCCGAGCAACCCTTATCCCCCACGAACCCCGCATCGTCAATTCAACAAACAGAGATAGCGATTGTACGAAGGAAGGGAGGGACATAATGGCAGACCCCCAGCGCAAAATCGAACTCCAAGAACCGGATGATCTCCGCTACCTCCTCGCCAACACGCGACGCGTTGCGGGTGAGAAAGTTGATGTCGCGCTGCCGCCTATTGAGGGGGAGGATGTGCTGAGGCGGAAGGTTGAGGAGTTGGTGAATTCGGTGCGTGTCCACCCTCCTTTCCCCCAACTCCCAAATACATATATGGGAAGAGAGAGGCAGATGTAGCTAACACACCCGTTAGTACGTGACGAAGACATTCTCGATGGCGGCGCCGAATACTCTTATCAATGGCCACCCCGTGGCAGCAGACTCATCGCTTTTAGCCCCCGAAGGCGCAGCAGAAGCAGAGGTGGTGGTGGAAGAATACGAGCCCTTCTCCGAATCCCTCCGCGACCGCGCCGCAAAACTCCTAAGGACAGAAGAAGAACTCCTCCTCGAAGTAGGACAACTCCGTCGCGAAGCACCCGCTAAAGCAGCAGCGGCGTGGAAGGAGGAATTGGCGTGGGATGAGGAGGTGGGGGATATGGAGGTGGGTGATGAGGGTGGGAGTGAAAATGGGGAAGCGAGGGGAGAAATAGAGGGAGGAGGGGTGAAAGTGGAGAAACTAGAGAGGCAGGAGGAGGTGGAGGGTAGTTGGAAAGAGGGGGTTGAGGGGCTGGGGAGGTTGAAGGGGGGGGTTCCGGCGTTGGTGGCGAGGATGGAGAGGGCGAGGAGGGCGGGGGGGTATGCACTTGCTGAGAGGTGAGAGCTGTATGGCAGAGGCAGGAAGACAGAGGGTGTGTGTGTATCTGCCAGATGAGGGTTTATTTGGGGATTGGAAAGTTTGGATGGCGTTTTGGGAGGACAATGGAGGGTATGGGGGGGTTGGCGTTTTGTTTGGTATAATGGGCGTCGTCGTGATGGATACGCAGCACTGCCGGGTTGGATTTTTTGTATGAGTACGATGAAAGATTTTCGAAGATGAAGAGGGGGGTTAGGTCACGAGTATTGTCTGAGGGGTACCGATGAACAGTTGTATAAGACCTAAATAGGTTGCCTCGGAATAGTAAACTACGTTTTCTCCCGGACAGTTTCTTGATTTGAACCGATTATCTTATTCCTTCTGGGTTCCTACTTCTTTCTGGGTCACCTCCTCCGTCTGGGTCCCCTGCGTCTGGGTCCCCTTCTCCTGGCCTCCCTCCCCATTCCAGGCTCCCTCCTCCTCCCTCCCCCCCCCCCCCATCGCCTCCGCGAAACCCGGATCATACTTATTAGCTACTATCAGGGGGTTTAGCCTTTTGATCTCCAACCGATTCCGCATCCGGGGAAACACTCGCGCTTATACACCATCGCCTCCAACTCTATTCCTAGAGGATCGTATAGTGCGATGAATTTTTCGCAGGCGTTGTACAACTTGTGACGACGGCGGCGTTAGCTTTGGGGGATATCGGTGGGGGGCGGAAGACGTACGATTTCGTAACACTCTTCGTAGGTTGACATGTTTGTTTGGATTCGGGTGCTTGGATTCGGTGCTTGGTTTGTTGGATGATTCGGATCTTACCTTGCACCGAGTTGGATAGAAGGGGGGTTATTTAACGTGAAGATAAAACAAAGGAACGGCCTATTTAAACCACCAATATGAGAGAAAGGATTTCCCCCCATCCAGTCGTGTGGAATCATATATATTACGCTCATAGATACAACAAAAGACAGACAAAGGCTTCAAATGATCAGCAACACCGCATCCGTCAGACCTCTCACCTCTACAAACAAACAAAAACAAAACGGCGAATTCTCGAGTCGCATTCTTAGTCTACGCTTGCATTTGCATTCCAAGGTCTCAATGTTGAATTTCTTCCCTCCTCCCATCGAGACCCCATCGTAATCTCGTTATGTTCTACCGCACTTTATACGCACCCATTTGTAGGTTCATCCATCATCCAACAACTCAAGCAGGTGTGATGCCATGGTCCGTAAACTCCTTCGCCGGGGCCTCTGCCGCCACACCACCCGCCTCTGGGATAGGTGCAGTAGCAGTAGCAGTAGCAGGCACAGTCTCGCCCTTGCCCTCCGTAGTATCAATCACAGCCGCATCTTCCTTCTTCTCCTCACCGCTCTTCTTCGCCCACTTCGGCGGCCTGGAGAACTCCGCCTCCTTCCATGGTCCCGCATCGCTGAACCCGCATCCGCCCTCGCAATCGCACGATCCGCCGAACTGCTTGGGCAGGTTCTCAGCCGGGACCTGCGCGAGAAGCTGGCTCTGGTATCCGCTGCCGAGGACGTGGATCTTCTCCACAGTAACGGGGTCGAGGAAGGATTTAATCATGCCGAAGACGGAGCTGAATCCCCATGGGGCGTTGATGAGGTAGAGGCGTCCGAGGCGCTCGGGGTAGTGGTTTTGCGACATAGCAGAGGCCTCCTTGACGTATCCGTAGACGGAGGAGATCTTGGCGAGCCCGACGCCCTTGAGGTCCATGATTGTGCAGCAGGTTTCGAGGAGGTGGCCCGACTTGCGGGAGCAGGCGGGGAGGCGGGGGTCGGAGACTTTTTCGTACTCGACGGCGAGGTTTTGGAGCATGCGCTCTTGGGTGGTGATTTTGTTCATGGCGGTTAGGTCGCACTTGCCGAGTTGCTCGATGTAGACGGGGCGGCCATCCTGGGGGAGGGGGTTAGTTATCGCTGGTGGTTTGGGGGGAAAAGGGGGGGGGGAGGTTACCTTGTCGGTCTTGTGGTAGTATTGGGGGTAGTATTCGAAGATCTGGGCCTTCTCGGTGTACTCGAAGTTCTGGACCAGGTCGTCGAGGTTGATCTCCTTCCTCCAGCCCTCGCTGTTAACGAACCTGAGTGCATGTTAGCACATCCCCTTTAACAGCTATATCCGTATCGTTGGGTAGGGGGTCGACATACATCACCTCCGCGAGGGCAACATCGAACTTCCGTGCACGCAAGAATCTCAACTGATCAGGGTCAGCAAAACATATCTCCAAGCTGCGGAGAACAGCACATACCAGAGTCAAAGTATCCAAACGCTCCGTGAACCCCTTCTGCTCCAACGACATCCTCAATTGGTGCACCTGAGCCTCCTGCTCCGGCGTGAGGTGCCCAGCATGCCCAGGCTGGTTCGTGGCGGAGACGGTTGGGAAGTCGTAGTCGTCATATTTCGGGTCCGTCTTGAGCGGGACGATCTCAGCGGGGGCTGCCATCTTTGAGAGAGAGCGAAGGATTAAGATAAGGAGGCGGGGAAAAAGATACTATTTTATGAGGGTGTTTGTTTTTGGAGTGAGACAAGGTTGGGGATGTACAGTTACCAAGATTATCAGTAGGGTAGGAGGGAGGAGCAATCTTACGTTTAACGTTAACGGGATGGAAGTGACGCAGGCTGTGGGTGGCCCGCCACTCACCCCACGTAAGCGAGCGAACGATGTGGACGAGCTCCAAACGGGTGGCCAGGGGCAACGTGGGGTAATTCGTCCGATGGAAGGATTTAGAGTATACAGGTGCAACGTCTGTGAAGAATGAGGATAATCGTTTGTTCTACAGAAGTTGCGATAGTTTACACACGTTTATATGTATCTACATATTTATATAGTGCAATAAATGTCGTCTTTCTCAAGTAACATCTGGTGTGCTCACGTGCACCCCATATCTCGTTCACATGGTTCACATGGGAAAGGAGCCCGATTTTCATGCATAGAGTTTGAAGTCAATATAATATTTTCAACCACTCGCAGAGCCCTTCTTATCTGGGTCTTCCTCGCCCTCATTCTCGGCCTTCTCTTTCCTCTTCATCGTGACATCCCAGTTATACACACGTGCTGTGGCCACCTCCATAGTCTATATCGATGTTAGTTGGTTTTCCAAAAGACATGATACGTGCACACATACTGTGATTTGCTCCCTGAGAAAGTCGAGATCCTCCTCGCAGTTCGACAAGCTCGTTTTCGCCGAGTTGAGCTTCGAGTTCAGGAGTACCTCCGCCTCGTCGACCGGGTACGACAGCATAACGTTTGCCTGTGCCATGTCAATATTTGTATCCTGCGATCAGCAAGTAGCAAACATACCCCAAGCCATAGATAAACCTCCTCCGTAGGTGGAATATGCGCCTTCGCATAAAGCGTATCGTTAAGCTCAAACGTCGCCTCTATCGGGTCCGAATCAGGCTACACAACACCAATCAGTACATCGTCAACCTCGCAGAGATCAAAGCTCGCCCACCTTTCGTGTTTTTAAGAACCGCACGGTATCTAGCGTCTTCTGAATATCGGGCATCTTGTCCTTCAACCCAGCTGCTCTCCGCTGCTGGTTGGCTTCCATAAACTGGTACTTTCTGCACACACACACATTGAATCAGTTCTCCGCGTGTTTGAACAAGAGAGTCTCAGGGCAACATACGCAATCATCTCCTGGAAGCTCTTGAGGGTAGCCTCCACATCCGCGCGGGTCGTTACGTAGTCCTCGACCTTATCGACGAAGGGCGCATAGGGGATACCCCGAGGGTTCGTCGGGGCTGCGGGTTTTCTAGGGAAGGAAGGCGCCAGGGTCAGCCTGGGTTCGACAAGTAGGATCAAGCTTTGGGGAAGGAGCGGCTGGCTACTTACTTCGTTGCTGTGTCCGCCATTTTTTTCGTATTTATGCCACCGCTGGCGGGGTTGTGGTGTTACGGGCTGGCAAGCTATCTGATCTCGATTACTTGGGCTGCTGTGTGGTGCAGATAATTGGCCTCGCACTGCCACAGGAGTTAGCGCCACAGGTGGGTGGACTTGGGTGGGATTTCAGATATTTAAATCGCCATCATTTCAGGGATTCATCGCGGTCACTCGAGAGGAATCAAAACGAATATAGGGTAACATTATCTATCTATTCATACTTTATTTCCTGTTTTGCTAATTCGCTGCGACGAATGGGCTATACTGAGTTGTTTGGGCCACAGTATCAGATCAACAAGATTAGATCTCGGTTCGATCTTATCTTATCAGCACCCCCACTACAAAAGCATTACCCTCAAAGTCTTACAAGCTCTATAGAACGTTCTATAAATATATTTCCATTTGTCTACAAAAGATTTAAAACTTTGTTTAAAAACACCTAAATTACCAAACCTGCTAGTTTAAGAAGAATCTAGCTAAGCATCCTAAAAAAAAGGTAAAAAAAGTATAAAAAGACTTGTTAGATTCTGTTAAATCTATAACATATTATAAAATAGTAAACCCCTTAGAATTATCGCATTAACACTAGATTTTGTCCTTGGCCCTGAAATGATTGCATTGAGCCCATTTGGGGGTCACTACTCGGTAATAGCTTCTTTGAAGTCTCCTAAGAACATCCATCTAGCTTTATCACCCCAACCTAGCTCTTTCCACCCGTTTGCTATCTTCGGAAAGAAATCGATCACATCCCCCACGTTTTCGTCATGAGATAAGATGACAAAAACTTGGTCCGAATGCGCATCAACAAGTTGCAGCTTCTGCTGGCTTTCAACTGCAGCTGGTACATCTTCGTTTGTTGGATCTCCATCTGGCCAAGTTCCCATACGATAAAAAGGTGAGTTACCACACCTTTGAGGGTGGATACTCTCAAAAAGGTGACCTGGACAAGGCTTTGGCGACAAGAAGTTGAGAGGGTTGGGCGATATTAACGAAGGCAGTGGCACGTATTTGGTAGGACGGAATTCACCGGCATGGCTTGCAATATCACCTCCCATGAAAATAAACGTATCCGGATTGGTAGTAGTTCGAGCGAGTGCACACATGTGGCCAATAGCATGCTATAAGAGTTAAACCTGACTTTTTAACTGTATAGAGAATATAAAGATTGGAGGCATAAAACTTACACCAGGACTGTTAATAAGAAGGAAACTGCCATCTCCGAAATAATCGAAGGCAGCAAATTCACCAAACTTTAGGTTAAAATGTGCTTCCGAAATCTCCCTAAGGTTACGATCCTTATAGTACTCTTCCTTTATTGGGGAGTCTTCTATGGGTTTGCCTCCCGGAAGAAACTCTTCTAAAAACCCAGGACCAACAACAACGTCAGTAGAAGTTGGAAATGTCGAAGGATCTCCAAGATGATCCCAATGCCAATGACTAATTGCATGGCACTTTTAGCTAAGGTCCTATATTTCGCTACAAAGAGATTCATCACCTTACCCCCAGATGATTGCTTCAATCGCAGAGAGCGATACTCTGTGTTCTTCAAGAATGTCTGCGACATCTTTTTCAACTCGGACATCCCACCCATAAGTTCTAATCATGTCTACAACGCAAGGAGCTTGCTCCTGCCACTTTTGTTGTGTTCCTAAGTCATAGAGAACCTTACGCTCCAGGCGCTCATTTTCTATCAGAAAAGAGTAGGACGGACTCGCAAGTGTAGTGTGCCCCTTGATAAGCGGATCAAACATAGTACCCACGGGCATATGCAACCGGGTAGTAGTGTCAATAACACGTACGGTCACGATGTTTGAAGATGCGGGTATCTCAATAGGCGGGATTTGGCCCATTTCGGTCGGTGATAATATGTTAGACATGCTGCTAGTTCTAGCTGTATAAAACTTTTGGATTGTAAATAATGAATGTGTAAAGTATAGAGTATATGTGCCTCTGTGAAATTTTTCTCGAGGCTCGTCAAGACCACGTGCATTGCGCTATTTCTTGTCTCGCTCGCCGATGAGTCATTCACTGGTCTAGTAATAAAATGCCCTTCTGAAACAACCGAAATATGTCTGTCCCTGTGAGGTAAGCAAGGCGCGGGGGATGCGGCTTTGATGCGGCCGTCGATGTTACCGTCGGTGTTGCCGTCGGCCGCATCAAGAGCCGCACCCCCCACTCCGGGCGTATCATAGGGGGTTCTAGGTTTAGAGGAGTAAAGGGCCTAGAGATAATATTCTAAGGAGCCTTAAGAATGTAGAGTAAGGATTTAGAGGGAGTAGAGAGAGAGTTATAAGGTATGTTAATAAGAATGTAATAGAAAGAATAGATTTAAAGGTTAGTAAAGGAGGGAGTATAGTTAGTTTAGTAGGCAAGGTAAATATAATAGTCTGTTAAGTAATTTTTAAAAGGAAATAAGAGATAAACCATATTATAAGGTAAGGAAATACAGGTCAATGTGAGAGATAGTCATAGAAATATTAGAAGTTAACAACACAGTCAATATGAAATAGTCATAGAAAGATTTAGGAGTCAAGGAAACACAAATCAATGTAAAATAGTCATAGTAAAAGTCGGGAGTAAAAAAAACACCGGACAATATGAAAGAAAGTAACTGAGCCATGTTAGAAGTCAGAGGTCAACATGAAATAGTCATAAAAAGGTTGTCAAGATCAGTGGTATAAAAGAGTATATTCTTCAGCCAGCCCAGATCATAATAATAAAAAGTCTGAAAGTCCTGTCGCCTGTTCCATGGGTGAAACATAGTGAATGGAGGTCTAACGCCTGTCTTCAACCGAGGCTATTTGTGCCGCTGGTTCCCCTCGCTTTTCTACACATATCGTACAATATCTTGACGCCTGTAGGTTCAGATCCCTCAACTAGTTTCGCTGATCCAAGATGCATCGACCTCAAGGGCCGTGCTCGGTGTTGGGCGCATTGTCGTTGGGGTTGGTCGAACAGTTGGGCTCCAAAGCGAGGGTATCGTATCGTATTATCCAACACAGCCTCTTCACGAAGGCCATCCAACTTGGTCGCCACAGGATAGTATGTTTGTTCGTTCCAATCTCCCGTATATCAGCCCTCATTTCTTCGTCGAAGTCCCCCGTATCTGCTCCTTCAGCTCCTCGATAAAGTGCCCCAGAAAGCCCTTCTCGCCACCAGGAACATCTATCTTCGTCCCCCCCATATCGGCCGGGTCCTTGCCATGGCGGAACTCATGGACCCCTTTGTGGATCCGTCGGACTCCGCGGTGGAAGGTTGGGCTCGAGATGAGCTAGATGGTCGTTGTCAGCTACTGAGTGAGGGTGGCGGATGTCTCGGGGGGGGGGGGGCGCGAATGGGTTGGGATACCTTTTGGATAAGCCACAGTTCGACGGCGGCGCGTAGCCAGGACATGGTCAGTGGCACATGGAACTGTAGATTGGAGGAGATATTGGTTTGCGCAGACGCCCGGGTGTTGTGATGGAGGCCCCGTCGCAACAGAGTGGTCGGAGAGAGTGGTTGGTGTTGAGTTTGTGAGGATTGTTGGTTGTTTGACTGGTAGAGAGGGAGGATCGGCCCTTGTTTGGTGCGATTAAAGTCCCCTAACTGCAACCACTACCGTTCCGTATCGGCCCTTTCACCCGAGCGCCCGGTTTCTTCGTTCTTCCCTCTGTTTGACAACCATTACAACCCCCCACCATCTTCCACTATTCGTATCCACTTACTATACAAAGATTCCACCACTGCCCCGTTGCTTTTTTTTGCTTGTGATATAGCTTATATTATGATGATGGTCTCAGACTTATATCGCTGGCGCCCTTGTGCCTGCCAATCTGGCCCTTATACTAGATCCTTTGCAAACTATTGAATCCGGACGCGGCTTCTTTTTAGTTCCCGCCGTGGGACAAACGCTTAGAGTGGAAACAAAACCCAGTGGCTTCCAGCAACTCTGACATCACCTTATTTACTTATTTACCACCCTCTAGAAGGATTTGGAAAGCTGCGAAAAGTGACTGGCACTCTTTTATTGCCTTTACTTATTCCTACACACTTAAATTTTATCCCGCAATCACCGTGCCTGCCTGCCTGCTTGCCCTGCCTGGAGAGGAGTCCCTTACTCAGCACCACCAGGCACAATAAATATTTATTGTATGAGGGGAGAGAGCTAGAGCCATAACAAGTCCCTCCTTAAGCCCTAAAACGCCGCCCAAAACGCCATTTCCCTCCTCCTTAAGCAGGTCCTCCACCGCCCTCCGACGACCTTTGCTACCAAACCCCTCCCGCGTTCATCAGCTCTCAACTGCGCTGCAGCCTCGCAAGCTGGATCGAATCCGCGCCTTCAGGGGCAGACACCTCGAATCCCGGAGCCAGAGCGAGGACGGCGGCGCGAGAAAGACGCTCCGAAGCGATTCGCCCAGTTGGATCCGCAGGATGCGGCGCTCGACGTCTGCATCCAAGCGCGCGCGCTCGCCAACGGAGTCGCCCCAGCCAGACAGCATCTCCCCAAAGCGGCAGGAGAGACGACCGCCTACTGCTGCACCGTTGTCGCGTGACCACAGCCTGACACGTGATACTCAATCTGAACCACCGATGCTGCCCCTGGGAAAGATGCCGGCCTTCTTGCAATTATCTGAAGAAGGTAAGTAGTACTGTTATTATGGCTATTTTTACTCTATTTTTACTGTTACTAATGCCGTCCCAGAAACCCTACAAAAATTCAAAGAGCTAAACTGGCTCGAGAGGACCAGAGCAGCAGATGGCCGCACCACCGAGGACTCCAAATGGGCTCGCTGCGACGAAGACAAGACAGCCGGCCTCGACCGCTTCGGCGACATCTTCGTCTGGAAGAACAACCGCGTGAAGCTGCACGTCCCCTCCGAGATGAACGACTACATCAACGCCTCCCCCATCATCATGAAAAGCCATCGCACCTCACTCCAAAGCAAATACATCGCCATGCAAGGCCCCAAGCAATGCACCACCGACCACGTCTGGCGCATGGCATGGCACGAGCTTGCCAGCCCCGCCGTGATCGTCATGCTGACCGACGAGAGGGGGTACCCCTATTTCCCATCCACCGCGTCTCAAACACTGTCCATCAACACGGCTGACGAATTCGGCGACGGCTTCTTGGGAACCGTGACGTGTGAGGGCGACGCGGAGCTCTCGGACGACGGCGCGACGGAGATCAGGAAGCTGGTTTTACGCGTGGAGGGCGAGGAGGAGGAGAAGGTCATCTGGCACTTGCTGTACACGCAATGGCCTGATTTCGGCATCCCCGCCGAAAACGAGACCGCCTCGCTACTGAATCTGATCGCTCTTACCAAAGAAAAGAATGCCAGCCCCACGAACCCGAAAATCGTGCACTGTCGCGCGGGCGTGGGGAGGTCGGGGACGTTCATCGCGCTGGACCAGTTACTGGGTGAGCTTGAGGCGGGGGCGTTTCCGGGGGATCGGGGCGGTGGGGCTGGTGCTGGTGCTGGTGCTGCGGGGGGGGTTGAGGCGTTTCGGAGGGATGATCCGGTGTTTGAGGCTGTGAATAGCTTGAGGATGCAGAGGCCGAATATGGTGCAGGCAGTGCCGCAGTATCGGTTTATTTATGAGGTACTGAAGAGGGTGTGGGAGGAGAAGTATGGGAGGAAGCTTGCGGAGGCGGGGGGGGTGGGGAGGCCGAGGAGTACGGGGGGGGTGCCGACGGCGAAGGATTTGAGGGAGGTGGATGCGGAGGATGTTCTTACGGAGTAGGGGGGAGGTTGTCTGTATTGGTTGTGGTGGAGGGAGGGGAGGGTGGTTTATTTGAGTTTCCATGGCGTTTGTTTTATGCGAGACCGAGCAAGCGGCGAGCGAACATAGACGGAGCGCTGTATATTAGACGGTGCGCTATAGTGGTCCCGGACATTTTAGTTCGCGGGTTACGGTGAATGAGATAAATCAACTGAAATCATTTCTCATTACTATATACCAGTCATTCACTCGTAGATACAGCGCCACACCCGCTCTACTGCCCAACAATATTATGCTTCCAAAGACCCCCACCCCCTTACTGTTCCAGCCATTCCAATAACCAATACCCGCACAAGCAACGCCAGCAACCAGCAAACCAATATATCAATGCTTCCTTCGCCATACAATCTGAGGCGACTACGTCGCTGCCATCGCCGGTGTTGCTGCCGTTGTCGCTGTTGGCGCTGGCTTCCCGGTGATGTAATCCCTGTTTTCAATCGTGACGCTCTTGGTCATATGGTTCACCTTATACACACCCACGAGCCTGCTCGCAAGCTCAAACATGTTATTGCGCAGGGAAATGACGATGAACTGAGCGTTCTTGGTGCGTTCCTTGATGTAAGAAGCTACGATAGAGACCTGGGATGTGTTAGTTTCGTTACAATTCGCAGAAGATAGCCGGGGGCCAGGGGGTTACTCACGTTGCGGAAATCGAGCGCAGCATCAATCTCATCCATAACATACAACGGCGTCGGCTTATAATGATGCAGTGCGAACACCAGTGCCAGCGAACTAAGCGTCTTTTCTCCACCAGACAGATTACTGATGTTCTTCCAGCTCTTCTTCGGCGGCATGACAGAGAACAAGATGCCCTCGCTAAACGGATCTAAACTGTCCACGAGCTCGAGCTCCGCGTTGCCACCCATGGTAATCATCTGGTACATCTCCTTGAGACGTAAGGAGATAGTCGAGAAGCCCTCCATGAAACCCTCGAGACGCAGACGGCGCAGGTCATCGCAGCGCTTCTTGACGCCATCGCGCTGTGCGACCGCGGCGGCGAGGTCTTCGGAGCGGATAGTGTGTTCCTCGACGCGGCGGCGGTATTCGGCTAGGACGCCTAGTTCCACATTGACGTTCTGTGTCTTCTCCTCGAGTATGGCGATTTCACTCTTCAGTGTGTCCTTGCTCATATCCGCCAGCTCGTCTTTGCTATAAGCCTGCAGCTCCTGGGGCTCGGACTCCTCGCCAAGATCATTGATATTTTGCACAGATAGCTTGGAGAATTTCTCTTGCCAGTAGCGGAGGCGTTTTTGGTTTTCGAGGAGCACTTTCTGGTTCTCTTCGAGCTTGTTGCGCATTTCGATTTCGACGGCGCGGGTCTCGTTTAGCTCGGCGGTCTTCTCATCGAGTTCAGCCTTCAGTGTCGAAAGCTCCTGTTTCTTCTCAGCGAGGGCTTCTTTGGCTTGCTCTGATCTCTCCTTCGAAGCTTCGGCGTTTGTGGCCTCGTTTTGAATTTCCTGCTCTAGTTTCTCCAGGCCGGCAATGACACCCTGTAAATCCTTGGTAGCCTTGTTGTGATCCTTTTCGAGCTTAGGGATCTGCTTCTCCGCTTTGGCCTTGGTGATTTCGGCTGTAGACACTGCTTCATTGAGAACGTCAATTTGCTGCTTCAGGTTATCGACCTCAACCTTCTGTGCTCGTAGCTTCTCGCCACCGACTGCCATAATTTTATCCTGTAAAGCCTTGATTTCATCTTCGACGCTCGAAGTCTCACTATGTAGCTTCTCGATACTCTTGTTAAGTTTAACAATCTCCTTCTCAAGGGATGTAACTCGGCCATTGTCGGTTTGATTCGGTTGATGCTCCTTGCTCAGCTCCTTGACTCTCCGCTGGGCATCTGCTAAGTTGCGCGCTGAGCTTTCAACCTCAAGGCCAATCTTCTGCATCTTCGTTTCTAATCGAGGAATTTGATGGCTCAAATCTCTCAAAGAAGCTTCGAGTTCCCGTTGACGCTCCTGGAAAGTTTGGAACTCTTGCTCCATGGCATCTCTGTCAACTTCCAGTTGGGCAACTTGAGTCTTGGAGACATCGGCAACAAGTTTAGAGGACATGAGACCCTTCTTAACAGTGTTACCTCCACCGGACATAGTACCAGACTTGTCGATGAGTTGTCCGTCAAGAGTCACAACGCGCCATCTGCGGGCTCCATACGCAATCCGATTGGCTTGAGCCAAATCATCTGCCACAAGGGTGTCTTGGAGTGAATGATAGAACGCTGGGAGGAAGATGTCGTTCTTTGCCTTGATCAAGTCGAAAAGTCGAGGGACGTTTTCTGGTGTGGCAATGGGTGATAGGTTGCGGTTGCCAAGTTTATCGAGACACATGAAGTTGCCTCTTCCCAGGTTCGTCTTTCTCAGATACTCGATACATTGCTGTCCGTTTTCGACTGTATCAGTAACGAAGTTATCCAGCGCGCCACAAGCGGTAGAAATTGCTACATCGTACTTCTGATCGATAGTGCCTAGGTTCCCTAGACGGCCATGGAACCCTTCAATGCGGCCAGATTCCTTCAATCTCATGAGTCCGGAAAGAACATTCCCTTGCGTCTGAGTGTTTGAGAGGCTTGCACGAGCCTCATCGGCCTTTTGCCTGGCCCCAGAAAGCTGCGCACGGTATTCGGGCTCCTTCTGGGCCATCTTGCTTAACTCGGATTTTGTCTTGGCAACCTCTTTCTCAAGCTTTGCCTTCTGAGCTTTACATTCTTCTAACTCAGCAAGCTTGGCCTCCTGGCTTCCCTGGATAGATGCTATTTTGGCCTGCGTCTCTTCGAGAGCCACAGCCCCAGCATTTGCCTTCTCATGAAGTATCGCAAGCTCACTTTCAGCAACCGCGACTGCTGACTGAGTTTGGTTGATCTTCTCGTTCCATGGCTCGAGGGATTTCTGCTTGGTAGCGATTTGGTCGGAGAATACTTGAGTCTTGCCTTTAAGGCTATCACGAATGCTTGCGAGCTCTTTCTCCTCGGCTTGCAACTGCTTCTCCAAATTGGCAATTTCCGCTGCTGACTCTTCGATTTCATTTGTGCATTCGGCGATGCTTGCAGTGGCTTCTTGTCCATTTTTCTCCGTAGCAGCAATACTCTTCTCTAACTTCTTCTGCTTTCCAGTTAAGAACTTCCTCTTTTCTTCGAACTTGACATTGTCTTGGTCGAATTTGGCCATTTCCTTCAGGATAGCCTGGGTCTCCTTGTCCATAAATTCGTACTCTTTCTGGCCTCGCTTGTATTGCTTGTCCATCTGCTTGATTCCATCTTCATTGCCCTTGTGCTTCTCGAGCTCCGTATCAAGCTGCTCTTGCATTTGGCCAATGGCTTCCTCGGTGACTGTTATGTTATCACCGCAGCCATCGATGTATAATTGATAAAGTGCCGACTGCTTAAGAGCTAGTTCATTCTCGTCTTTTATGTATGCAAGAGCCTTGTTCTTTTTATCCTCGAGACTATTCTTCTCCTTCTCAACGTGTTGCACACGGGTACTCTTTTCCACGCAAACCTCGTTGAGTGTTTCGACTTCGGCAGCAGATTCTTCGATAGGAGTCTTGTATTTGGATGTCCCGATGATGTCTTCTAAATATTCCAGTAGTCCATCATCGTGCTCATTTGCAGCCTTGGCCTTCATCTGAGCAATAGATTCGACTTCACCCTGTAAAATAAGGAAACGCTTGTGATCAAGATCCACGCCCTTATCACGCAGGAGGGTCGTTACTGTGGTGAAGTTCGACTCTTTTCCGTTGATATAGTATTTACTTGCGTTGTTCTTGAACGCCCGCCTCGAAATGACCAGGTCTGAGCCAGGCATAATGTCATGCCCTCCATTGGGCAAATCCATTACTTCTTGGAAGTGTACAGCAACCTCGCAATGGTCTAAATTGGGGAATGCTGCCGAGTTATGAATCAATGCGGAGATTTTCCCTTGTCTCATTTTGCTGGCTCGGAAACCGAAGACGAATAGTAAAGAGTCGATGACGTTTGACTTTCCGGAACCGTTGGGACCTACGACCGATGAGAAAGACGCATGGAAAGGGCCAACTTCTTGTCTCCCTGCGTAACTCTTGAAGTTGGTGAGGATCAGATATGTGATGACAGTTCGGGCCTTGGGGCCAGTATCTTCCACAACAGGGGCCGCCATTGACCTTGACTTCAACACGATATCCATCGGCCTTTCCAGGACGGTATCCATAGGATTGATAGGCTTGGCCATTGCCTCTGGGCTCCCTGGAGCCGGAGCCGCTGGTTGGTCATTCAGTGTCTCCGTGATATCGGCAAGTGGGGTGCTATGGAGTTGGTAGGGTGCAGGCGACACTGAAGCTTGCGGCGTAGGCAATGGAGCTGGTAGTTCTGGTGGAACAGAAGCACTTCCTGCACGCGAAGGCGCGGCGCTCTTTCGTTTTCTAGGCGACGCCCTTTTTGTTGGAGAAGGTGGCTCTGGGTATGCGGTTTGCTCAGGGTCGAATATCTCGGACGGCTCAATGCTTTCGGCCACAACTGACTTGCGAGTTCGTCCGGATGTGCGCGGTGTACTTGGCACTGATGTGGTTGTTTTCCTCCTCGACTGTGTCTGCCTCCGGGGGCTTCGCTCCGGTGCGGGGGTAAATTCTTCTTCGCTCTCTTCCTTCACTTTTTGAGAGCTTCCACTCGGCTCATCCTCGTCAGACGAATCGACGATTTTCCGGCGGGCGGCTGCCCTTCTCGAGGGTCTGGTGGGGGATTCCATGATGCAGAGCCGTTTTGGTTGCTTTGTTTACTTCCTTCGAAATGGAGGGGCAGTCGTCGGTGAGCAGACGGGTCTATTGCGACATTGAAAATGACAAACAAAATTCTGGTGACTGTGGTCTCAGGCAAACTGAATAGGCACTGGTTTGACGCGTATTTGGCGTCTGGGAATGTTGATGGGTATTTGCGGCGTGGTTGCGGTTTATCGGCGAGGCTGATCAAAACATTGGTGACGAGTTTCGCGACGAGAGGTCCCAACATGCACAAGCGAACAAGGCTGTAACTTTTGTACCTCAGCCGTGCACCACCAGACCACCAAGGCTGCTTCACAACGTCGCAAACATAAGCCAATGCCGAAGATGTTCGATATTAGCAATTTCGACGATGTTTTCGCATTTGATCCAAAGTACAGCTATTCTGCGGAAAGTGTGGAGAGCATAGAGCACCACAGGACAACCTTTGAAGGGTTGTTTGTTGACAGGGTCCTCAAACTGCTCGGAATCAAGAGGCGTAAGTCTGTTCAACGGTATTCCAAGCTCTCTAACTAACCCAGTGTCATAGCCAATAAAAGTTACCCTCCAAAAAGCAATGGCGACCTGAGGAGCCTTCACCAAGCTGTCGTTAGCTCGAACGCTGCGCACCATACGAAGGTGTCGCTCCTGTATTATATTCTCCTCGACTGCGACGAAAAGACACGAAACAATGCGAATTCAAACGCCTTCGAGGAGATGTCATTCATGCCGAAAAAGTATCAAATATTCATGAAAGGCCTCTGGCGCATGGACAGAGCACAATTTGAGGTTGGTTATGCCACCCATGACGATGGTTTAAACTGACACTTTCTAGCTTGCTCTCCAAAACCTCACACACCCCTCACTTATTCCTACCTTTCAAGAAGAAATTTTGGGGGTCTTGGTCAAACATTGCCCAGCAGACGACATGAGCCTTCCATTGGCGTATTATCATACTGTACTGCCCGCTCTGATCAACACGCCCGCATTGGACAGCCTATTCCTGGCAATTGCAAGAACAAGTGTGACAGAGGCATTCTTTTTCCTCAGAAGCCAATCCGAGCTAGATCAAACCCGCATGTTTGAGTCTTTATTACGGCATATGACCCAGGAACCGCTGGGCGACAGAACTGCAGCACGTGGGATAGAGCTCGCAAACTTGCCATTCACCAAAGAAGAGGAAGCCTTGTTCGAACAGGTCTTGAAGGGCATGGGTGGAAGGACAGCGGCGAGGGCAAGGGATTTGGTGATGCTCCGGAGAATAGGGACAGGGAAATTTAACGAGGCACTGGATGTTGACTGTAACAGGAGCAAAACTGTTGGCGGTTTAAATTGGGAAGCTTTACAGGAAGGCATACGGGAGGGCCTGGGACCGCGATATGACATTTCAAGGATGAGATAGTCGGCTGGACTTTGCACGGAATAGTCAAAGTAAGGGAGTCAATTAACATGGCGTCTGGCGTCTTTGTAAGCCGAATAAAGAATTATCCATTTACAATGCAAATTGAGTTACCTAATGTAGTATTTTCTTTGATATTGATGTCATGAATGTTGGTTTAAGGTTAGACTTTGTCTGTCTCGAGAGTAATCAAACTGATTTCATCACCTCGGCATGGATTAACATTGTGGCGGTACTCGAAATGCGGCCTTGTCGCTATCGATAACGACGCGATGATTCACGGTTCAATTCTTTGACAACATTAGAGGCGTTTATACGTTTTGATGTCCTTTTGCGAATTGCAGCTCTCATAATATCTCACGTTTTACTGTTTGTGTTTAATATGGCTTTTTATTATGCTGTTTGTCGGACAAAGTGAACCCTTCCCAGAAGACTAAGCAACAGGAACAATGGCTATTTGCAGGTTCTGGGGGAAGGGGACATGCAAGAACGGGAGTCAGTATATGTGGAAAGCTACTTTTCTTAATCCTAAGCTGACTTGTCAATAGATAATTGTCGATTTGAGCACATTGGCCCTCCTGGCCAAGAAGTAGCCGGAGGCGGCGGCGCACCTGGTCGCAATCCTTTCAACGCGGTCGCAAGCAATGTCAACCAAGGATACGGAGGACAGTCTACGTTTGGAGCCAGGCAGCCGCAAGGGCAGAGCAGCTTTGGAAGGGCACCGGATACCCGTGGTCGTGCGCCAACAGGTCCTCAACCAGGACAGCAAGCGCAGCCTCCATACCTTCTAGGCAAGGATGCAATGATCACAGATCTGTCGACTGAACTGCCACAATGGATCCTATCAGCCTATGGACCGGGCCTGAAGGCCCCTATACAACTTTTTGGAGGAGAGGAGAGAGAGAAGAGTTTCGAAGAAATGCGATTGAATCATTATGCGCTTCGAGCGCAAGGGCAAGAAGCTCTGGCTGTATGCATCCCAGAAGACGTCATACCAAAACTATACTAACATTGTTCCAGGCGCAACAGCAGGACGAATTGATTCAGAAGGCAGCAGCACAAAACCAGAACGCCCTGCACAACATCGACGCTGCCCTGACGTACGTTCTCCGTGGTGAGAATGAACATCCAAACCGACTGGATATTGTGGAACAGTATACAAAGGGGCTCATAAATCCCACACAACCTATGGCTCCGTTGGGCGCAAACATCCCCGCAGTGAACCCTCTGGGACAACCCAGTCAAATTCCACCGGCGAGCGCATTCGGTGCAGGCCAGTCGATTCTAGGACAAGCTCCGAATCCGCTTGGAGGGCAAGGTGCTTTCGGCGCTCCAGCTCCGGCATTTGGGCAACCAGGGCTAGGGTCCAATCCTCAGGCGTCACAGCCCTTTGGCGCGCAGGCACCTGTACAACCACCACAACCCAGCCCCTTTGGACAGCAACCTCAGCCAGGCGGCATTGGTGCATTTGGTCAGCCTGGAGGCTTTCAGCAAAACGCACCTAACCCTTTACTTGCACAACAACAATCCCAGGGCGCCTTTGGACAACCGCAGGTCCAGCAGCCTACCCAACCAAGTCCATTTGGACAACCGCAGGTTCAGCAGCCTGCTCAACCAAGTCCGTTCGGACAGCCACAGGCTCAACAACCTGCCCAGCCAAGTCCATTCGGACAACCTGCTGCGCAGCCCGCGAGCGGTTTCTCTACGGGAGCAAGCCCCTTCGGCGCACCCACCGCTCCCTCTGGCTTCCAACAGGGCGGCGCGCAACCTTTTGGAGCTGCTCCTCCCAGCAATATTCAGGCACCAAACCCATTCTCGCCAATTCCTCAGCAGCAAGCTGCCCAGGGCCAGCAATCCGGGTTTCCTGCCGCTGGTGGTCAAGTCGCCGATCCTAGCCCTTACCCGCCCGGCTCGAGCGCCCAGCATCCGCACCCGTCAACTTACAGTGCACGAGATGCTTCCAACCGCATAACAATGTTCAAGGGTAGACCTGTGGTATACAAAGATAACCAGCCGGGATTCCAGAACTCTGATGGGAGTTGGGAAAAGATATGGTTTCCGAATGGGCCTCCGGGGTATTATAGTGCGACAGAGCTGCCGGAGGAGGGGTATGATCAAGCGACGAAAGAAGCCTATGAGAAACTTAGGCAGACGGGAGAATTGGAAGGAGGGAAACTGCCGCTATTACCGCCGCGGAGGGAGTGGTCGAAATGGGATTTCTAGAAATACAGGGAGGGACAAAGAATATATATATAGCATGGGACGGTGTCCGGTTGTGGATAATACTGTTGGAGTTCGGTTTTTTAGAGAAGTCAGGTTAAAGTGGGATGGAGGATCATCCTTGGGCTACAATGAGACTCCTAAGTCACGGCACAGACAGAATGTAGAATATGTTTCAAGAGTCATGCATATATAGTAATTCGATGGTGGCTAATATCTCGCCCTCTACAGTAAAAAGCGTCCAATAGCACCCCGAACCCTAACATGCAATGCCAGAAGAAGGACCATGATACATTTAAGCAGCAATGGTGACCTCAACCTCGACACCGGCCTCGATGTTGATGATGATCTGCTTGACGACCTCAGTGGGGGCGTTAAGACTATTGATACGTTAGTGAGGCCCTCCTACAAGCTGCTTGCCACACCCAGGGCGTAGCAAAGATCACGGGCTACTTACTCAATGAGGCGCTTGTGGATGCGCATCTCAAAGGTGTCCCAGGTCTTGGAACCCTCACCACAGGGGGTCTTGCGGGTGGTGATCTTGAGGGTCTTGGTTGGGAGACGGACGGGGCCTTTGACGCGGAGGTCCTTGGATTTGGCACGCTCAACGAGCTCGGTGCAGACCTTCTCGAGGGCGTCGACCTTGCGGGAGGTGAGGGTGATACGGATGCGGTGGATTTTCTGGAAAATTATGCGTCAGTAAGGTATATCCGACGACACCGATTCGGAGGTCGCAATGCGCTCAATTGCGCGTTGTGATGATGGGGAAGACATACTGGGCCCTCGCCGAACTCCTTCTCTGGCTTCTGGAAAGACATCTTGATATAAGTTATACCTTGGCGACTCGAACGTTATGTTTCGGCAAAGTGACTAAGGCGATCGTTGGGTTGTCGTGATAGCGATGGGAAGGAAATATATCCATATCGAGAATTGTATTTTTGGTGGGCACGAACTCTTGGCATCGCTAGCTAGGGCTGAATTGGTGATTGTCACGTGATATGTGGATTTCCCAAATAAGGTACGTACTTTTAGGTTGATATCAAGGTTGATTATGGAAGTGACTCGCCGGCATTATTGAATTATCACCAGCGAATTCAGGACAAAGGCGTTGATTTTGAACAAAGCAATATATGGATCGTTTGGAACAGGAAGAGACATATTTATTAACGGAAGTTGATATCACCCATCCACGGATCTATGGCCTCCAATACGCCCAAACGGCTTCCGTCACTAGCACCGTTCCCCGAAGCTGAATGGAGAGCACATCTTGTGCCTGAAGAATGGGCAGCATGCCTTGACGCATGGATAGTCTTGGTTGAGGCCAATTTATCTCTGCCTCCTCAAAATTTTGCTCAGGCCCTTGCCGGCGATGAATATTTAGCGGTGTTTGTTACTTCATATACGAGGCAGCTCGCGCTGTTATCACCTGACGTCGACTCGTTCGGCGACGTCGAGAAGTCCAAAACACTTAAGAAGAGCGTCTTCTTTCTTATCAATAGGCTACTGGACTCAGAGCCGCCTCCGGAGACGCTTCTTAAGTGGGAATTCTTGGCGGACTTTGCGAAGGCGTATGGGAAAGGCCTTTCGAATAAACCTCTGGCCAACCTCTGGAGGAAATCCTCTGAAGCACTCGCGTTACCTTTGGGCAACTTTAAGTCTCGTCTTACTAAAGACCTTGAAGCTGGACTCAAAGGTAAACCCGCAGAGGTCGAACAGACGTTGAAGCGTCTAAACCATCTTCTCTATGCGTCTCCCGATACCGCTATTTTTTTCATGAGCGGATCTGATTTCCTTGATGCTTTAATATCATGTTATAAGCTTATGAATCCACCATTACGGAAGGCTATCATTTCAACGACATATTTGTGTCTAATCACCTTGACCGAGGGTGAGAAGCCAAGGTTTTCTCAACTTATTGACCAACTATATTCTCTACAAGCTGCAGCGGAAGCTCACAAGGCTGGTCCGACGAACGTCAATGATTCTCTCGTCGCAGAATTAGTAACAGCTACTCCACTATTAAAGCAAGTCAGAGACCGCATAGATCAGAGTGGCACAGGGTCTGCTAGAGCGAAGCCTATCATATCGTCCTTGGAGGGCTTCCGGAAACCCAACGCTACACGCCCTAAACGGATCGTCAAACGGAAGATCAATAAAGGAAAGAAAGCAGCCAATGTCGATAGTGAACATGACCATGGGGCAGGTCCTGTTCACATCCACCTCATCAGCCTCGTATCTCAAGTCCAGGACCTATTCCCAGATCTCGGCTCTGCATTCATAGTAAAGCTGTTGGACGAATACAACGAAGATGTTGAAGTTGTGATTTCTCATCTTCTCGAAGACTCTCTCCCACCTCACCTCAATGGGCTGGACCGCACAGAAGCACTCCCCGAAACTGCGTCCGGTGAATCAACCTTACCACATATGTCGCCTCGTGCTACACCACCACTCGCCCCTACTCGCCGCAACATCTACGACGATGACGAGTTCGACCAGCTAGCCGTCTCTACCTCGCGATTACATTTCGGCCGTAAAGATGCCGACAAGACCGCAGATGACATCCTCAAAGACCGCTCTACAGCGCCAAATACAGCAGCTATTCTCACAGCCCTCACAGCTTTTGATAGCGATGATGATGAGAGAGATGACACATACGACGCCGCAGATGTAGGAGGCGCCGTAGACGCAAACAACACCGACGAACTACGAGACCAACGATCAGAAATGGATGATGCGAAGGATGAATTGCTCTTCCGCGCATGGAAAATGAACCAAGCGGTGTTTGGGCGGGATGCACCCACGAGAAGGGGCAAAGAGCGAGCCAGTTTGAAGCAAGAGACTGGCATGACAGATGAGGCTATTGAAGGCTGGGGTATCATGTTGTCTCGCGACCCGCGCAGATTGCGCCGACTCGAAGCGAAGATGTCGAGTTTCAGCGGTCAGCAGAACCAATTGGCGCCCACTAGCTGGCGTGCGGATTCCGGGACTGAGGGTACAGATGGTAGTGATGTTGATGGTGGGAATCGAGGTAGAGGAGGGTTCAGGGGCCGAGGTAGAGGTATGGGTGGGAGAGGTAGGGGGGGAGGGTCTAGTGTTGCGGGAGCACCTGGGCAAGACACAGATAAGGCGCGAGAAAGGAAGGACCAAAATAAGGGGAGGGTGGCAAACCACAATCGGAGAGACCAGAGGGCGAGGAAGGTGGCGAGGGCAGGGTTTCCGGGGTAGTTGGCGCATGTCACAGGGAAAGTTGCTGTCAGAAGGTGGGCCATGGGAGACGTGCTTTACATATAGATATCCAAGCTGGGTGTGGAAATTTCCTGCAATTATTGGTAGATGGTCCATACACAGTCTAGAATAGGCTATGGAAATAAAGTTCAAAATAGACATCTTTAAAACTGGAAAGCCTTGTGTCCCCGCACATGCTAATGCCCCTTTACTACAAAGCCCCAAAGAAATCATTAAATTTCTGCACTTTTGCAGGACGCATCTTCCTTGCAGACTCACTCTCCGGCCGCTTATTGAATGATGGCGGTGCCGTAGAGGGCTTCGTATCGGCTGGATTGGAAGTCGATTGATCTGGTTTTGGCACTTTACCCGGTATAGTGGTCCGCAAGAAATGCCAGGACTTGATGCGAGAAAAGTTGTCGAACTTGTCGCCAAGTTTCCTCGGGCCCAGAAGAATGCTAACTATCGGTGCGGTGGTGATGATAGATTTGAAGGTATCTCCTATGCTGACAATACCCGGCCCGCACTCCTTAACTCCAGCAGCACGGAGATCACGATCAAGCCGAAGATAGGTAAGACCGTGGAACTGATCGAGGCAGTGCACATCCCCATCAGTAACAGTATGTGACTTAGGCTGCCCCAGAGACTCGCAAAATAGGTTCCAGTCAGTCTTCTGCCAGGATTCGCCTTGTACAAAATCACCATACTCACGAACCCGGCTCATGCGGTTTTCGGGGCCGCCTTGCTTTACTCCAGACAGCCAATGGGTTGGGGGTCTAGTAGCTTCCAAATCAGCGAGGAATTCACTTCTATTCTTGGATGGAAGTGTTGTTACTTCGCAACCATCCCATGATGTTGGATTATTGGCACCAAAATTGATGAATGGCATATGCCATACCTGCTTACTCGAGGAGTCGTAAGAGTAATTATCATCTCGCGGGTTTACCACATTGATGGTATTGTTGAACTGAGTTCCGATTAAAGATGTTTTTGAATCGCAGAGAGCTTGCCAGCCCACTTCTTTTGCTTTGACGGCAACGGATTCGCTCATACGGTCCGGACCAGGGAATATCAACCCCAATGCCGGGAATGAATTGAAGTGCCTAAAGCTGCTTTCGGTGAGGCCACCTTCGAGAACATGGAATTTGAGGACTCTGAGCACGGAGAAGGCGCCCTTTTCAACCGCGAGCTCTGCCCAAGCTCTCAGAAGTCTATCGGGAACAAGCCTCTCTAATCCACGCTTGAGAATTGATTCTTCGGTTTCATAGATTTGCAAAATTCCAAGATTGACGACATCAGCGAGGTTCACCAGCTCATTGATTGGATACCATGCTGTGATTGTCAGAGATGTCAAGAAGTCAAACGAGGTCGATGTGACAGGTCCTGTGTATAATGACAACTCTGGACTTGGTGATTCAATTTCTTGGCGGTAGCGACGAAGCCCAAGTTCTGTCGCAGTGTCACGCTTCTCAGAAAGTATTCTCTTGGAAATCTTCTTCCAAGTGTCCAAGTTCAACTGGGCCCTACATCGGTGATAAGCGTACTATTAAGCTTGAAGACACTTAAAAAGCCAACATACACCCATAATATAGAGATAATATAGAGAATAATAATTGTTCGTCACATACCTTTGGTTGATGGCCGCCCACATCCCTTCGACAGTAGAGAGTGGGAGCTGGTCTAAAAACCCATCTGGGAAACTGCCCAAAGGGCCCAACTCAGCGAACCTCCCTTGGGCTACCCTAGCAACTTCCTCAAGAAGATGCAATGGAATGCGCTTCAGGGTATTCGGTAGAAGAGAATGCAGATTAGATACCAAGACATTGATAGAGATATCGAATAATTTCCTGGGAGCGTTTGCAACTATTTCTGCAGGAGAACGGTTCTGTTCGACTACTTTGCAATAGTTTCTGTATGCAGGTGTCTCAGAGCTCCTGTACTTCTGGCAGAGCGCAATTGGGGTCTTCTTTGGCCAATTTCGAGCATCATTCTGGTTTTGAATTGGGGCGATTCTCTCTTCGAAAACCTGGCCTGTCCTCTCATCAAACATTATGGATCTCTGTGATTATTCCTCCAGCGCCAATAGATAGCGGACAGAGAGAAGCGATCACAGGTCGCGTCAGTGTCATGTACTCTTCACATCATGTGGAGTTGAGCAAATATGCTGAGTTTTTGGATGCTTGGAAAAAAGGAAGACTATCAAAATTGTCTATGGTGTTGCTCCTTCTTATAGCCTTGGGGGAACAAAGGTCGGGTGGAACTGGGTCCGATAAGAGCTTTACCCCACATCGGCGCTTAGTTCGTTGAAGTGTTGACAGTAAGCGCGAGGGTTTATTGACTTGTAGTTACAATTTTTATATCATTTTTATAAAAGAGAGATAATGGCGCAAAAAGCCAGTTGTCTTCCCTCACCAAGTGTTTAATAGTCCTATAGTTGCTGGTGTGGAATTATAGGCGCTGCCACCCGTGATATTGAACCAAAATCGTTATCGTTAAACTTGGCTTGCCGGGCCTTCCCGTAACTTTGTTAACCTACTCTCTCCATCAACGACTCAACTGTATCTCCGCATTTCCCGAACTGCCAGAACCGCTCGCAACTATCTTGGCCGAATTATACATGTTCTTCACATATGAATGGTCGTGTGAATAATCTAGGCATCGTGGCCTGCGTTTAGTTATGCTGAAGAAGGCTGGAATTGCTCTGTCATCAGCATGCGCGAAAGGAATTGGAGCTTCCACGGGAGCTTCGTCGTCAGCTACGTCACGACTTCGCCAACAAAACGGTTCATTCACTAGAACTTCGACCACCCCGCCGAAAGTTACAGGACCCAGGGCATACGCTGTAGTGGCAGATGGGCACAGTAGAGATGCGCACCAGCCAAGTATCCCGTGGCCCGAAGTCAAGTCAGCCAACGCGGTTCCTACACCCTACGAGATCTTTAACCAAAAGAAAGGATCGCCGTATTCAAAGCGTCGTTTCTACGAACTGGTGAAGATTTACCACCCGGATCGGCTCAGCCAGAGCAGCTCCTATGACTACGAGATATCCGACGCAACGAAGCTCGAGCGATATCGGCTTATTGTGGCCGCGAACAACTTACTCTCCGATCCGGCCAAGAGAGCTGCATATGATGCATATGGGACAGGATGGCAAGGAGAATCAGACAAGGCTACACAACATGGTAGCTGGGCCCCACCATATTCTGGCAGAAGTGGAGAGGGTGGCCCTGGTGGACCAAGATACAACGCGACCTGGGAAGACTGGGAGAAATGGCACCACAGGAACGAAAAGCAAGACCCGATATACTTCTCTAACGGCGTGTTTGCTGTATTAATTCTTTTATTCGGTACGATCGGGTTCGTTGGGCAAAACAGGGTGGTGGATAACTTCTCCTCAAGCTTGACACATCAAATCGATGCCCTACATAGGGATATGAGCCAAGAACTCATGAGGCGACGGAGAGAGGCCTCTATGAATGCTAACAAAAATGAGAGAGTACATGAGTTTTTGAGAACTCGGGAGCAACTGGCCCATGAGGCTGAGAACCCTCGTCATGTACCCACCCAGAAACTACTACCTCCTCCTGATGTGCGCAGTAGCAAATGATACTGAGAAGAATCATATCAGGGTCATATCACTGGGAACTGGAGCAAAAAATAGAGCACTGGCTTTACTGTGCTAGATATAATTGGAGCCATTGTCAGGGAATGGACTTCACGGGATTGAAGCATGGAAGGCGCTTGTAAATATGACAAATGGCGTAAGGGACTGCAGACGGACGAACATAGACACGGCTGAGTTTGTATGAGAAAATACTGTACATATTCAATATTCATAGCTGAACTTGGGCGTGGCGCTTTCATGGCGGGCTGTAGCCAAGAAACTGTGCCTCAAATACTCATCATCGATGTGGAGATCTCACACCCCCACTATAGTAACCTCGTGTGGGCACCGCCACGTCAACAAACCATAAACACCTTCACATCACCACATACAAGCTGGCTTCCTCAATTAGAACAGTTTTTTTTATATCTGCCATATTTACCCTTTTTGCTGGCACCTTGTTATCGATTTTTGGGAACTATTTTCCAGAGCCTTTCATAAGAGGTGAATACTCATCTACACCAATCAAGATGAGCGGCAACTACAGATCCATTGCATACTTTGCAAACTGTATGTTTTTCAACTACAATAGATGCATAGATGACACGCTGATGAGTGTTAGGGGCTATTTATGGCAGAAATCACAATCCCCAGGACCTTCCAGCAGACAAGCTCACACACGTATTGTACGCCTTCGCCAATGTTCGGCCGGAGAGCGGGGAAGTGTAAGTATTCGGTTTCCATCAGCATTCAAACCTTTCAAAGCATATGCCCAAAGTTTACAGTCAAGACTGTGCTTTCCAAAGGCATAGTTTATGTTCCATTCGCCTACTCATTGTCCTTGGATGTCTTTGGGTTAACGCCCAGACTGCCCCTCATTTATACCCCGCATTGTCATCGATGGATATATAGAATTGCTATCTTTGAGAATAATTACTAAATATTCGCAGCTTTTTGACCGACCCATGGTCTGATACAGACAAACACTATGAGAAGGACTCCTGGAACGATGTTGGGACTAACATTTACGGCTGTTTCAAGCAACTCAACCTTCTCAAGAGGAAGAATCGCCATCTTAAGATTCTCCTCTCCATCGGCGGCTGGACCTATTCTTCCAACTTTGCTGCACCTGCATCTACTCCTGAGGGGCGCCAGAAGTTTGCCACTAGCTGCGTGGATATTCTCAAAACCGTCGGCCTCGACGGGATAGATATTGATTGGGAGTACCCTAAGTCCCCCGAGGAAGGACAACACTACGTGCTCCTACTTGAAGCTGTCCGTTCTGCCCTTGACGCTTATGGCGCTTCCCTCTCCACGCCATTCCACTTCGAACTCACTGTCGCCAGTCCCGCTGGAGAGCAGAACCTCAATAACATGGATCTCCCGGGCATGGATCGCTATCTGGATTTCTGGAACTTGATGGCTTATGACTTCGCTGGCTCGTGGGATACGAATGCAGGCCACCAGGCCAATGTATTCCCATCCCAGAGCAACCCCGCCAGTACCCCGTTCAGTTCTCAAAAAGCCATAGACTACTACACTTCCCATGGAGTGAGGTCGGACAAGATCGTCTTGGGCATGCCGCTTTATGGCCGCGCTTTTGAAAATACCGATGGACTCGGAAAGCCGTATAGTGGCGTCGGGCAGGGGACTTGGGAGAATGGGGTGCATGATTTCAAGAAGCTGCCGCTGGAGGGTGCGGTCGAGAAGTTGGATGAGGAGACCGAGGGCAGCTATTGCTACCATGAAGAGAAGAGGATTTTGGTTACCTATGATACGGTGGAGGCGGCAAGGAGGAAGACGGCTTGGATAAAGAAGGTGGGGTTGGGCGGTGCGATGTGGTGGGAGAGCAGCGGGGATGGTGAGGGCGACAAGAGCATTATCAAGGCCGTTGCGGGGGACCTTGGGACGTTGGATCAGAAGGAGAACTGCTTGGAATTCCCAGAGACGAAGTACGAGAACTTGAAAAACGGATTCCCAGGCGAGGAGGTTTGAAAGGGTCAGGATAGAGCCCAGTGGCAAATGGGCCATATGATGAGCGGATATTCTGGACATTACGGGTGAACTAGATCAATCGAAGTCACAGAGTAAAATCATGAACAAATTAGGGTTGGTAGCAACTGTATTGTAGTATGCTATGATACATATTCCACCATATCAGAAGCTACTTCATCCATTCCAGATCCCGACAAATGCATTTAAGCCTTGTTCTCGTTGTCGAAGATGTAGGTAAGGTGGCAACGGCCGCAGTACTGGCGGTCGTGCATGGCGGCCATGAAGACACCGGCACCACACTGGAGTTTTGTTAGTGACTGGTTCATATACCATTTGAGGCAATGAATAACTTACGTCGGGAGTTGGGCACTCGCGGCGGAGACGCTCGATCTTTCCATCACCATCAACCTTGTAGTACTTGAGCACAGCCAACTTGGTCTTCTTGCGCTTGTGCTTGATCTTCTTTGGGGTGGTGTACACCTTCTTCTTGCGCTTCTTGGCACCTCCACGAAGTCTCAGGACCAAGTGAAGGGTGGACTCCTTCTGGATGTTGTAATCCGAAAGGGTGCGGCCATCCTCGAGCTGCTTGCCGGCGAAGATCAGGCGCTGCTGGTCCGGGGGGATTCCCTCCTTGTCCTGGATCTTGGACTTGACATTGTCGATAGTATCGGACGACTCCACCTCAAGGGTGATAGTCTTGCCCGTCAGGGTCTTCACGAAGATTTGCATGACTGCCTGTTGAAGCGCCAGTTAGTATATCGGCTTCGGCGGCGGGGAACGAGAAGTTGTAGGTTCACAACTCATCGTTCGTAATTGCGTTTGCTGGTTGTGAAAGCCTCGTCGTAAAGACAAGGCAAAGGGAAAAGTAAATTGTTTTCACATACCTAGACAACCTTATTGTCTTCCTGAGCGGTCGCAAGTGGGTTGGAGAGGAAATTCGTTGATCTGGACGATGGATCGCGTATAATTTTGGCTCGGTTAGGGTTAGCCACACAACTTCTGTGGCGGGGGTTAGTCAGCAAGCGATAGGGTTTCTCACTAGCATTTGCCCTGTCGCATCTGAAATTATTGAATTTGTGACGACAACCAACCTCGACAAGCACGACAACTCAACGATTTGAAATAGACAACATTTCAGTAAGCACCGACTGGGCAGTGGATGTTATAACAGCTTCTAATTGAATTATTAGAATCCGCAAAAATGGTCAAGAAGCGCGCGTCCAAGTATGTTTCCTCGATTCGTGGTTATCACCATCGCATTGGACAAGCCAAACAGAACCGGAACTAACGACGAGGCCTATAGTGGACGTAACAAGAATGGACGTGGACACGTGAACCCGATTCGCTGCTCCAACTGCTCCCGTTGCACCCCAAAGGACAAGGCAATCAAGAGATTTACCATCCGCAACATGGTCGAGTCTGCCGCCATCCGTACGTTCTTACCCTACGACCTACTGGGGCTCTATCTCTGCGTACGAGCTTTCTACGAATACTAGTGCAACAGAGAAGGGACCAGAAGGGAGGACCATACTTCACCAATGGACAATTCGCTGACAATTCGCAGGTGATATCTCGGACGCCTCGGTGTTCCCTGAATACACTGTCCCCAAGATGTACCTCAAGCTGCAATACTGTGTCTCTTGCGCCATTCACGGCAAGATTGTCCGGTATGTCAATCCTTGAGATGAACCTTGGTCGGGCGTCGAACTTCGGGCTTCAACCCTTAGATCCGCCCGTAGTAAGTAAACGAATATATGTACTGACATGGTGCCTATAGTGTCCGCTCCCGCGAGGGCCGCCGCAACCGTGCTCCTCCCCCACGTGTTCGCTACAACAAGGACGGCAAGAAGGTCAACCCCAACCAGGCTGCCGCCAAGACCACCCAGGCTTAAATGCTGATTCGGGATGGCGAGCGAGGTGCTTGTACAAGGGAATGGAGTCAATGATGTGCTTCGTAGTTGATAGTACCAATCGATGGCTTTATGACACATGAAACTCTCACAGTGATGGAAAGACCGTGAAACTCGCAGTGAAATGAAGTGAGACTATTAAAAATAATGCTGCAAAGTATACGCTTGTACCCCCAACGCACCGGCTCTAACCCTTCCTACACGAAATGAAGCAAAGCTATCTTATTATCCCGCCTCACAGCTCCTCGATCACATTACTCTTCTCCTTCTGTTCAGATTTCTCACCTCCCAACACCTCCGTGAAATCTTCAACAAGAAGCTGAGCGACATTCTTGCCCATTAAGGCGCTCGTCTCCATAGTGCTTATGAAGCTCTCGATTCCAGCCGTATAATATAGTCCGCGTGCCAATTCGATGTCTTCGAAGGTGACCCTTGGGTATTCATACGGATAGCTGTTCCAGACATGCGGGTAAAACCAGGTTATGTCGTCGTTCGGGGAATCTGCCAGGCTCTTGACTTCGGGTACTGCATATACACGTTAGTAGGATAGGAGAACACAGATTGGGAAGGAGGCTTACATGTGATTCCAAATAGACTTCCAAGAAACTCATTGGTGACAGCCTCGGAAGAGAATATCTTATAAATGAACTCCTTTCGGCCTGATGTGGGATGAGTGACACTACGGAGAGCGCTGATGCTGAAGAACCCCGCCTTTCCTACAATGTCCGTCCTGCTCGTTGGATCGTCAGAAGGCGACAGCGTGGTATACACTGTTGTAGGCACAACGTCACCAGGCTTCAGGCCAAAATAGCTACCATCCAACTTCAAAGGTGTTGTGAAGAGAGTAGCATGCAGCTGAACATATGGTATCTCATCGGGGTTTTTCTCGACGAGTCCATCAGAGAGCTTTAGGCCGGAATATTGGAATGGCGCGGCGATCACAACACTATCAAACTGTTGTTTCGATGCTGCAGAATTCCATGCTGCTTTTGCGGGCTTGGCGGTAAGAGTATACCGTCCACTGTTCTTCTCCAGAGAGGAAACGGCGGTATCGAGGTAGACTGTTGCCCCCGAGGCATTCAGCATGCGGTCGAAGATCTGCCAATTTCCGCCCCTAATTTGTGTGGCGCCATCAGTAGCCATGGAGACCATCGTCTCTAAGCCATGGATAACCCCCAGGTTCTGTAGGTAATTGACGCGAGTGAACGCTTGGATAATGTCTGTGGTGAAAGGTGGATAGACAGAGTTCGATGCCAGTAGCTCATCGCCAGTGACCGCAGTGGCGCTGACAAGATCCAACTCTATCACTCTCTCTGACAGTGACCTAAACGGAAAGAATGGTTCCTGGTACAGCTTCAAAAACTTTCCCACGGTAGCCTTCATCAGTTTGTTGGCGCGGATCGGTGACATTCCATACTTCCAGAGCATTTTGGCATTATTCCACCACTCCCAGCCTCCTGATGTTTGCAATAGGACGAACTTTTCGCCATTCCAGATCCCGATAGTCTCGTGTTCTTCTTCGTCGGAAAGAGGTTTGAGATCGAGACCAAATTCTTTGGTGGCGTTCATAAGAATCTCATTGACGGAAACGAAGATGGATGCGCCCAATTCAACAGGGTGAGCAGGGTCATCATAAGCGTCAACAGTTGTTGACCGGCCACCAACGTATGACGAGCGTTCGAAGACTGTTATGTTCACTTCGATGCCTTCTTCTTGGGCCAGCTTGTGGAGGTAGTAGGCCGTGGATGAACCAGCAGAGCCAGCACCTAGGGGTTGGAATTAGCTTCTGTATGCGAATCCCAATGTCATACTGTAGGGTTTATAAAGCCCATATTATGCCCGGAGAGTTCCTGATAAAAAGTGGTATCATTTGGCAGCTTGAGGCTTGCCCGTACCGAATAGAGCATGGGGTTAAGGGGCTCGTAGTAGCATCAGAGTAAAACGTGACAAAGCAATTTATAACCCCTATCTGGAAACTAGCATAATCCATAGAATCCTCAGTGACAGACAATCAAGAATCTGAGTGACACACATATCATTGCAAAGACTAAGCATGTGCTAGTGAGATGGGTGTGAACTGACCCCTAAGAGATAGGGATATGATTGAAGGCCATATATCAGAACTATGGGTCAATTCTGATTGACGCCTTCGGATTGAATTCTCAAGATCGTATAGGTAAATAATAACGCGATATAGACTTTATTAAATATTAAATAAATTCACGCACCTATAATCGCGATCTGCTTGACATCGCTCGTCGCGTCTGATTCCAGAGCATCAACTTGGGTGTGGAAGGGCCAGAAGCCGGCAGTCACTCCAATGACGAAGGGCAAGGCCAACAGGCTCGGCCTTATTCGCAAAAACATGGTCGTAGATACCGCTTTGGCAATTTAGAACGACATATGTTATAGTATGCCAAATTGCTACGATTAACATACAAACAAACTCGGAAGGAGCTGTAATACATACGAGTGGTCACGTGATTGGCGTCCATGCGTGCGGCCTAATCCGGTATAGAGGCTTTTTGGTGAATAGTCGCGAGGCATAGAAATTATAGAACGCGAATCGACGTGTGTAATAGCTGAAAGCAGCTCTTATCAGCCACACAAAACAGGACATCTGCCTCGATATAAATTTTAGAACTCTGCTCCGACCATCAAGATGTCCGCAGCACAGCTTCTGAACCCCAAGGCGGAGTCGAGAGTATGCTTACCCTACCCCCCGATTCACAGCGGGTTGCTAATAATTTACAGCGGAGAGGAGAAGCTCTTAAGGTCAACATTAATGCTGGTGAGGGACTGCAAGATGTTTTAAAGTCGAACTTGGGTCCCACGGGGACAATAAAGATGTAAGAGACAAGCTCCAAAAGACGACGAATGGCTGCTAACTTCTACTTTAGGCTGGTTGACGGTGCCGGTGGAGTACGAACCCCTCGATAGAGCTATACTTGACGGAACTGACGAATATATCAACAGATTAAACTCACAAAAGATGGCAACGTTCTCCTCCGTGAGATGCAGATCCAAAACCCTACAGCAGTTATGATCGCCAGAGCAGCGACCGCTCAAGATGATATCTGTGGAGATGGCACGACCTCAGTTGTATTATTAGTGGGAGAGCTTTTGAAGCAGGCCGACAGACACATCTCGGAAGGACTACACCCCAGGGTTATCACCGATGGTTTCGAGATTGCGAAGAACGAGGCGCTTAAGGTATGGGATTCATTGCGCGGGTGGCATCATTTCGGTTGCTGACATATTTGCAGTTCCTGGACGGATTCAAGCTCGAGAGAGAAGTCGACCGCGAATTACTCCTTTCCGTTGCACGCACTTCCCTGTCAACCAAGCTCAACTCCACCCTCGCCAACAAGCTTACCCCAGATATCGTCGATGCTGTCCTTGCCATCTACCAGGCACCGGCAAAGCCCGATTTACATATGGTTGAGATCATGAAGATGCAGCATCGTACTGCCTCTGAGACGCAACTGATCCGTGGACTGGCTTTGGATCACGGTGCACGCCACCCTGATATGCAGAAGCATGTCGAGAACGCCTTTATTCTATCGTTGAATGTCAGCTTAGAATATGAGAAGTCCGAGATCAACTCCAGCTTCTACTACTCCAGTGCCGAGCAGAGGGATAAGCTCGTCGAGAGCGAGAGGCGTTTCGTGGATGAGAAGCTTCGCAAGATTGTTGGGCTTAAGAAGGAGGTTTGCGGCGACGACCCGAAGAAGGGCTTCGTCATTATCAACCAAAAGGGTATCGACCCTCTCTCCCTCGACGTTCTCGTCAAGAACGGCATCTTCGCCCTCCGCAGAGCCAAGCGCAGAAACATGGAGAGGCTTCAACTTATCTGTGGCGGTATTGCACAGAACAGTGTTGATGACCTTTCCCCTGAAGTTTTGGGCTGGGCAGGCCGTGTCTACGAGCACCAGCTTGGTGAGGAGAAGTACACATTCATTGATGAGGTCAAGGACCCGAAGTCCGTCACCCTCCTCATCAAGGGACCCAACCAACATACTATCACCCAAATTTCGGATGCCGTGCGCGACGGTCTTCGCAGTGTTTATAACATGATCGTGGATAAGAGCGTTGTCCCTGGTGCCGGAGCTTTCCAGGTTGCATGTGCCGCACATCTTAACAGCGATGCGTTCCGCAAGACAGTTAAGGGCAAGGCCAAGTGGGGTGTCCAGGCTTTCGCCGATGCGCTGTTGATCATTCCCAAGACTCTGGCTGCCAACTCTGGTCACGATGTCCAGGATTCCCGTAAGTGTCCTCTTCTCTGCCAGTAATAAGGGACTCGAAAACTAACATTTACTAGTGGTTGGCCTCCAAGAGGAGTACTCCGACGGAAACATTGCCGGTCTCGACCTATCATCTGGTGAGCCGATGGATCCAATTCTGGAGGGTGTATACGATTCATTCCGTGTGTTGAGAAACTCGGTGGCAAGCAGCTCTGGTATCGCATCGAATCTGTTGTTGTGTGACGAGATGTTGAAGGCTAGGCAGATGGGCAGGCAGGGAGGTCCTGGTCCGGGAATGGATGAGTAAGAAGAGTTTGGCATTGTCATGAGGCGTTCAAGAATACGATAAAAACTCATAGATCTTAATAGCGACCTCAAAATGATGTACAATACAATAGCAAGATTGTAGAATATGAAACATCTTGTAAATGGATCGTCTCATGTAGAATCCCTGTTTGTGACGGCTACGCCAAAGATTTCCTGCACATCTCGATCCCTTTATAGAGCTATATCCGGTTGAATCTAAAATCAAATCACGTCCGGTTTATGGTCAACAAGCCGATCATTATCAATATTCGTCACTGGGCAGCTAGATTCCTTTCAATTTTATTCAATTTTAATCGGTAGGTATATATCTATATCATACAACTTCTTTAACTTTCTTTACCTCCCCTTGAATACCGGTACCCTCTTCTCCCTGAATGCCTTGAGCGCCTCATCCCTGTCCTCCGTTGCCACAACAGTCTCATACGCCTTGTTCTCCATATCCTCCCTGCACCACGCCGTAGCCTGAATCGCAGCCCTCGTTGCCACCGGGCCTCCCGAGCAGATCTCCTGTGCAAGTCTAACCGCCTCGCTGAGGGCCTCCTTTCCAGCCCTCTTTAGCAGAGTCTTATCCTCCTCTCCCTCTTTTGTTCCCTCCGCCTCCACGACCTCAACTAAGCGGTCTGCCAGACCCAAGAAATACGCCTCCGGGGCGCTCACACGTCGGCCGGTCAAAATCATATCCCTCGCGCGGTTCTGTCCAATAACAGCAGGCAGACGGTAGGTTCCACCAGCTCCCGGAATTATGCCCAGCCTCGTCTCCGGCAGTCCCACGATAGCAGTCGACGCAAACACGCGCAGATGCGCACACAGAGCCAGCTCCAAACCTCCACCCAAAGCCATGCTCGACACAGCCGCAATTGTGGGAATGGGCAGCGCTGCAAGGGCAGAGAATGTGCCTCGTAGGTTCGCGAGGAACGCATTGGTTTCCTCCTGGCTCATGCCCGCGCGCTCCTTAAGATCCGCTCCAGCGCAGAAACATGTCTCTACCTCGCTAGTGAGGATAAGAGCACGTGTGCGTCCGCGTTCATTGGGGCCTGCCGCGCCGCCGTATGTCTTCGGTATCGGAGTCTCGTTGCCCTCAGAATCGTACTCCGCGGCGATCTCGTCGATTTGAGCACGCAGGTCTGCGAGGAGAGAGCGAGAGAGGGCATTTCGAGCAGATGGGCGGTTCAGGGAGAGAACGCGGATGCGGCCGGTGGAGGGCGCTGGGAGGTCGGTGACGAGGATTTGAGGGCCTGCAGGCGCGGAATAGAAGCGGGCGGTTGAAGGGCGTGCGAGGAAACGGAGGCTGCGGGTTGCGCTGCGGTTAAGCAGAGGGAGGATTTGGACCATTGTGGGCGAATTGATGGTGGGAGATCGAGGTTGAAGGGTTGGGGGGGTTAAAGTGAAGGATGTTGTGAAGTCCCTATATCACAATAATTAAAGGCTCAGAGGGCAAGGCTGACTGACGTACAGACAGTGCTTTCCGCGCGAAGTTGCCGAGGCTAGTCCCGAGGCTAGCCGACCCAACACCATCCGCAAGGCTGAGATATGATGCGTGAACACCATCACGACATCGACACCGGTATCATTGATTTAGTCTCACCTGCACGTTTAAGATCGCCCTTACGAAGATTAGAGACTATACCGATATTATACCCACCAGTTCTAGTTTATTACCGAAGAAATGGATGCCCCTTCCCTATCACCCGAAGCTATTGCATTTGCTGCTCGGATTTACGATGCCGCACGTGCTGGGCAGATAGACCTCTTCGAACAAGCCCTACCGGCTGGGTTACCTGCAAATATGACAAATGAAAAAGGAGACAGTTTAGTGAGTGCAGCAAGTTATACTTCGATGCTTGTTTCCTATTTCTGTTCCGCCGACTGTATAAAGTGACACTCCATACTGTTTTGCGGCACTTCTCATTTTATGAACCCGTCTGTTATGGCATAGCTTTATCCCTGAAACACATTTACCAGCAACTAACAATTTGGAGGTCATGCTAGCGGCCTATCATGGGCACTCCCAACTCGTCAGGCTTCTTATTGCCCACGGAGCGAACCCAAATTCTCTAAATGACCGTGGCCAGTCGCCTCTTGCCGGTGCGGTCTTCAAGGGTGAAAGCGAGGTCGTTAAGGTAATTTAACCTCTCCTTCCGATCACGTACTGCTTTTCTATTTGCTTTCCCTTAGAGAAGGACATCCCTATGAGTTATATATGCGGATCCTTACACAGCAACAGGCGTTATTAGAAGGAGGCGCAGACCCAGACCATGGTGACCCAAGTGCAATGACAGCGATAGTGCTATTCAAGAAGGAAGATCAGTGGACGAAGCTTTTCGAAGAGGCACCTGGCAAAGGGAAGGCAGTTGCAACTTCGAGTCCACCGAGTTAGTGGTCACTTATGAATCATGAAAAGTAGCAGATTATGTTTCTATGTTGCTATCTATGTTCCAAGAATATAGCCTTGCATCATTGCATTCGTATACCGTCTATGTTTCTAACCCCATCATTGATGCTCATCGTCACCTTCGATGCTCATCATCCAAACTTTTGCCCTGAGCCTATCTACAACCTCCTGCCGAACCCATTGCATCTCTCTGCCATCTCGCTGCATCATGTTCGCCCATTCAAACAGTAATTTTAGGCCCTGCAACCTGTCTCTCTTACCACTGTGAAGCGTTGCCTCCTCCAGGACCAACCGCGCATCCACCAGCGTACCTTCTGTGCTCGTGTGAGCTGCTCGTCCCTTAGAGCCCTCCGGCGGAATAACAAGAGCTCGTTCCGCTGTTGTCAGCATGGAAAATGCCGGTAGCTCAAATAACCACTGCAGAGGATGCTGATCTGCTCCATCTGTATCATCAAGGGCCTGAAGGGTAGCGTGGAAAGCCGCCGCACTTGCATCATAAGCAGGGCGTCTTCTTACGTATATGGTTTGTGTTGACTTGAATGCTTTCAAGTGATCAGGGTTCTTCTCAAAATCGAGCACCACGTTCCAGAATTCTCGACTTTCGGTACCGACGGAGATTATATTGTCAATCTCAGGGAGAAGACAAGGTGCATGTCTTGACACCGAAGGGTTGGTTCCCGTGGTAAACTTGTCCGTGCGTAGAGAAATCTCAAGGGGTATGGAAACCGGCATATTGGTATCAATGTCGCGTGCTACCACACACCTTGCTTCTGTTGCTAGGACCCAGAAGTGGCGGAAAGCTTGGAGATGAGATTTGTTGTCCAAAATCGAAGTTGGGAAGAGTGGGTAGAAAGCAGCCATAAGAGCCGCGATGGCAAGGTTCGACGTGCCAAACGTGTGAGTGCCGCCAGCAAGAAACAATGCGCCGATTGCAACGTGTGCTGCCATGTGGCTTCCATATGGCGTCTCGTTGTCGTCGCGGCCACGCAACACTCTGAGGCGCCTGAAAACCACCAGGTCACCAGATCCAGCCATCACTGTAGCCGCACAAAGTGCCAGAAGGTCTTGACAGTTCCGAATAGTATTCCGTGCCAGCTTCTGGTCATAATTGGAGGCTGGAAGAGCACAGATGCGCATAAATTGGTCCAGATAGTGGACAAGGAGGTCTCTAACACGAAGGTCCCCAGTTCCACTGTATCGTAGAGCAATACTGAAGCAAAGGCCACCGAGTATATTGTAAAATGGTAAATCTTCGGCTGATAGGTGATGGACGCTGGTCAGGCTACTCTTGAATTTGTATTCTCTCGGCAAATTCTTCTCAATCCAGGACGCAGTTGCTTCAATTTTGCTCCACATAATCAGATGTGTTGCAAGTGTGCGGAGCAGGAACGTGTCGGGCCTGATATAATCAAATTGAAGAATGGAACTGGGAACGTCGATCTTCCGTGCTAAAGCATGATCTTCAGACTTCATAAATATGAGAGCAATGGCAATAACAGCACCAGCGGTTGCTTTGTCGAGGACATGTATCAAGTTGACTTTCTTGCTTCCAACGGCAAGCTTCAACAGCCTCTCCGTCAACTGCATATCATGTAAACCTCGAAGATCAGAACCTTTCCCTAGGTTGATGAACCCGAGGGCGAATCCCGCTGCAAGTCTGTAGCCTTCATTTCTCAGGGGCTCATCCAGCACTTCAGTTTCAACATGCTCAATCTCCGAAAGCATGATTTCGCTCATTCGGCGATGTTGAGTGTTGCAGTATAGGAGACCAATGCCCATGATGCCAGTTGTCTGTGTCAGAGGAGAGAGGTTAAGCTCTGCAGCTCCAGGAGGTAGCATTCGCGTAACATGTACGGAGAGAAGGCGAGTAATAAGAGAATCCATCGTCCCAAGATATGATGCTGCCAATCCCAACAACAGGCCAATGGACGTCATGGTATGTTTAGGGGTGAGGTATTTAAATGCTACCCATTTCGCCACACATTTAAGATGGCCGTTTAAGCCGAGCGCAAGGAGGAATCCTGCATGTCGATTGCTTAATTCCTGAGGCTTGTTGAACAAAATCCAAGAGGTATCTATGCCTCTTGCTTGGCGGGAAATGCCCAACCCTGCCGAGACGCCAGCATGGAAAAATGCCCAGCACACTTTCTCCTCGGTGAATGCATTCTTATCGACCCCAACAGTGTTATTTGCTGGTTTGAACACACAGTGAAGGTTAAACCCTCCAATAGGAAACTTCTCTGTCAAAAGGGGAACCCGTGCACTGAAGTACAACAGTCCTCGTCCAGGGGGCACGGCCAATGTTCGAACCGCCAATTCCTGTACATGTACCTTCTGTGCCTCTAGTAAATCGGACTCTGACCAGTCCGGTTCCGGTTCGCAGCGGGCCAAAGTGGGTTTCGAGGTGTTCAAGATTTTGGCCGCTTCATTGAGCCGCCTATCATCTTTGAAAATGAGTCGACTGATTGATTGCCGATCAACTTCTGCAGAGCCATCAAAAGCGCCGACAGTCTCTTGTTCCGAAAGTGATAAACAGATCGAATGTACATCATTACTCGACTCATGTGTTGGCGCCAAGGGGGATGCGTATGCAACCCTTTCCCTTTGTTCGGGGAAAAGGAGCATGTTAACATCTTCTCGTCCGACGAGACTCAGAAGCTCTCTCCCCCAGGAGACCTGAAGATGACTTTGACAATCGATCAATGCCTCTCTGAAAGGTATGAGAAGAGCCTCCGGAAGGGTATCTAAAATATGCGTGGTGAAACCAGCTGCGTACAGGGCTTCCACAATCTCAATTGACGACGCGCTCGGATGTACAACAGTGAATAGCTTTCTGAATAGTGACGTCCGTGGTGTGATGGACGACGATTCTTGCTCAATTATGGAGCCACCATTACTATACGTCCTATTTTTGACATCTGTAAGTGCCATAAATGGCGTGTTTATCTTCACAGTTAACGACTTTTCAATCCAGTCGTAGATAGACGGCGGAAGAGAAGGCTGAGCTAAAACTGTGGCAGTTGCTATAACATGTTAACACAATCTTTGTCGAATGGCCGGATATGCTTACTGGGATTGAACGCAACGCCCTCTGCCACAGCATCTTCAATGTCGTATGAGTCCGCCCAGTCGTTCCAGCCTATCCATCTGCACATTTGCGACAGTACAGATGCCAGGCTGGCACGTCCTGTAGTTAATGAGTCGACCGTTGCGATGTTCAGTTTATATTCTTCGTGCAATAAGTGTAGTCCTGAGATGATTTGAGTAAGGGCCTCCATCCGCAAGTCTGGACTCTGGCTATGGGCAGTGGGTAGATATCCACTAGCCCCGACAGCAGCATCGCCCAATGCCGTATTAAGATAGTCTTGAGCAATATTAACGTGTCTTTGTAAGAAGCTGTTTTCATCGCCTAAAGGCTTTGGTGGAGTTATGAGGTTAGGTTTGTCTTCTTTTCTCAGCCAGTCCCACCCACTCGTGAGAGCCCAGGATGGAAGTGAATTCCCCATGGTGCATTCGCGATGGAGAATGTCATCTACATCCTTTGTAGCTGAGTCTACAGTGCGGCCAGTCCGTACGGAGCCGGCTCGGGGTTTTCGCGGGCTAGCACGAAGAGGCTTTGCTCGCAAATCTCGAAACGGCAGCACAAGAATAAAAAGCGACACAACGAGAGCACTCCATTCGTTGTCGCATCCAATGTATGGTTTATCAGTAAGCCACTGTCGAATGTTCCACCACCCAGCAAGAACGGCTTCTCCGCCTTTATTCGGCAGCACGTATTTGCAGGCATCGAGGACATTTTTCACAAGGGGAAGTCGAGCCTCCATCCGCAAGTGCAACTGGTGGGATCTACCCTCTTCGTCGACAATATCCACCATCCCACCAGGCAATGGGTTTCGTAAGCCACGTAATGCTCTAGGCCCGCTACTCAACATTTTCGTCCGATTTTCCTCGGATTTGGTGTGAGGCTGGCCATTATACCCGAGGCTTAAGATGTTATTCATTACCAGCCTATCTGGAACAGATATTTTCATCAGTAATCCCCATGGTGCTTGTAGTGTCAGTTCTCCGAACCCATCCGTTGTCTCCGACAGAACTAGAATTCGGGAAATTCCTCCGTCAAATACCTTGCAAGCATCTATGACATGATCTGCCCTGACGACATCGCCCCAGTTAACAACTGGGTCCTTGGTTCCATCTGGATTCTGCTTTTTGGCTTTCTGTGCACCCTGAGGTGTTCGCTTCTTTTTACTCAATGTTGAATTGAGGGTAACAACAACAAATTTCTTCTCCTCGGGATCGAGTATACAGAGGAAAATTTGGTTTCGTTGCAGAGAGCTTGATGGAGCAGCCAAAGTGAAAACTCGACATTGGCTCTGCGCTGGTTTGTGTTGGGTTGAATATCGTAAGTTGCTGCGTTCGACAGGTATGGATTCGATCTTCGTGAACACGATCTCCTTCCTGAGACCCTCGAAGTCTTCATCTTCAAGTCCCATATTGTGAAACCCTTCAAAGTCTCCTCCAGCCTTCAGTTCCTCCAGAAGGTCATCAATCGGAGCCTCAAGAAAGCTATTGACACTAGAATTAAGCGGAAGCTGGTTCGAAGTAGAATTCTTGAATCCCTTGTGAAATCCAAAGCTGGCCCTGCCGTTGTGGCCCCCCATGGAATCCACACGTGGATTAGGTTGTTGTCCCACGGTGCTCATTTCCGAGAACATCGATCGATCGTGAGATGCCGAGGCCGAAAGGTCGCCTCTTGCTAACATTGAGCTCACACGTCTTGATTTCCTCCTCGGAACACCGTTGATTTCCGAGTCTGGATCCAAAGAGGAAACAAAATCGACATTTTGTTTGACTGCGTCGTCTTCTCTCCTCTTCGAAGGCTTCAGTATGCTAATACCAGCACCGGCACCTCCAAAACTCTCTCGAAAGGTATGTTGGGTATTTGCAACTGGGGTTGTTGCACCGGTGCCTGGCATGAATGAGCTTCGGCGGCGAGGCTTTACATCACTCGTCCTTGATGGCTTTCTAACAAGTGGTTCTTCTTGGTTCACATATTCCATTGTCCAGACTGTATACATGCTCGTTTCTCGGTTCAGAGTGACAGCAAGTGTAACTGAACCCTCGACATCCATATTCGTTTCAGTAACGTTATGAGGATCAGTCACATGGATAATTTCGTCAGCAGGGTCTATGGCTACAGCCCTCAGCGATGACCTCCTGGCACCGTTAACCTTCGCAGATGCCACAACGAGACCTAGTTCCGCGAGCGGATCCGTGAGCGAAAAAAGTCGGGGCCAGCGAGAATCATCTTTGCGAGGTGGAGATTGCCATAAGTCACCCAGTAAAGATGTCGGCGGCAAGTTAAGCTGCTGTGGAGAGCCGAGGCTTGCAATAGAGAATGTAGATTGGATTGAACTAGCTGCAGACCATGGTTGCGGCTGAGAAGTCATAAAGGAATTCGGCGGGACGCGAGGAAACTTCAATGACAATGGCGCCAGCTTTTCGGACTGCAGTTTCCTTTGCAGAATGAGCCCGTTTGTAGAGGCAATTGCATGCTCAACTTCGAATGGTAGGTGGACGATATGGCTCGTGCCAGAGAGGAAGTAGATATGAGCCTGTGTCCTTAAAAACACCACAAGGGCTTTTGACCGGCTGTGCTCCTCATCCAGTGTAGTCGTCCGTTCCGCATCCGCGTGGTGGGGTTGGGAATCGGCAGAAGCTGTCTTATTTCGGTCAAAATGCCTTTTCGTGTGCTCTGTCGAGAAACTCGTGAGAAGTGCTTGGGTGACCGGTTCGTCTTCAATCTCAAATCGAAAGCTCTTTCGGACGATTCCACCTCTACACCAGACGACACAAGTTTTCGTAGTGACGAGTTCATCGTAGCCAGCAACTCCTTCGTCATCATTGGCTATTGTTTGCCACTCATAGGTATCGGGCGCCGGGTCCTCAGACAGCAGATGCTCCTGTTGTAAGTATTGTAGAGCCGTGGGGTAATGAAGCCCCAGTGAGGTTACCGACGCCATGGCTACAACGCCTCAGTTAATTCCATCCGCGTATGTCAATCTAGGCGGATTTAGATGTAGCATTTTAAAGACTTGCGGTCACCGGGCATGCTGGGAGTATGGGGTGAGCTCTTTCCACGATTGTTCAACGCGTCTGTCGCGTTGTTTCCCAAGCCTTGCGACGTTGGCGACCATATTCTACAGCCTCGTGGACCCACTTTTTGGACATGAGAAAGTCGCTGCCCCTGTTCTTCAAGAGCGGTTATCAAAGAGCTTTCAACAGCTTGTGGTAATTACATGTTGTCGAAGAAATCTTATCAGGAATCTATATTTGTACATTTAGGGTATAATTATCTCGCAGATACCAAGATATAAGTAGAGTATTGCGGCGTTAACCCCGTCACCATCTCTCAGTTTTCCATCTTATACAGAAAGCCCCCCAACCCAGTTCGCCCATGTAGCACCCGGAAATTGATATACTTCCCCAAAAAACGCCCGATTTTACAGCATTATTCATCCTTCAGCGACTTAGCTTCAGCTTTAGCCTTCATCCTCTCCTTCCATTCGCGTTTCAGTTCGAATCCGACCTCGACCGCAATAAGGACGATAATGATCCATTCCAACCATGTGCTATGGTTCTTACTCAGAGTTTCCCTCAAGACACTAACGATCTCATGGGCATAATCCATCTTGGCATTCAAGCTTTTGATACGGACGCTGACATCGAGGGCCCGTCCCACCTGATCATAGTACCCCTCTAGCCCAAGTTCATGCTGACTGTCCCAGAATAGATCTGGCAACGAGTCTGTGAGTTCCGAGTAGTGGTTGAGCTGTGCACGGAGCTCTAAAAGAGCACCGGTCTTCTGTAAGATAAATTGTTGGTTGAATGGCAAGCGGCCACCGCGGGAGAGTATAGGTGGAATGGTTCGTGTCGAGTCAAGGTATTTGGTAAGTGAAGTTTCAAGAACTGCGAGCTTCGTAGACCGGGCTAGTCCTGACGAGAACGCAATTTGTGCCAATGTAGTTGAGGTCTTGCCACTCGAGGTATTTTTCTCCAAAGCCTCCTTCTTGGTTCCCAAGGTGATAACCTCTCCCTTGATGCTGCTCGCTTCTTGACTGGGATCTTCTTGGTACTCTAGATCCTCCAATTCAATCTGCTCCAAGTGTGGGTTTATAGCCGCAGGTGCTAACGTTTGTGTTGCCAAATTAATGGCAAGATCCTCTGGCAAGGACCATGCAACTATCGTCCCCGAAGGAAATATGAATACATCTCCACCATTGACAGCTTTGGTGTGTACGACTTGGTCATCCAGAAACCCCGTACCTTGTGGATCAATCGGGTATCCTTGAGATCGAAGTATTCGTACAACGCTGTCCATAGCAAATTCTTCTGCAACACATATGGCTGTTATCCTTTTGAGGCCACGGCTATCACCAGATGATTTCTGACCCCGCGACGCATCGCCACTGGACCGTTCAGCTTCGACCGCAACTCGCCTCAGCGAACGTTGTACTGCGGGAGATCGAGGGTTTTTTCGCTTTTGAGATTCTGCTGCACCGGTCGTCGCAGCGCTGTATGGTCGTGTCGGTTGTAACGGTGCGCCACAGCCTCGGGTGAGCTGGCTAGGAAAACGCGGTCGGCATTGACGAGTTGCGTTTTGGGCGTTATTTATGAGGCCTGGTGCCCCTATTTGGGACAGCAGCTGCCGTCTAATAATCTGCGAAGAAAAATGAAAGGACATAACGGATTATAATGAAGGTGACATATGTGAGTTGGTAAATTTGTAAAGTTCGATTCAGGAACCATCCCGCGATGCAAGGCTTCAGCCTTGTCCGGGGTTTGATTAGTCATCCGCCCCGTAGCTATGTGCTGTGACGTCGACTGCTTCATCTGTCGTTTGAACAGCGACTTAAGCACCCGGGTGACTATTGCCTGGGAAAATGGCGGAAGATTCGGGGGAGCGTGGGGAAGCGCATGAAGCTATTCCACCTGACTCTCGGTCTCACAAACCAGACACTGCGGACGACGACGATGAGAACGAGACCAAAACCAACGGTAGTGATGAAGATGAGGAGGACGAGGACGAGGACGATGAGGAGGAGGAGGATGAACCGAAGCTGAAGAATGCTCGAATGACTGGGTATATGACGCAGTTGTATAGAAATGGGGATGCTACAAGCTCTTTCCTGGTCGCGGGGGACAAGATGGTATGCATGTAGTAATGAACCGAGGCCTAGGCCAATGCTAATAACTCATAGTATATTGGCACTCACAACGGAAATATTGTAAGTCGGATAATATGATGTATGTTTACTCTATACTAACAGGCTTCGAAGCACGTTTTAGCATTACCGTCATTCCAGTCACTACGAGTCTACCATGCCCACTCCGCATCGATCTCCTCGATTTCGATTTCCCCATTCCCACCACCTACATCAGACCCGAGGTCAGAAGCAGTCAACAGAGCTATATCTCAAGCTATAAATGAATCGCAAAAAGCGGCATCAGTTACATCTGCATCATCAAGTCCGGCTGCACAAAGGGCTCCGCGCCAGCAAGTCATACCGAATATTCCATCGAACGCCATTTACATTGCCACGTCTTCTATAGATGGGAATGTCTGTATTGCATCTCTTGTGGATATAAAAGATGTACAGCTACGAAATTTTGCCAGGCCGGTCCAAGCTGTTGCCCTATCACCCGACTACAAGAATGACCGAACATATATCTCTGGAGGTACCGCGGGGAACCTGGTCGTGACTGTTGGAGGGCGGTCCGGAACGAATGCCACATCCACCACTACTGGAACCGCAGCGGCTACCGCATCTGGCTGGCTCGGAACGATTGGGCTCGGAGGCAACTCAGGAAAGGATACTGTTCTTCATTCTGGCGAAGGAATCATCAGCACAATCAAGTGGTCATTGTCAGGAAAATATGTTGTTTGGGTCAACGAGAAGGGCATAAAGATAATGCGGTCAAATATTGGCCTCGAAAGCGCAGATCTAGATTCAGCATGGAAGCGCATTGCCCACGTTGATCGCCCTCAAGACTCTGGTTGGGAAGAGATGGCTGCGGTGTGGAAGGCCCGGGCGGAATGGATCGATGAAAGCTCCCTCGGAACTGATGACGACGGATTAAGCACCACGGCGTTATCTCCTGTTGTTACCAAGCTCAGGCAGCAAACAGCAAAGAATAAGGAACCAATCGAAAAACTTGTAGTTGGCTGGGGAAGCACTATTTGGATCATTCATGTTCACCCTGGTGGAGTCGGCGTTGGCAAGCATGCTGGAGAGCGCAGTGTTGGTCGTGCAGAGATCATTAAAATGTATGTTTTGAACCATATCCCAGTGTTGAAGGTTGCTAACGTGAATAGTTTGAGGATGGATTGCATTATTTCTGGATTGTCGTTATATACCCCTACTTTGCTTCTTGTACTTGCTTATATTAATCCCGAAGATGAGGATGCCGAGGAGGCACCAACTCAAAAGGGCCATAAATCCAAGCTCTCAACCGCTTCTACTGGCAGCGAGCCACGAGGAGGCATACAACGCCGGCAAAACGCCGTCCCCCCTGAGCTGCGACTTATCGAACTGTCTACTTCCGAAGAAATCGACACTGATGGCTTAATCTTGAGTCGATTTGAGCGGCTGTCCGCTGCAGATTACCACCTCGGTGTTCTGCCAGCAGGGAAGGGACCGTCGACAACACGGACATCGAGGACTACTCTTGAGACTTTAGCTGGCATGGGTAGCGGCATGTGGAACGCCACAATCAATGCAACAACACTCCTCAGCTCTGCGCAGAGTATCCGTAGTGTTGGCAGTGGTGATTCTGCCAGCCAAGCTGGGTCACTTAGCTCCAAAAACAGATCCGTTCGCCCTCAACAACCAGCTCACCCGAACATTGCAGCCCCCGGTATGAAAATATTCATCCATAGTCCGTACGACTGTATTTTGGCTACCAAGCGAGATTTGTCGGACCACCTTTCGTGGCTACTAGAATTTCACAAGTATGAAGATGCCTGGAACCTTCTTGACGATCATCCCGAGATCATATCATCATCAGCCGAGAAATTGGCAGAAATTGGCCCTGGGACCCCAGAAAGAAACGATGCCGGCGGCGATTTCTACGATGATGCGTCGTCGGTTAAGGAAACAGCTGCTCGACTCATTGATTCGTCAGTCGAGAAGGAGAAACGGCGAATTGGAGAATTATGGATTCAACAGCTTATCTCTGATGGCGACTGGGTCATGGCGGGTCAAGTATGCGGCAAGGTTCTAGGCAGCTCTTCGAGGTGGGAGCATTGGGTTTGGATCTTCGCCGGGGCAAACAAGTTCGGCGAGATTGCAAGTTATATACCCACAACGCAATTACAACCTCCCTTACCTTCGACAATATACGAGGTCGTTCTCGGGCATTACATTGCAACAGATCGACTCCGACTCAAGGAATTACTCGACGTATGGCCACCAGAGTTGTTCGGGATCAGAACCGTCACTACAGCTCTTGAGAATCAGCTAAAATACCGCGAGGTCCGAGAAGATTCTGTCGAAGACGGGCAAGTGGGACGTGATTGGCGCATAGTAAAGGAGTGTCTGGGGAAGCTGTATCTTGCAGATGGCCGACCCAAAGATGCCTTAAAGTGCTATATGCAACTACAGGATGCCGATACGGCCATGACACTTATCAAAGATTACCATCTGATTGATGCCGTTGCCGAGGATATTCCCGGGTTGGTCTTAATCCGCGTGACAAAGGAGCAGATCAAATCCGCATCTAGGAAGGAATTGGAGGAGACAACTGCAGATGTCATCACTCTCCTTGTCGACGAGGCGCAGCGTGGTCTTGTACGGCCAGAGTCTGTCATCACCCAGCTACAACATAAGGATATGCCCTTGTACCTGTTCTTCTACATTAGAGCACTGTGGAATGGCGATAGCCAAGATGATAAATCCGCCGAAGCGCGGGAGAGGATGTTAGTTGAGAGCAGAGCGCATGTGGAACAATTTGCCGACGTCGCTGTACAAGCCTTTGCATCGTATGACCGGGCCTTGCTAATGGAGTTTCTCAAGAGCTCTACTTCTTATACTTTTGAGAAGGTATGCACTCTCTCTTATCCAATTTATCCAACGTTTCTAACCTTCTCCAGGCAACTCAAGTGTGCGAGGAACGAGACTACATACCAGAACTTGTCTACCTCTACTCCAAGACTGGGCAAACGAAACGCGCCCTTTTCCTGATCATAGATCGACTTGCAGATGTCTCGCAAGCAATCAACTTCGCTAAGGAGCAAGCTGATAAAGACCTGTGGGAAGATCTCCTCGACTACTCAATGGACAAGCCTCGCTTCATCCGCGGCCTCTTAGAAGAGGTCGGAACAGCAATCGACCCTATCACCCTTGTTCGTCGTATTCCTGAAGGTCTGGAAATCGACGGACTGAGAGATGGCTTGAGTCGCATGATTAAAGAATACGAAATCCAGCACAGCATCAGCTCAGGCGTCGCCCGTGTCCTCCGTGGCGAAGTGGCTACTGCGCAGAATACTCTCCGTTCAGGGCAACGAAAGGGTGTCAAGTTCGATGTTGTGGTTAAAGCCGAGGATCACATTGATGTGGCTCCCGTCGACGTAGCAGCACCCGCCGCGGATAACGTCAACAAGGATAATGACAACGTGGAACCCGTGCGCGCTCGGAAACCAATTCGTCCAGGCCATTGTGTTGGCTGCGGTGAGCCATTCACGGAAGGAGAGCAAGAGACGCTGGTGGGATTCGCATGCGGGCATGTGTTCCATCTCAGCCATCTGCTCGAGTACACTCATCCCTCCCGGCCATCAACGCCGCCGTCCGTGGACTTGGATGAAGATGGACAGTTTGTACAGAATCATAGCATTGGAGCCAAGGTCACGCATGCGCGGTTGTTGAGGGATAAGATATCAGGGGGTTGTCCTGTTGAGCATGCGAGTTGAAGGGGGCTTCAACGAGTCATGATGACCGACGATCAGGTTTCTGAAATTGGGATTGCACATAGCGGGGCAGTGATTTGCATTTGAAGAAGAGAAGACCTTTGGGATTTATAGGCAATTACATACAATTTAATAAAGATAAGATGCGTTTATGACGCGGATTAAAACCCTACTATTTTACTTTCTAACAAAGAGTTAACTTCAACTATAGAGTCAGTATTAAGCATGTCATGAATAAAAATACCGGACAGGGCTCCCTCGGGATCCCCCTATTTGACGTCGTATTAGGTTAAATTTCCCCAGACAACCGTAGTCTCCTTGTAGAAAGCGGGGTCATAAATTCCCATAAATTCCCTGGTTGGTTCACTGATCGGCCAAGCAAGGCTACTGTTCCGCGGAAGGCTCCAGGCCAAGCTTTGTGGTCCGTCCACATGCTAAATGTGGCGAGGTAACTGTAGGAGACGGTTAACTAGAAAGTAACACATTTACTCTAACTCCGCAATGGCTTGGCTTGGCTTTGTGCCAGACACTGTTCATTGTTTGTATAGTCACCGTCGTCGTCGATAGAGATACTATAATGGAACAGTGAGAGTTGTCTGTTTGGTTCGCGCCTGGCTAACTACTGAGTCCGTCACTACTAGCACAACTACCATACCGTGCTGTACATCCAGTACAAGGGCCCTCACCCCACGCGACCCTGCGTACGACCGACCACCCGACTCCCCCAGCCAGTCGGCCGAACGAGAGCTGAAGGGGACACAATGTTTCGAATCCGGCGATACAGGCTGTTTCTCGTCTTTTCGGCGATACTCGTGTTTACGTTCTACAATTTCTGGCAGACACAACCGGAGGCGCAGGCGGCGAGGCCGAAGTCGTTCGGTACCTCCTCCTCCTCGCCGTATGGCGATGCTGGGAAATCGTCGGGGCAGAATGGGGACAGCAATGGTGCGGAGGGAAGGGACCCTGTGAAGGTGGTTGATATTCAGGGGATTGCACATTCAAATGATCCGTTGCCTGTTACTGCGGTTAAGGCAACTTCGGCGAAGCCTGTGCTGGCGGAGAATACGCAGGTCGTTGCCAATGGCGTGCCTATTGTTGACCTTGAGCCGATATCAACGAAGCCGCCGGTGGCAGTGAATACCCCCGTCGTTGCAAATGGCGAGCCCGTCATCGAACCAGAACCAAGCACCAATGAAGCATTGGCAGCCATACAAACAGCGCCCCCAACGCCAATAACACCCCCAAACCCCGCCGCAATCACCTACGATGACACAGTCGACGAGTCTGGGAAAGAGGAAACCATACACTGGGAGAAGCAGACAGAGTACTATCCCATCGCCCCAGGCGACCTGATCCGCCTCCCCAGCGGCACGCCCAAGAAGATGCCGCGGATCCAATTCGACTTCCCCGAAGAGTCAGTAGAGGCGAGATCCCTGCGTGAGGAGCGGAGGGATTTGGTCCGCGACGAGTTTCTGCACGCGTGGCAGGGTTATAAGAAATATGCGTGGGGACACGATGAGGTTGGGCCGGTGAAGGGGGGGTTCCGTGACCCGTTTTGCGGGTGGGCGGCGACGATTGTGGATTCGTTGGATACGCTCTGGATTATGGGATTGAAGGACGAGTTTGAGGAGGCGCTTGAGACGGTTGAGAAGATCGATTTCACGACGTCGCCTAAGACTTCTATTCCCGTGTTTGAGACGACTATTCGATACCTGGGGGGCTTGTTAGGGGCGTATGATATTAGTGCTGCGAAGTACCCCGTGCTTCTGACCAAGGCTACGGAGTTGGGAGAAATCTTGATGAGTATCTTCGATACCCCAAATAGAATGCCAGTGCTGCATTATCGATGGCAGCCGCATAGTGCTTCGGAACGCCATCGAGCAGCTGGGAGCTCGAATTTCGCGGAACTAGGATCCTTAACCATGGAATTCACGCGTCTGGCGCAGCTCACGGGGGAGCACAAGTACTATGACGCCGTTGCGCGCATCACTAACGCCCTTGTCGAATGGCAAGAGCGCGGCACGGAGATCAAGGGCATCTTCCCGGACAGCGTTGATGCCTCCGGCTGCAACGCGACTTACGTACCACCGGAGGAAAAGTCCTCCACCCCATCTCAAAACGCAACCGAGAAACTCATCCCCCGACGCCCTTTCACTGAAGAAGAGATCTGCCGTCCCCAAGGCCTCACTCCCGGCCCACAACGTCAAAGCTTCTCCATGGGCGGCGGCCAGGATTCGACTTACGAGTACTTCTCCAAAATGCACCTCCTCCTCGGCGGGCTAGAGACCACCTATAGCACACTGTACACCAACACCATGGATGCGATCCGTAGCCACCTCCTCTACCGCCCGTTGATCCCGGGAGGGCGCAATGTCCTGTTCTCGGGGAAGGTGCAGGTTAACCCCTACCTCCCCGACGACAAGAACCACGAGAAGATCTACGAGGTCACGCACCTGACGTGCTTCATCGGCGGGATGGTCGGGATGGGCGCTAAGCTCTTCGGTCTCGACGATGATCTGTCTATTGCTGCGAAGCTGGCTGATGGATGCGTGTGGGCGTATGAGGCGACGAAGAGCGGTGTGATGCCTGAGGACGCCAGAGCGGTGCCGTGTGAGGATCCGCTGGATTGTGAGTGGGATGAGGAGAGGTATTATAAGTACCTTGATCCCCGCTGGTCGCTCCGCGAGGGTGAGATCGAGGAGTACGAGAAGGAGAAGGTGAGGAAGGAGAAGGTGCGGCTCGAGATGGCGGAGAAGAAGGCGAAGGAGGAGAAGGAGGAGAAAGCGAGGCTGGAGCAGGAGGCTAAGGAGAAGCCCTTGATGGCTGAGGCGGATGCTGTCCTCTCGCGCGCGAATGGGACGACGGCCAGTTACAGCCTCGGTGGGAGCGCGCCGCCTGCTGCGAATATCAACCGCAAGCGCGCGATATCAACGAACAGCACCGTAGTCAGCACAGACGAGAAGGATGAGGCCCTCCCGGAAATCCCATACGTCGCCCCCTCGAAGACAAGCACCCCCGGCGTCCCAGTGAACCCCCATGAGCGTAATCTTCCGAGTGGGAGGGAGGATCCGTATAGACCGCTCAGTCATGAGGAATATATTTCTGATCTGTTGGAGAGGAATAATTTGCCGCTCGGGTTTGCGAGGGTGGAGGGTGATAGGTATATCCTTCGGTATGTCCCCCCTTCCATTAGCCAGCTGGTGCGTTAGTTTGGTAGAATGAAGCAGTGCTAACATCTCCCTCCAGCCCCGAAGCAATAGAATCAGTATTCTACCTCCACCGCATCACCGGCTCCCCCACTTGGTCCACAAAGGGCTGGGGCATGTTCGAATCCATCATCAACGGCACGCGCACGTCGATCGGACACAGCGCGTTCAGCGGCGTGAATCGCGAGAAGGGGATGGGGCATAAACAGGATTCTATGGAGAGTTTTTGGTTGGCGGAGACGTTGAAGTATTTTTACTTGTTGTATAGTGAGCCGGGGGTTGTGAGCTTGGATGAGTGGGTTTTGAATACTGAGGCGCATGTTTTTAAGCGGCCGTCGTAGTTTGGTCCGTGGGAGGGGGGTTGAGAGGGGGGTTGTAAATAAGAAGCGGGGGGAGGGAGTGTTTATATCATTTTTCCGGAATCATGCATGGTCGAGGGGGTAGGTTTATGTTTATATATTTTTTATTAAAAGACGGAAGGGAAATGGAAGGGCAGGGGAAAAACAGATCTCCTTTATTAATATGTATGGCTTATGATGCTCGTGGTGGTGACGACGCAAATCCCTTCCCCACACGCCACGCGTACAAAACACTAACCTCCGCGGGCGTCGGAGGTATATTAAGCATCTCTTTCCAGTATACTTGTAGACGATCTACTATGGGGTTTTGAGAACACACATAAACCCCAATGGCTATGTGAAAATTACCGACGGAAGGTGTGATGTCGAATTTATCGATCGATCGATATCGACTCGCCAAGTCTCGTCCCTCCAACTGTACCTCCACCCCCTGCTGTCAGCACCTCAACACTCGGCCCCTCCATTCCCCATCCCACCCCAACGCCGGAGATAAAAAGTTATTCTGTGCCGCTGTACCCATTCCTCTATGAGAGGGGTCCATCCATGGGGTATATCTACTTCAGGTCACCTCCCTCGCCTGACCCCAACTCCTGGAAAAGGTTTTCCGTGCCGTTTATCCATTTTTCTATCACAAAGGACGGTTTTATACTTTGTGAGGGCTGCATACTGCAGTAGTCCCTCCATTCCCGTCACTAGAGAGAAATTGACAGCTCCAAGGAAGGTCTTTGATAGGACAGTATGGACCGCGACCTTGGTGGAGAGTCATTACCTCGGTATCCACGGATCAGTAATCGCACCTACACCGTCAGTTCAAGCCACAAAAAGAGGTGCTCGGATATAATGAGTAATCCGTGTCAATTGTTATGACAAGTCTTGTAGGGGTAGCAAACTAATCAAGTTCATTAAAAGTTGTTAAATTCATAACCTATCTGTAGTGATATATAGTGCTAGTCATATCCTCCTCCTCCATCCTTCCACGCTTCATTTACCAAAAAAATATTATAACGATAAAAAGCAAAACCGAGCCGAGCGGTTTGCAGAAGAGAGACTACTAAAGGGTATATTTAAATCCAACCTGTCCCTCGATAATCTTCCCCCCAGCATCGACTCTCTTGTTCGCCCTCCAGAACTTCAGCGTCAACAGCAGGGTGATGCAGATAATAAGCCCGTTCGCAATCATACACGTCATGATACCGGGAGTGTACTTTGGCTTGTCCACCTCCCTGAACACCGTGGATCCGATAATACCTCCAATACCACCGAATCCAACAAGCGTGGCAGAGCAAAGCGCGCGCTTCCACTGCCCACGGATGTTGTTGGCCTGATACGTCATGATAGCGGGAATGTTGGCATTGGCACCGATGGTGGCGAGGAAGACGCCGAAGTAGCGCGCGCCGTTGTTGGTGCTGAAGCCGAGGATGGGGAGGCCGATGAGGCAGAAGCAGGCGTTGATGATGACGGAGCTGCAGCGATTGCGGAACTTGTCAGCGAACACGGCTTGGATGTACATGAAGATGCCCGCGGCGGCGTAAGGGGGCGCGACGAGGCACTGTGCCTGTGCGACGGAGAAGCCCATGCCGAACATGAGGATGACGGGGAGGAAGTAGGCGATGGCGTAGGAGGTGGTGGTGCAGAGGCCGAAGAGCGAGGCGAAGCCCCAGACCTTGAGGTCGCCGGCGTGGCGGAGGTATTGGCCGAGGTTGAATTCGGGGGCGACGGTGTCGGCGCGATCCTGCTCGATGCGCGCGATCACGAAGTCGACTTCAGCGTCCTTGAGGAAGCCGCGGGCTCCCTTGGCTTGGTCGGGAAAGTCGACGAGGAGCAAGTAGCCGGCGACGCCGAGGACGCAGGTGAGGACGCCTTCCATCTAGGATATGTTAGTTGCGCGCGCGCAGACGGGCTGGGGGGGTTGCTGCTTACGATGAAGATCCAGCGCCATCCCTCGAGTCCTGCTAGGCCGTTCATTTGCATCAGGCCGTAGGCGAGGATACCGGAGAAAGCAGATGCGCCGGAACCGATCAGGTAGAAGCCCGAGTAGCGCTTCTGGAGCTCGAAGCGGGAGTACCAGGTCGACATGAGGTATACGCAGCCCGGGAAGAAACCAGCCTCGAGGACACCGAGAATGATGCGCAGTCCGACCATCTCAGTCCAGTTCTTGACGAATCCGAAAGCCTGCCATGTGTGTTAGTTTATGTGGTTCTGTTGCTTGCCAATTGGCGGGATGCTGGAGCTTACAATCATGATGCCGCCCCAGAGGATTGTGATGGCAGCGAGGAAGATGCGGGGGCCGATCTTGCGCATGATGACTGTTGCGGGCGGCTGGCAAATGACGTATGGGATGAAGAAGATGAGGGTGATGACACTGTATCTGTCGATACCAGTGGCTTTGAATTCGAGGTCGCGGCTCATTCTACGATGGCAGGTTAGCATTGGCGCGCATCGCGAAAGCGCGGCGGATTGGACTCGGACTCACCCAGCAATGTTGGCGGCGCTCAAATTGGTTCGGTCCATCAAACTGATACAGTACATGGCGCCGAGGGTGAGCACGAGGCGGCGATCAACGCGGTGCATGATGCTGCGCTGCTCTTTGTGGGTGAAGCAGGAGATGCGCGGGTCCTCGTAGCCTGGAGCGGTGGCGACGATGTCCTCCTCGTGAATGCCCGTCTTCTCCATGTCGGAGCCGGCCTTGCCATCATGGCTGTCAGCGACCTCTGGCGCAGCGACCTCAGTGCCGGCGGCGGTCTTTTCGCGGGAGAAGAGCCCCATGGTTGGCAGGTTGCAGTGTCAACTCTATCCGGTGTGTGAGGTGAGAGTGCGTCAAGGCAAGAGAGAAAAGGAGAAGAACGTTGGAAAGATGTCAGACTTTGAGGAGTGAGACAGGAGATGATTGATTGAGATAAAGATTGGAAAGGATAAATACGACTGCAGATCACCCTTTACTTATGAAGGTACAGCGCATGGGAGAGGAGAGGAGAAAGGAGGGGACGTGTACTCGGGGATCCACGTATGACACGGAACGGAACTGGGGGAAACCGGGGGAGGAGACTGGAGAAACTGGAGAAGCTGGAGAAAGTGGATTGGGAGTGGATTGGGAGAGCGCTTGGCGCCGAGAGAGAGGCGGCATGGGCGACGATCGCAACTGTTACCAGAAGAGATGATTGTATGCGGATTGAGGGTGTTGGGTTCGAGGAGTGTGTGTGGGAGTGTGTGTGATGTGTGGTGGATGAGTCTAGCCTGGCAATTGACGCGGTAATTGAGGGGGGGGCTTGGCGGCAGTGGGATGACAATATAATGCGACAACAAGGTGGAGAGTAGTACTGTATGTGGAGAGTAAGGTATGTGGAAAGTGGAAAAGCATGTGGAGAGTGCCGCAAGTCTGTACTTTTCTGATGGTCGTGCGGCGCATGGAGGTGGTGGCGACGTGGAGGCGTGGAGACGGTGTGGAGGCAATGTGGAGGCATTGTGGCCAATGTACCACGAGAATGAGGGGTGTCACGGTCCTTTGACCACCCCTTGCATCGCCATCTCTCTTGTCCCTTCCCTTCGTGGTCGTTGTTTGCTCTTTCCAAGTGGATTAGAGCGCAAATCGCACCAGTCCTCTCGCCCCTTCCTTCAGTTTATACGGCAGAGAGTGGTAAGTAAGGGGTTGTGGATATTGATAACTGAAGTGGGCTGAAATTTGTCAGTTAACTGACACCTTACATTTTTCAATTTCTCACCTTACATGTCTTAGTTACATGTCTCTCTTTCATTTTAACTTCCCGGCATCTAGAGCGTGTCTGCGTGTTTCTATACAAGCATTCGCCTTGTAAGATAACCAGTCGGAATCCCTCCTCCTTGAATGGACAATGTATGGTGGCGTATAGATGTACGTACAATACTGATGAGCACAGCAGTATGCATCACACACATCAGCCTTCGGACGGCCGAGAATTGGCAACTGGAAACTGACGATTGCTAACTGGACTGTTGCTCGTGCAAATCATGCTGCATAGGTCACAATCACCAACCCATCACCCACTAGAGGGGCAGCCAAGATCGAATAACGCCAGGGTTAGCAGGGACTATCGTCTTGGAGAGTCTTGGAAGAGGTCGACCGGTCACACTCCCCTATTCCCTTAGGTCTTGGCATCGTTGGTCTGCCGTGTATAGCAAATAACAAGTACTATAGTCCAAACTATAGCATAATACACTGCACAACTAATAGCAAGTATTGTAATGAGTATTGTAAATGATGATGATATGAACGAATGCTAGGTGGTAAATCTGCAGGTGGCTGACAAGATTGGCTCGCGTGGAGTACTGTATCGAGCGAGTGCGGGGAAAGAAATAAAGGTGGGTCCGGACCTCAGTCGTCCAGTTTTTTTTGTGCCGTATTGTCCAATAAGATGGACGTAAACCAAAGAACCTCGGTGACACCTCGGCTCCCTCAGTAGTCTTGGCGCCATCTCTCCTTCAAAATGCGGGGTTCGCGCGCGCCTTCTCCGCTTCCAGACCCCATGTTCGCTATGACGGGGGTTGGCTAAGCTGGATCGGGGAGAGTCTGGGGTATGTTAGTGTTGCGGGTGAGATTGAGGGTTAGGGGTTGAGGGGGAGATGGGGATACCATCCATGGGGTTGGTGCAGTTGAAACAGACAAGAGACCTGACGAGAATGAATATCATACTATAGTAAGGTGACAAGTATGCATGGAGGATCTCGGGATCGAAGAAATCAAAGAAGCATCCAAGAAGCGTTCCAGGCTACGCCACGAGTCTTTAGGGGAGAGGCTATTTTTACCCCGTTTTGAGTGATGATACCGATCTGCCTAGTTGGCTAGCTAGCTGCTGTACAAACGCCCCCCGGCCGGTCCCCTCCTCCTCCTCTAGTAGCATCTGCACAACTCCCGTCTCACCACCTACTCGATTCTGCCTCGGGACAAGCTATTCCCCCGCACAAAGCACAGAGATAACGCACAAATCACCGCCCAAACCACCGACTCCGTCGTATTATACGTTCGTATAACACTTGCACTAAACCAGTCTATGCAGCGCCATCCTCTTGCACTAAACCAGTCTACGCACCTCCATCGTCTTGCACTAAACAAGTATACGCACCACCTCCATCCCAATGAAACCACCCTCCCCCCTCCTGTTCCCAGCTGTATCCCCATCCCCCACGCACCCCAACATCTGCCGAGCACGCACTACACAAAGCCACGTTCCCACGCCGCATACTACTCCTGCACGATACCAGTACACTACCCCTAGCGCAGATGATCGACTCTACTGCACTTTTAGTCTACTCTACTCTACTAGCACCGTGGCTGCCCGTCTAGTGTCGGGCGCGCCGATGGAGGCGGGTGGTGGTGGGTGGGTGGTCTATGCGGGGTCTTGTGCTGTTGTGTGTGATGTGAGGGGGCCCAATGCCTCGGAGTGGGGTGGAGGCTGAGGTAAGGAAGGAGGGGTAGAAGCTGGCGGGGTAGGTAGGGTGGTGATGAGGGAGTGGATTGGGAAGTGGGAATACCCTCAGATCCAACGCATAGAGCTGGAAACGGACCCAAGAACACCCGGTATGGAACAGCTTGGCGATAACGATGATGGGAAGTTCCAGGATGGAATGGATGACTTGGCGATAACCCAGCCGTGGATACGGGATGGAGTTGTGGATATGATATGGGGTAGAGAGTATCTGTGCTCATATCTCTTGAGTTGGGATTATCTAGATAGCTCGAGACTCTAGATCGAGGGCGGAACCTCCCAGCTGCAGGTATATCCCAACCCAACCCCCGCCTACTCCTCTCTCCTTCCTAGCTCTCTAACCAACCTCCCAGCTGCAGCTATATCCAAACCCCGCCAGCTCCTCCCACCTCCCCCTTCCCCGCCACTCACGCAGATCTAGCCCACCGCCTCCCCCTCCCCCCCTTACCCCCCTCCTCCCACCTACTTCTTAACCTGCACCTTCCTCTCCACCACCTCCCCCCTCCCCACCTTCACCACATCCCCCACACTCGTCTCCGCAATCGCCTCCAGCGCCTCCCTACTCAAGAACGCCTGATGTCCACTAATAACCACATTATAAAAGCTCATCAACCTTGTCAAATCGTCATCTTGGATGACTCCCCCGCTGCCGTCTTTGAAGAAATACTCTTTCTCGCCTTCGTACACGTCGAGGCCGAGAGCGCCGATGTGGCCGGATTTCAAAGAGCGGATCAGGGATCTGGTGTCGATTAGTCCGCCGCGGGAGGTGTTGATTATGACGATGCCGCGCTTGGTGAGGGCGAGGGTTTCTTTGTTCAGTAAGTGGTGGGAAGAGGGTGTGAGCGGGCAGTGGAGAGTGAGGATGTCCGCCTCCTTGAGAACCTCGTCACGGGATTTATATTCAACCCCGTACTCCTTGGCCTTCTCCTGATTCGGATACAAATCATAAGCCAACACCCTGCATCCAAACCCCTTACTCAGAATCTTCCCCACCAACATCCCAATCTGCCCGGTGCCTATAATCCCAACCGTCTTGCCGTTCAAGTTGAACCCCACGAGGCCGGAGAGGGAGAAATTACCTTCGCGCGTGCGGTTGAAGGATTTGTGGTATTTGCGGACCAAAGTGAGGAGGAGGCCGACGGCGAATTCGGCGACGGCGTGGGGGGAGTAGGAGGGGACGTGGACGGTGGTGAGGGAGAGAGTGGCGGCAGTGGGGAGGTCGACATTGTCGGTTCCGGCGCACTAGGGGGGGTTAGAATGATAACTTTGGGGCATCTGATATCTGACGTTGGATAAAAAGATGGGAGGGGAAGCTTACACGCAAGGCAATAATCTCAACCCCCAACTCTGCTAAAGCTTTCAAAACCTACAACTCACAATTAACATCTCAACCCCCCCTTTCCGCCCCTCCAGTGTGGCGCGAGAAACTAACCTCAGCATCAGCAGTGTCGTTCACGAACAACGAAACGGCTTTATGCCCCTTCGCCAGCGCAACGGTTTTGATGCTCAGTGAGGGCTGAAGATATGTTATATCCAGTGGGGACCCGAGGCTTGCATTGACTTTGTTGAATGCTTCTTCGTCATACTATTAGGGGTTATGTTAGCAATGAGAACCCTCGCATACAGACAGCCTTAGTTGTGAGAATTGGAGTGGGAATGGGGTGGCTTACGTGTTTGGTACTGAAGAAGGCGACTTTCATGATGGCGGATTTGGGGGTCTGATCTGATAATTGGGAGTGCAATTGTAGTTGAGGTGAGTTGGGATGGAGAGGGCCTTCTTGGATTTTTGTCGTATGAGGGGCACGGGTAAATGACGCAGTTGTAGCTGCGATAGGTAAGCTGCCAAGAATGAGGTAAGGATGTCTCGCAACCACCAAGGTTGAAGTTAAACACGTGATGAGTGATATATGTGATTGATGGGGGCGGAAAGATATTTGCTATTAATGTTATCATGTTCTTCGTATTTTGTGATTCATATATGTCGTTCTCGGATTTGGCTGTGGTGGGGGTAAGTGAGAGCTTGCAGCTATCCGCTGCGTAGCACCACCACATATCAAGTCCCCAACATCCACGGAACCACGACTGTCTTGAAAAGAGGTTTATATTTCTCTTCCTGGTGGTATCTATTCTATCGCTCATCTCGTAGCACAGCAGCAGCGCTCCCCCAAATTCAAGGCCGGACAAGAAAAAGATACATGTCCAAGCAGGTTACAGAATGATAAATGATGATGAATATGAACATCTAGAAATTCTCCTTGCCCCATACGTACGACCAATCCGGGTCAGAGTACTCGTTACACTTGACGTGCAGCGAGGATCCCAGACCCTTTGGACCGCAGAAGAAGACACCACTGTATAAATGTTAGCATAATAATCTTGGAATGGAATACTATAGGGATAATGTGAACATACCTCGCGCCAGGACTGTGAATCTTCCTAATACTCCTAAACACGGCCCCCCAATTCGGTCTCCCAAAGTTCGTCGGCGCCCTCAACCCCGTAATAGCATCACGATCCGCATTCGCATCATTGATCATGATATTCGTCGCATCATCCGCCTGGATCTTGGCCGTAAGATACGTATGGATCTCGATATGATTATCCATATCCTGCGCCTCAATGGCAAGCAACAAGCTTCTAAACCACTCGAAACTCCCAAAGTCTCTGCACACCCAGAAGAAGTAGACTTTCCGCAGCCGTGTCTTCTTCTGCGGGTAGTTCATGCGGTACCAGATACTCTTGAGGATTGACGCGAAGGGTGTGACGCCGATACCAGCGCCGACGAGCACGGCTGTCTCGTATTTGAAGACGTCTTCTGAGGCGCTGCCGAAGGGGCCGTCGATGTAGACGCGGGGTAGGACGCGGCGGAGGGCGGGGTCGACGGAGTTGGCGTCGGGGCTGCTTTTGTTGACGCCTACGACTTGGGAGGCGTCTTTCTTGGCTCCTGCTCCACCGCGGGGGCGGTCAACTTCGCAGCCCAGGGCTTTGCCAACGGCTTTGGTGAAGTCGCCGACCATGCGGATGTGGATGGAGATGTAGTCCTCTTCGGGTGCGCTGGTGAGGGTGAAGGGATGGTATTGCCACAGGCTCACCTCAGGGCAGCAGAAGAAGATGTATTGTCCTGCCTGGGTCTTCGTGTGCTCTTTCTTGATCTGGATCTCGCAGACGTTGCTAGGGTGCTGAACGACCTTGGAGATGTAGGTCTTGTGTTTCCCACGAATCTCGCGAGCGATGCGCTCGGCAAGATAGATGTATCCGCCGTACATCCAGTATTGCCAGAAGACGCCAATGGCAGAGGAACCGATGGACACACAGAATGGCGCGAAGTCGGGTTGAATCATGCAGAACGCGCCGTGGATGGACCAGAAGAGGAAGAAGATGACAAAGAGATGGTGCGTATACCAGAAACGCTCGAAATTCGCCCTGCGGTACTTCTCCATCGATGTGATGGCCATGGCCATTAGGGCGATCAGCATGACATATCCGGACCAACCTGGGCCAGTCGCGAAGTTGGCTAACAGGAACCCAACGAATCCGAGGTTGTTCTTTGCTGCGATCTGGGCGAAGTTGTTCCAATGTGCTATTGTGTGCACCCATGAGAAGAAGACGATCGACCAGGCAGTCATCTTGTGGAAGGTGATATTCTTGTCGAACTGTATAATGCCGTTTAGGGGCGTTTTGCGTGCCAGCGAGATGAGCGTCCTGCAGACGGGAAACAATATCACAGCGATGTCGAAATGTAGTACTAGGGCTGCTGCTCTGGCAATTGCGAATGTGAATCCAAAGGTATCTCTCCCCTTTTGTAAATTGTCCTTTAACGCGTAATTCATCAACCCGAAGGCGAAGACCATTGCGTGGATGGCTGCAAAGACGAACACAAAACTATAATGATATTAGCGTTTATCGGGGAACTAGGAAGTGCACACATACAATCGCCTGTATCCTTCGTTGACCATCCACTTGTTATATTGTTCTTTCCAGTTGTATTCCCTCTTCGCCTCGGCATTCATCTCTCCAGACATTAACATCCTCGTCAATGGCGGCCATCGCGATCTCTCGGAAGGCCTATCCTCCTCCAAAGCATAAGGGTTTCGAGACATCGCTTCCTGTGTTGGAGCCTTCGCTCGATATCCTCCTAAATTATCCGATCGTCTGTATCCCTCTCTTCCTAAAGTATCGAAACTCGAGATGCAGATGCCGTATTAGATTTATAGTATATACAAAATGTCGTCAGAGCCAGCTGAGAGCTTGGTTTAAGTTGTCAAAGTAGGGGCCAGCCTATGAAGAAATGAAAGACGAAGCCTGCTCACAACATCTGTCAGCGCTCTGCAAAAGAAGGGGGTCAGCGGAGATAGTAGGGTTACATACCTGTAGGCGCCACTGTATATAATGATTACAGGCAAGGCCGAAGAATAGAAAAGAGGCACGCAAACAGTGAACTGAATGAGCAAAGAAAGAATGTAACACTTTATGCGCCCACGAAGTTAAAACAGACCTACCTCTAAGAAAGACTCGTACGAGAAGTAGTAACCCCCAACCATTCTCGTCTCAAGATTAGGGCAAAGGCACCGGCGCCACTGCCGACTCCCATGGTCGAAACATCAGTGCCTCGCTCCCATGGCCCAGACGGCCGCTTCAGGGTCACATCCCAGCGGGTGCCAGGGAAGCTGTGAGCCCAGCGCGACCATCTCCAGCAAGCCGCTGGCACATTGACAGGACTGACGGCAATGACAGGTCCACTATTGCGAGCTCTCAGTCCGCGGTGGGACACAGGCTTGGGCATTCTCTCACTCGAATCAGCCCATTTTTCGTCGGCGAGGAGACTCTCAGGCACTTGGCTACGTCTGTGCAACAATTCGCCGAAGCTCAAGCGGAGGGCGGGGAGGTTTCGATTGGTCGGCTGAGGGTCAAGCGAGGGGAGGGTTGCATGGCGGCTCGGGGTTTTGTTTGAGGTGTGGTTTCGTGACATGGGTGTGACACGATCTTGATACAGGCAACGCCTAGGTCGCCGACATCCACACAAATGAGTAGGACTCAGGTTTCCCTTGTTGCAATGCTCGAGGTCGAGGTTTGAGTTTGGAAACAATTCGATTTGTGGTTTGCGGTTACTCCCAAAGCCAAGTCTTATTATCCTTGCCACGCCGTGAGCCGCTGACGATCCTAAACACCGACAGGAACCCAGACTGTTAACGTCCTTCGCAACCCTATCTGCAACACTTTTTGGTGTTGGTAGTTCATCCAGTTCCTTACCTCCCTTTGTAGCCCAGACAATCGTCGGTCTCTTGGGAGTAGCCTTGGTGTTTCTCGGAGGTATGGGCCCACAGGTAACGATCTAGACCGGTGCGTAAAGGAGAGTCGATGGAGTCTACAATAGGGGAAGTGCTATTAATGGTGCCAGAGCTCCGCCAGCTTGACCATGATCTAATCCTATATTGGGAGTTGACCGATGGTTTAAACGGGAGTGGTCCGCCGCTATTGAAGGGCGTATAGGTAGGTGTATAGGAAATGGTAGGTTTAGGTCGGAGTTATTATTATTCGCTTCATTATTTTATCTACATCTCAAACTACGCAGAGTATGGTGCTTCATACTAAAGGTCTAGCCGTACAGGCCACGGGATCACAGCGAGTAAGAATCACGAAAAAGAGATATAATATCGAATATATTAAACTCCGAATGACTACCATCTCCCTCCAACGACATACCACCATCCCATTTGCACACCTCACAGTTCCCAGGCATGTTACGCTCCTCGGAAAAACATCCCCTTGCAAACAGGCCATATAGTTCAGCGATGTTTTAATTGCGAATTTGGAAGATTAAAGTCTGCCGACGCAAGATCATTTAGCCTCCCTGATCCCACCACTGAACGTAACACCCACCGCGACCCGTCCCCGTTGAAGTCCACAACTTGCTCACTCCTTGCCCTAGAGGCATGCATAACCAGACCGAATGTGTTGACAGGAACAGTTGCGCCAGCTAATCCATAAACGCGAGTTGAGAATATCCCCCATCAGCCATCTAGATAGCGTACTTGCGAGTCCACTCCCTTGCCGTGGCCTCGTACCTGGCACGATCGGTCTTGTAGACGTGTGCGATCTCTGGGACAAGTGGGTCATCCGGGTTGGGGTCCGTCAACATGGAGCAGATGGAAAGCAGAACTGAAACCGTCAGTATTATGTCAATAACTATATGCCGCGTGTTCAAATCATACCTTTGGATATGGTAAGAGCCGGGCTCCATTGGTCCCTGAGGATGTCTAGACAGATGCTGCCGTTGGAGTTGATATTAGGGTGGTAGATGCGGGTTGTGAAGTTGACCTTCGGAGGCTTGAATGGGTAGTCTGTTGGGAAGTGGATGGCTAAGAAGAATACACCTCCGGAGTATGGCGAATCGGACTGTTCATTGCGTTAGTTACAGATCTCGTCATCGCCTGATGAGTCTCGACCAGACTTAAGTCTGGCTTTGGGTATATCGATGTAGGCAGTTTCGCAGTAATTTCGATTGGAATATACTTACAGGTCCCATAATAGTTGCCTGCCAGTGGAACTATTGATAGATTAAAGTCAGTTCGAATTCTTCAATTTTGATGACCAAATCGGCGCATGTCTCCGTGAAGATAGCGGGCCAGGGGCCAACGGTCGTAGAAATCAGGGTAGATGGGCACAAACCAAATCATCTCCAATAGGTCCAGCCGAGCACGAGGACGGGGGATCACTGTAACACAAATGTAAGCCAGAGTTCGGTGTCAAGACGATTGTTGGTGGTGTCCACGATGTCCAGTTGACGACCCCGCGTTTGGGCCGACGGCCCCGCAGGGTCTCAACAGGATAAAGTAGACGTTCACGATGTGAAGCACATACCGGCCGAGATCGTTCAGTTCCTTGTTAATTCTCTTGAGCGCCATGACGACTGTTGTGTGAGGTTATGAGGGTGTTCGTTCAGTGTCGTGGTGACGAGAAAGTAGGACTGTGAGCGGGAAACGGTTCAGGCTACGGCGGTTAGCGTCGAAAAGGCGAGAGGGGAGCTGAGGCAATGAAGTAAGGCTGAGCTCAGGCTGACAAGGCGTACCTATGGATTTATGGGAATCGCAGGATTCACGATAATATTTCTGAGGTGACAAGAAGTACCTCAAGATGTGATGAGTTGGTATCAGGGGAAGTTGCGGTGATGTTGTTGGAGTTGAAGAATGGGCCTGCCAACAGAGAGAAAACAGATTTAGCGTCCAGGCTCGCCTCACGCCCGCCGCCCGATCCAACAATCGGCGCCTATAGGTCGCCGTCGAATGATTTACTTTCTACATGGATCTACGGCCTACTATTAAAAATTCACTTGCATAGTTATTAAAGTGATTATTCAATCCACGGCAAAGGTATCATCAGCCTTACGAATCTGTGCCTTTTTTATTTATTTATCGTACATAAATGTCCCGCACCGTGAGAGATTGATACATCCTTCAAGATTGCGAGTCGCTAGCCCCGCCACACCACATCTCACCTATGACGTTCCTTTGATTGTCTGGCCGGCAACCGAATACGGTAATATTGGTCACGAGGGAAATAACCCCTCGGATGGCCGTAGGCTGGCAGCATACAGTATGGGAAATCGGGATATTATCAATTTATTTTGGGGTTTATCTATGTATTTTTCCTATGCAAATGCTTGAACACCTGTGATGGCTCTTCCGAGGATGAGGGCTGTGGCGATTGTCAGTAAAATCTTCACGGAATATATAATCGATCGGATTTGTCAGCTTACCGTGGATGTCGCTTTGCCCTTCATACGTTTGAGTCACAAAGAGGTTGGCCACGTGCCTCCCAATATGGTACTCATCGCTGGCGGCATTGCCACCGAAGATTTCTTGCAAAGTCCTAGAATTTGCCAGAGCACGGTCGCAGTTTTGCCTCTTGATCATACTGATCATCTCTGGTGCCGCTTTGCCCTCGTCCTTTAGCCTACCAACCTGGATACTTGCCAGGATACCAAAGGCAGCATCTGTCGAAGCATCTGCGAGCTTCTTCTGGATGAGCTGGTATTTGGCGAGGGGATTACCCTTGAACTGTGTCCTCTCGAGGGAGTATGTCCTTGCTCTGTCGATGCAGTCCTCCAACGCTCCCATCACTCCCCATGATATTCCGTACCGCGCACTGTTCAGGCAAGAAAACGGGCCTCTCAACCCTTCGACCTCAGGGAACATATTTTCCTGTGGCACCGGGCAGTTATCGAGTTGAATCATGCCTGTTATCGATGCTCTTAGGCCGTTCTTGTTCTTAATTGCCGGCGTCTCCAAAGTACCAACTGGACATTGCGATCTCTCAACAACGAACCCTCTAATCTTGCCCGTCTCTTGAAGCTTCGCCCATATAATGAACACGTCAGCGATTGGCGAGTTGCTAATCCAAGTCTTCGATCCCGACAGCGAATAGTATCCCTTCTTCGTTGGATGCGGCTTTGCGACAGTCTCCATCGATCCTGGATCACTTCCATGGTTTGGCTCAGTCAAGCCAAACGCACCAACCCACTTTCCCTTCGCCAGCGTTGGGAGGAATTTGTCCTTCAGCTCTTGTGTCCCGTGTTCGTATATAGGTCCCATAACCAGAGACGACTGGACAGACATCGCTGACCTGTATCCACTATCCACACGCTCCACAGCTCTTGTGATAAGTCCAGACGCGACGCTGGACACGCCGGCGCAGTCGTAGCCCTGGATCGTGGCTCCAAGCAGGCCGAGCTCGCCCATCTCTTGTAAAATGTTCCTGTCGAAGTCCTCATTGCGGTATGCCTCTGTCACGGAGTTAGCCATGGACGCTTGGTTCCGGGGGAGCTACAGCACTTACCAAGGACCCTGGGCATCAATTGCTCCTGGCAATATGACTCTGCCGTCTCCGAAACTGCCAATTCCTCCTCAGTGAAGAGGTTCTGGGAGCCTAGTGGATCAGTCCATTGGTATTTTGGAGCAGCACCCGCAGCAGCATAAGCTCTAACTGACGGCCGCGAAGCAGCCGCCAATTGCTTCCCAGAGAATCGGACAAGGGGCTTGAACATCTTGTAAGCTGAGGAGTTGTAATACGAAATATATTAACAGCACAAGTAAGTTGTTTTTACTTAAATAACCCTGGATTCCGAACTCCTGGCTAGCAGCGGTTATTGATGCTAGTGGCGGTCGTTCGTGGGGAAAGAAGCCTCTCGGCAGCGACTACGGCAAGAAACACTAATTTGTACCTCGGGAGAGGTTGATATCACTCAACTTCACCCTATATTTTTCTATCAGTCAAATGTAATGTAATAGAATTTAATAAAATGTATATACCAATAATGGTGTACCTAATTCATGGGTTGTTAACCCTCCCCAAATCAGTTTGAGCATAAAACGGTCCTTGGGGATTGTCCACTCGTCTCCAACTCTCCCCCGCACTTCAACCTGAGTTGATGCCTCAGGCACAACTAATTAAGCAGGGGTGCCGTCAGATAATGTTCGTCGCGTAACCTATCGCGTCTGAACGTCATTAACGCGGGTCGCGCATCCAAAAGAATCTCGAGGTCAAATAAATTTCTCTACCTAAAAACACGCCTTCCCAGACCTCGAAACCCGACAAGCTTAGAGCTGAAATTTACCGCGCAAAAACACTTGACCTGCTATACCTAGAGGCAACGTCACCATGGGTATTAAGCAGCTTTTCTCGATCATCCGCGATGAAGCCCCTCAGGCCATCAAGGAGGGCGAGATCAAAAACCAATTTGGGCGGAAAGTGGCAATTGTACGGCCTCTCCAACCCCTCTCATCTTGCACCAGCTAATATTCTACAGGATGCGTAGGCAACCCATGTTACTTCTTGTCGATTAAATGTAATCTGATACCCCGACTTATAGCTCCATGTCAATCTACTCCTTCCTCATCGCCGTCCGCTCAGGGGGTGAACAACTAATGAACGAGTCCGGAGAAACCACCTCCCATCTCCTAGGCATGTTCTACCGCACCCTCCGCATCGTCGACAACGGAATAAAACCCGTCTATGTCTTCGACGGCGCGCCACCAAAACTCAAGTCCGGCGAACTCGCCAAACGATTCGCTCGCAAGGCAGAAGCGACAGAGGGACTCGAAGAAGCGAAGGAAACGGGAACAGCTGAGGATGTGGAGAAGTTCTCTAGACGCACGGTTAGGGTGTCGAGACAGCATAATGCGGAGTGCCAACAGCTCCTTAAGTTGATGGGGATTCCGTATATCATTGCACCGACTGAGGCGGAGGCGCAGTGTGCGGTGCTGGCGAGGGCGGGGAAGGTGTATGCTGCTGCTAGTGAGGATATGGATACGTTGTGCTTTGACTCGCCGATTCTTATTCGCCATCTCACTTTCAGTGAGGCGCGGAAGGAACCTATCCAAGAAATCCACGTCGACAAGGTCCTCGAAGGTCTAGGCATGGACCGCAAACAGGTACTACTGTCTCTTTTTACCTCTAGCTCCTTTTAGCTCCTCGAATACTGACCCGTCGTCCAGTTCGTCGATCTCTGCATCCTCCTAGGCTGTGACTACCTCGATCCCATCCCCAAGGTCGGCCCCAACACCGCCCTCAAAATGATCCGCGAACACGGCTCCCTCGAGAAGGTCGTCGAGTGGATAAACAACGAGGGTAAGAACAAATACACCATCCCCGAAGACTGGCCCTACGCCGACGCACGCGAGCTCTTCTTCAACCCCGACGTCCGTCCCGCCGACCACGCCGAGTGCGACTTCAAATGGGAGCAGCCCGACGTGGAAGGGCTCATTAAATTCCTCGTCGTCGAGAACGCGTTTTCGGAAGAGAGAGTCAGGAGCGGAATTGCGAAGTTGCAGAAGAATTTGAAGTCGAGCCAGCAGGCGAGATTAGAGGGGTTCTTTAAGCCGATTCCGAAGACGGAGGCGGAGATTAAGAATTTGAAGAGGAAGAATGAGGAGAAGGCGGAGGAGAAGAGGAAGAAGGCGAAGGAGGAGAAGAAGGCTAGTAAGGCCAGTAAGGCGAAGCCGAAGATGAATTCTTAGGTGGTTCGGAAAACACTTGACTTGTTGACGCGGATCGATGGCGGGATGGGGGGGGTGATACAGGGTTTGCTATTTGCATTGCATGGGCTGGCGGTTGGGAAAGGGTTTGCTTTTGGCGTTGATGGCGAACGGGGGTGGGTGGGTGTGGTATATTACCTAGGGCTCTTTAAGAAGGAAGGTTTTAGGCTTCATATCAGCATATTGCATATTAGGCATATTGCTAAATGGATGACATTTTTTTATGAATCTGTTGATGGATGATGGATACAACTTGTTGTGAGGCGCAGTGCCAAGTAATGTGGTTTTCCGAGCTTCCCGCCGCGCACAAACAATTAGAAGGATTTGTGTCATGATTGCTTTTTTCAATGGGATTGTGATGGGTTTTACGTATGGCATAAATACAAATGAATGTAGAGATGTCGCGTCTCCGTCTTGAGAGCGTGAGAGGGAAGAGCCAGGCTGAGGCATGGTTTGGGTGTTACTCTGGAGTTACTCCTGGAAGTTACTCCTGGAAGTCTTCTGCCTAATTGCAGGCGCCTCACTATCCCAGTCATCAAACCGAGGAAATAATACCTGTATTGCGAACTTTTCAATAAGTTAGTAATAGAATCAGAGCCTTCCTGGAGATATTGAAATGTTGGGGGTTGAGGATACCAGTCGGTAGGATAGATCGTTGCCAACGAAGTTGTCTCCTTGACATATCTCGTCGACATTGTGACAAGAAGCATCGTGTTTATATCTTATGGTGGTAGATTTGATGATATAAGCAATTGCAAGACAGAAGGGAACAATTGGAATGGCATCGAGTGTGTCTAGAGTTCAAAGGCGTCGTCATCTTCATCGCCTTCGTCGACATTGTATTGGTGACATGAGAGATGACGACGAACACCGACTTCCAACTAAAATAAAAGGAGAGGGGGCCATAACTGCATATCAAGTAGATACATCCTTTAAAATGTATTCATTCAGCAGACACTATCAAACTGTAGTTTGTTTTGAAGTCTCTGAACAGAATGTGCAGATTCTGTTGATGGTATGAGTGACGCGAATCACGATGTAGTCGTGCGACCGAAGAAACATCAACTGTAGTGAATGGAATAGAAGAAGTCTTAGCCCTCCTAGAATATGCCAAAATTCACTTGAAATAGCTATGACTGGTAATGGAATAGTATTCCTTACTTTTTGTAATGAATAGAGAAGGTTTGGTGGTGGGACATGGAGAGTTGTCTATCGGCCACCAGACGAGGCCACATCGCGACACGATCAAAGACAGCGAGACTTTGTCTGCAGTGTAGACGGCACCTATGGAGAATATATGTTCATTTTTTAACGGGAATGTATGAAATAGACACTCACTGGTCATTTGCGATGGTTTTTGAGTCTTATCGGATGGTTGTGTGGTTGGTGGTGTGAATGCGCCCGAATGGAAGGGAGATCTCGAAGCTTCAACAATTGCTTCATTTTCGACCATAGATTCCCTTTTGTGATAACGCAACCACGTAAAGCGAAGACATCATAAAAACTCGTCTAAATCGATCGCAAGACCTCAAGAAAAGGTTATAATGCAGTATACAATGAAAATCGAATCACTGGGTCGTCTACTGGACGTTGAGCGTTGAACTGTTCGACGTCGTGGAGCTGGACAGACTGCCAAAACCCCACCACAGCCTCGTGGAGTTATCACATTTTATCATATCGCGGCTTAGAAGAAGCGTATCAATGGGAATCGCTCTGGGAAAGATACAGGCTTCGCACAACACATTCACGGAGTCTCTAAAACGGCATTCACGATCTGACGATGATTCTCTCCCCTCCGCAACAATTGCCAAAATGTGGGCGATGCCAAAGCCGACTGTGGTGGGTGAGAGCGGGTGAGCGCAATTGAGGAGGGGACGTCGAGGATTGAACCACCAGAGTTGGTCTTGGTTGGAGTTACCGCGTGATCTGGTAGCGGCGGAAGGCTGTGTTCGTCTCTGATTGGCTGATATTGATGTTGTTTTGCCTTGAAGGGTACTAATTCTTGGCCTAAAACGGGTTAGCGCGATACATCCGTCGAGGTGATCTGTGAATCTGCTGTTGATAGACTTTCGCGAGGGAGAACATATAAATTGCCGCCCTGCCCACTTCCATGTTGAGAACTTTTCGAAACCCGTACACAACCAACCCCGCACATCCACAATTATACCGACAATTACGATCAAAAGTTCCTTTGGATCTTAAGATAATCCTTTACTACACTCAATACTTATAAACTAACGTTCATACCATCATCAACATGCCTCCAAAGAAGACCGAAGCTGGTGCCGCGAAGAAGTCCACTTCCGCTGGTCACTCATACCAGGTATGTTATATCTATTCCCCAACCACAACATTATTTTATAATCGCAGTATCATATTGCATTCTTCAATTACTTATACTGACGCCCTACGTTTTTAGGATATGATTAAGGATGCCATCATCAACGTAAGTTATCTGGCGCATCGCGTCCGCGCGTTCTCGCTTGTTGACGTCGAGTCGCATTGCGACCGATGAAACCACAACACCAACCATGCCTCGAATATCTGCTGACGCGTCTATTCAATACAGCTTAAGGAGAGAAATGGTAGCAGGTTAGTTTTGCCTTCTTTGATTTTTGCGCGTCATGTTTTGTTTATGGCATTACCGTCGCGTACGTGAGAACGATTGCTAACGCTCCTTCCTTTAGCCGTGTTGCCCTGAAGAAGTACGTCAAGGCCAACAACAACATCAATGCCACCGACAAGATGTTCGACTCGCTCTTCAACAAGGCGTTGAAGTCGGGTGTCGAGAAGGGAGAGTTCAACCAGCCAAAGGGTAAGTTTTATCGAAATTTGCCACTATTGATGTCGCGTCCTATTCCCGCCTCCCCATCCGCCACGTGATATCACATTGTTACTTAGTGACATGCGTAATTACTTTGGCCTATTTACCTAACCCCCGTCTACTTAATACTTCCCTCGATCAACTTAACTAACATGTCTTCAGGATCGTCTGGCGGAACCAAGCTTGCCAAGAAGGAGCCAAAGCCTGCTGCTAAGCCAGCCGCAAAGAAGGCCGCCGCACCAGCCAAGAAGGCCACCACCACCACCAAGAAGGCTGCTGCCCCAAAGACTGCCGCCAAGCCAAAGGCCGCTGCCACCAAGAAGACTGCTGCTAAGCCAAAGGCCGCTGCACCAAAGAAGGCCGCACCCAAGAAGCCAGCTGCCAAGAAGGCCGCTCCTAAGAAGGATATCCCAGCCGTCGTTGAGAAGCCAACTGTCCTCGGCAAGACCAAGTCCGGCCGCGTAACCAAGACCACCGCGAAGACCCCCGTCGCCAAGAAGGCAGCGCCCAAGAAGCCTGCTGTCAAGAAGGCCGCTGCTTGAACTTGAACACTTGTTCATGTTTTAACGGCTCTTTCTATCAATGACTTCGTGGCGTTTGGGGAGTTTCAGCGCGGCAGGGTGATTAATATCGCTTGTGTCTGATTATTCGGGACTTACTCGGTTGGGATATGCTTTGTATGGGGTTTTCTGCTATCATACTCATGGGATATGAGGTGTGGGTTGGGCAACTCCAGGGAAGCACGGAGGATCATGTTTATTCGCGTTATTGTAGCTAGGGATTCCCCGACCTTGTATGGGTAATGGTTGTGTTTGAGGATTTTTCTGTATCCTGCACTGCCGGATTTCTGAGGGTTATGACAATAGGGGGCTTACTGGTTATAATTTTGGCGCGAGGTGGTGGGCTGGGATGATGATGCTATTACTGGATGGCTTGTACTTATACCAGATGCAATGATGATTATTGATCAGTTTTAATTATTCTGTTTTAAAATGACTTTCTTCTTTGGATACTTGTGATGTTGATGTTAATGACACACGTGCTGTATCGCCATTATCAATCATTGAAATCTCTGTAGTGGTGCCGTAAACTCTATATATAAATAAGAATATAAATGAAATGTTTATGTAGTTTATTATACTTCGATCCTAATGTGGTGTTAAGTGAGTATTTGAAAGCAAACTGGTGTTTATGTATAACAAATGCGAATTCGATTAAATTCCATGGGAATATATTATAAATAATACAGTTTTACGTATAAAATCACAACTTTAATAAACCATAATAACTAGCTATCAAACAGGGCATCAATATAACATATATACCAACATGATAATCACACCAAGTTTAAAGAGCCTAAGCTTAAGTATTAATTGCGTGAATCAACATATTTGTCGCATTGTAGCGTCCTGGCGTAAGCAAGGGGATCACATGGAAACAAATGTACAGGGGGATGTCGTATGTCGTAAGGGGTGGTGTAAAGAACAGCAACAAACAAGCAAAGCATTAATTAAGTAAAAGACTATGCGTTTATCGGGATGCAATCCACGCATTAGTGCTTTGAGTGACTGGATCTCCTTTGCTGGAGGATGTGGATTTCTATGCGCCGTTGCAATATATTGAGTTATTTCGAGTACCTTGCGCACGGCTGTTCTAACAATGTGTTGGTCCCTTAGCCAAGTCGTGTGGTGTGGCTGAGGAACGGGCTGAACCATGCCAATACGACATTCAATTTCCGGACGGAATTGGTAGATATTAATATACCAAATACAACCGTAGCTTCTTTGCTTCCCTCAACAATTATCTTCTTTCAAATAATCGAGCCAAAGCAAAGTTTATCGAGACACACGACCGAACGATACGCGTCCTTGTGCATCTATCTGCGGAAACGATCGTCAGGACAGAAGTAACGAAGGGCGGCTGTGTTTTGCCAAGGTTCCCGCGCAACCGACGCTAGATGACTTGTTCGAAGGTCTCAGCGGTGACAACAACCTCATAACCCTCAAGTTATCACGACCACGCATTGTTATATCGAGGGACGAGAGGGGGACAATCGATTGAAGACTTCTCTACCCTCAGCTGACGAGCCACAAAGGGGACGGCAGGTGGCAACTGTAGGGCCACAGCCATCGCCCTACGTGCCAACCCGTGGTCAAACCCGGCAGCGACACACTCTTGATCCTCGATTGGCCTCGTTGCAAGCCCCATTCGGTGCAAACGAGATGCCATCATTCCACTCCGATGAGTTGAATAACAGGACACTGGATGACCCCTTCTTCCAAACCCTCAACGACACCCGTCAATCGCAGGAGAATGCGGCCCTGAAGAATTGGCCACTGCAACAGCCGATTGTCCATGCGAACTATGAGACGACACCGCCTAGAACTCCTACCGACTCCCTCAATTCCATGAACGACGAGATCACCCCCCCGGATAACGGCGGGATGTTCACCGATACGGGGCTGAACGCAGTGCCAAATGGGAGGTCGGCGAGGAATAGTTGGGAGGATCGATTGGTTCGCAACACTGGCGCTCTATCTATCAACGGCGGCATGGCCGGTATACCTGAAAATGGAAGAAAGAGCCCGGAGCCACATAATCGATCATCGAAGTCTCTGTCGACAGAGAGGAACTCGTATGGCATCGCAAATGGATATCCAATACAGCCACAATTGACTGTACCCGAAGTCAACGAATCGCAAGCTGCAAATGGATACAACGAGAGCTATAAGAGACTGCCCCCTCCTCCCTCATCCTATAATCCGCAAAGCACTGGGCCCCTCACTTATTCCAGTTCTTTGGTTGGAAACATGAAACACCTCGACTCACCTCCGACAACTCAGAATGCTCAGCAGAATCCTTCTATACATCGACTCTCCCCCGATTACAATCCTAGGACCCCCATCGGTGGACCGTCGGGTTCATCACAGAACGCTGCTGGTCCGCCCCAGCTTAAACAGCGAGTACCGAAGATTGGACCGCCACGTGCATCTACAGACGATGGAACCGCCCTGGCGACTGGTCGATTCTCTCCTGTAGCCGCGACGTCCAACATGCGCCGAGGTTCTCTCAGCATCAATAGACGCAATACCCAAAGCATTCATTCCAATATACCCCATGAAGATATAGCGCAAGACGAAGATGCCCTCAGGTGGGCAGAAGCAATACGACAGAAGAGAGCGAGTAAGCGGAAGCGAAGAGATGAAGAAGACGAGGATAGGGTGGTTGTGGGGACGAAGGTTGATCAGAACCATGTAAATTGGGTCACAGCATACAATATGTTGACTGGCATCCGATTTACTGTGTCAAGGACGAACGCGAAGTTGGATAGGGACCTAACGGAGGCTGACTTTACTGCACGCCACAAGTTTTCCTTTGACATGTAAGTCTAAGCTATCTGGTGCATTATATATCTGGATGAAAGCTGACCGAAACTAGAACTGGCAATGAGTTAACCCCGTCGGCAAAGTATGATTTCAAATTCAAGGATTATGCACCATGGATATTCCGACGCCTACGAGCCACTTTCAAAATTGACCCTGCCGACTATCTCATGTCGTTGACAAGCAAGTACATCTTGTCAGAACTCGGATCGCCCGGCAAAAGTGGCAGCTTCTTCTATTTCTCTCGAGATTACAAGTACATCATCAAAACTATACACCATGCCGAACACAAACTCCTTCGCAAAATTCTCAAGGACTATTACCAGCATGTCGTGCAGAATCCCAACACCCTCTTGTCGCAATTCTACGGCTTGCATAGAGTGAAGGTGCCATACGGAGGTAAAATCCACTTTGTCGTCATGAACAACCTATTCCCACCGCATAGGGACATCCATCAAACGTTTGATTTGAAAGGCTCCACTATCGGGCGAGACTACAAGGAAGAGAATGTTGTCAACAACCCAAGAGCAACCCTGAAGGACCTCAACTGGCTCAGGAGGAACTACCATCTCGAATTCGGACCAGAAAAGAAGAACACCTTTTTGGAACAGATGGAGCAGGATGTACATCTCCTGCAGAAGCTCAAAATTATGGACTATTCGATGCTTGTGGGCATACATGACTTGGGGAAAGGCAACCAAGAGAATCTTCGAGATAAGACGCTCAGGGTGTTCCAGCCTGGAGGAGACACATCGCCGGACGATATTCTACCTTCAAACCCTATCTTGACGAGAACGCCCTCGAAATTGGAGACTGCTAGAAAGGCGCATGAGTTGCGAAAGATCATCAAACACGAAAAGCCCATTCCTATGGGCGAATCATCCACCAGAATGCCAGATCAGATGGAAGAGAACACAAGTAAACGAGACTTTACGTTCTACAGCGACGATGGGGGCTTTAGGGCCACACATGAGGATAATACCCCTGGGGAGGAGATATATTATCTGGGCATCATTGATTTGCTCACTCACGTAAGTTACTTACTACCAATATGTCTTGACTATGTGGCTAATAAATGCAGTATGGAACCGTCAAGAGACTTGAAAATTTCTGGAAAGGACTTTCTCATGATAAGCAACAAATATCCCCGATACCACCAGTTCCCTACGGTGACCGGTTCATCAAGTTCGTTATGGACATTACGAAGTCTCGAGAAGAAGTTCGAGAGGAAGTGCGAGACGAGGTTCGAGACGATGTACGAGGAGAGATTCGAGAAGAGAATGAAGAAGCGATGGAGTCTGGGAATAATTAGGTAGAGCGAGCTCATTGTTGCTTTAAGAGAGTTTACAGTAACTAGGAATACAATTAAGGTTCTTAATCAGTTGGGATTGTAATTATCATTGCGGCCTTTTTAATAAGCCAGTTCTCAGAAATCAAATTAAGGGGGGATTCCATCAGCTTCAATTTTATTTTAGTATTAATCCGTATCTGCGTACGTACGCATGTAGCATGGTCCCTTATCTGGATCGTTGTGGAAGACACTAGGGTACCTCAGGCAGAATGACATGACGATGCCAAGATCGGCCCCTGCCCCGCCTCATTGTTGATAACTCGTGACACGTAATCACGTGGTAGAGTAGTAGTAGGGTCCGATTGCAGTTGACGGGGGATCGCCGATAAAGCCTTGGGCGTCACTCCGTTGAATTCAAGGCTGATACGAACAAGAGCCGCCACGTCTGCAGTGAACCACGTCAACTTTCAAAGATCATACAATTATAAGCCTCACCAAGGACTCACTTGCTCCCTTCAACAGCTTTCTCGTGCACAGCGCCGGTACTGAGTCATCCTCACGTGCACCAATCAGACCCCTCTCTGTTGGAACGATCCGGGAGCCTGCTTAGTCGTTGATGGACTTGGTTGCCACTTTGGACCACCGAACCACGCACTTCCCCCGACCAAAACTTCACCATTTCACCCCTGACGAGAAAGCGAAAAGCGGCGGAAGCGTTATCGTCCTCGATCTCATATAGTTTACCACCCAGCAAGAGGATTGCTTCCGCCCTTTCACCAGCGGCGACTACGACAAGCATGGCGGACTCGGACGAATATATGTCTGGGATGTCGAGCGAGGATGATATTCTGCAGGATGAGTCGGACAATGAGTCGGGAGATGGTGAGTTGTTGACGTTGACGTTGGATGGTTTGCTGAAGAAACGAGGCTGACGTAGTTGTGCGGCACAGATTTCGGATTCGATGAGCCGGAGCCTGATTTAGAAATCTCGCAGAAGGAGTCTACAAGAGAGAAGAGGAGACCGTTCGAAGTTACATATAAAGTTTACCATCCGGATGATATACAGAAGCAGCAGGATGAGTTAATCGATGAGGTTAATATGATTCTCGACTTAAAGAAGGAGGATGCGGCAATCATATTACGACACTTTCGATGGAACAAGGAGAGGTTGATTGAGGACTATATGGATAGACCGAAGAAGGTCCTGGAGGAGGCTGGGCTAGGTCCTAGCACCGAGGGACCGCCTACACTACAAGTCATCCCTGGCTTCGTTTGCGATATATGCTGCGAGGACGAAGCGGGGCTCTTGACATTTGCTATGAAGTGTGGTCACAGATACTGCGTCGATTGCTATAGACAATATTTGGCACAAAAGATCAAGGAAGAGGGCGAGGCCGCTCATATCCAGTGCCCACAGGACGGATGCAAGCGGATTATGGATTCGAAGTCAATGGACCTACTCGTGGCATCGGATTTGAACAACAGATACCGCGAATTGCTTACACGGACCTATGTCGAGGACAAGAATGCGCTGAAATGGTGCCCTGCTCCAGATTGCGTAAACGCTGTCGAATGCAAGATCCAGAAGCGTGATCTGGACAAGGTGGTACCTACAGTGGCTTGCGACTGTGGCTATCGCTTTTGCTTCGGATGCATTCTCACAGACCATCAGCCAGCTCCTTGTGAGCTAGTGAAGCGCTGGCTTAAGAAGTGCGCCGATGATTCTGAGACTGCGAACTGGATCTCCGCCAACACGAAGGAGTGCCCTAAGTGTAACTCGACGATCGAGAAGAACGGTGGGTGCAACCATATGACGTGCAGAAAGTGCAAGCATGAATTCTGCTGGATGTGCATGGGTTTATGGTCAGAACACGGAACGAGTTGGTACAACTGCAATCGATTCGAGGAGGGCAGCGGATCCGATGCGCGTGATGCTATGGCTAAGTCTAGGGTGTCGCTCGAGCGATACCTTCATTACTACAACCGTTATGCCAACCACGAACAATCGGCAAAACTTGATAAGGATATTGCAACGAAGACAGAGAAGAAGATGGTTCAGCTACAGTCAGCGTCCGGTCTCTCTTGGATTGAAGTCCAATACCTTAACTTGGCATCCCAGGCTCTCCAAACCTGTCGTCAGACCTTGAAGTGGACCTACGCGTTCGCCTTCTACCTTGCTCGCAACAACTTAACCGAGATGTTCGAAGACAACCAGAAGGACTTGGAGATGGCAGTTGAGAACTTATCAGAGATGTTCGAGAAGCCAGTAGCAGAACTGGCTGATGCCAACCTAAGGGTCGATATCATGGACAAGACGTCCTATTGCAACAAGCGTCGTGTCATTTTGCTCGCTGACACAGCCGAAAACTTGGCAAATGGTGTGTGGTCTTTCAATGGGGATTATAATGGCACCGATTAGCTATTTTCTATTTGATCACCCCCGCTGTCTCTATATTGCAGCTTTCTTGATGCTGCTAGGCATAGTGGTGCCACCAAGTGTGACGGGTATCTTTGGGCTGCTTACGGTCGTTCATTACCAAAGCATTTGCTGACGGCCAGTATTTCAGGGGAGTGGCAATTCACTGTTGACCTGAGCACCCCGGCACCAAGTGCCCTTGCAGCAGCTCTGGCGTCGTCGAAATAGACAAACAGACCACGAACGACCAGGACATATACACCACACTCGAATATATTTGCATGCATAGCCGCCGTACAAGGTCGGGGAGATGAGACCTGCAGCTCTGGAGCGCAGCTCTACTCCATCTTTTACGTGCATACTTCCATAGCCTAGCCTTGGCATTTCTGTACCAACTCGCGAGCATTCACGAACTTATCATCATCCACTCAATCGGACTCAGAATCAGACACAAATACACCACAACAAGACAGACACATCCCACTTTTCATTTGTACGTTATGATGTCGAACATACATAAGCAGTACCCGCCTGCCGAGACCTAGAGAGAGGTCTCGTGAATATTTTTTTGCCACAGCATGGGAGAGGGAGGGCGAGGGAGGGAGACTGCAGAAATACATTTGTGTGCGATTGCGATGGGGATTTTTTTGAAGCGTTTTTTAGGAGCATCAATGGAGGGAGCCATAGAGAAGGCTGGTAGATAGATGGGCGTAAGGTCGATATGAGAACATGGATCTTATGAACTACATAAAATGACTGTTGAGTGTATTTGCGATGTGACGTGTAGCTGATGTTTTATTATAAGTGTGACTTAGAGATGATCGCTTACTCATATGGCGCCCCTACGTCGTCCGCTTCCTAGGGGAGGCATTCGTGTATATGAGATCCCCTAGCTACAGTCTGAGCAGCCCCTAGCTACAGTCTGAGCAGCCCCTAGCCACAGGCTGAGTCCCTAGCTACGGCCTGAGTCTACAACTTTTCACTCGTAACACGTCTCATAAGCATAGGAAAACAGAAGTAAATTGATTCTCGATGGCTTCTATTTAGAGCTTTATCGATGATAGAACAAGTAACTAGACGCTAAACTCCGCACCCGACCTGCCCATCGCTTGAATGCTATAAAACTCCAACCTAGGAAGCACCTTGATAGTGCTATTCCCAGACCCCCAACAAAACAATCCCTAACTCCTACTCCCAGAAACTCCTTCAAATATAGCCTTTAAAGTCGCGCCATTTCAGTAGCAATACCCACTCGGCCACCAATTTGAGCCTGGTAAGCACCACTATTTCATGCCGAAAGCGAACCTCCCTAAGTTTACCCTTTCGACCGGGCTCAGAAGCTCCTCTTCTTCGCTGTCATGGACTATTAGGTCCTCGCTTCCAAATGACTTGCACATATTTTCCTTCGGCGGAGATGCTAAAGCAAGTCTCTCTTCCTCATCATGAGGAGGAAGAGGAATGTCGGCTGGCTCAGTGACGATCTTGAGAGACGACTGCTTTCTAACCATGTTCCTTCCGAGTTCAGGGAATGGCAAGCCACCTAGGCCAGCTGGCTTAGGCTTCGGTTGGCGAGTAAAACTCGAGATCTTGCGAGATCCAGTCGGGGTGGATATGGGTGTGTATGGTGGCGTTGGTAATACAGCAGCGGAATTTGTGCGGTTCAGGGCTTTTGAACCTAGTGCCTGGAGAGGCGTGGAAGCGCTACGTGTTTCTGACTTAACGGGAACCGGTATGCGTGACGGCTTCGCGGAGGTTGGAGAAGTAGAAGCATCGCTGCTCCGACGTGAAAGAGTCGAAAATTGAGACTTGGGTGTAAACGCAAATCGTGATTTGAGAGATACAGGCGTCGCCGTTGGGGCAGTTGAAACAGGCGATGGTGGATCATCAATGGTGCTGGCAAACGATGTTGCCTGGGTGAGGCTCGGCATTGAAGTGAAGCTTGTTGTTGTCGAAACTTGTAAAGTTGAATCGGTGGTTGGATCGGTTTCATCACTGATTTTGCTGTCCTCTTTGAACACCTGCATCTTCTTACCGGAATCATGCTTAAAGCCGTCGAAATCAGGGAGACTAAGCATCACATCTTCAATGGAATCGTCGGAATATATGTATACATCGCTTTCGGATTTTCTGCTCTTAGCGGTTCGTCCAATCGATGGGCTTAGATCCGTCGTTGACTCAAAGAATCGGCTGCGCCCCCCAATTGGAATGTCGCCTGTAATACTATCCGAGCATAACCTTGGCCTCTTATGAGGCCTAGGCTCTGATTGAAAACTGGCTGATAGCGCTCTGCTAGCCTGACGAGGAGGCGCCGACCTTGGAGGTGGCAGTTGTGGTTCTGGTTGAGTTGCAGATCGGCTCAGGTGCGGTCGTGGTACGGGTGTTGCTTCCCAGGGCCCGGAATTCCGAAGGAGGGCATTCTGCTGAGAGGGGGATGGTGTGAAACAGTTGATGTCAAGTTCTGCTAGGGGAACCCGTCTTGGCTTGAAGAATTGATCGATGCTAACCCCTTTCTTTAAATCTTGTGACGAAACTGATGCCCGGAGCTGTGACTTTGCCGTCCATGGCGTTCTTGGAGATGCTGCAGGCACACTTTGACGGGTTATAATCACCTCCTTTGTCATTGGGTTAAGTTCTCCCGTTGCGACTCTCTTAGCTATTTCTGCTTCGACAGGAGCGCCGATAAACGTCAACTTTTCTTCATCGATGGGTTGTTCTGGCTCTGTGTGGAACACAACTTTATTCGCTATCGGACAAAACACACGTTGGTGCAAAAATGTTAGTTCCGCTTGATAGAAGTTGTCCAGGTAATCCTTTGGCACATGGTATTTGCCATCGAATTGTAGCATCCGTATGACTTTCTCAACATTTTTGTGCTTCCGTATCATTCGATAGGCCGTTTTCAGGCCCATATTCGTGATACTGGAGAGATAGTCGCATCCGCTCAAAATTGCCATCTGCCTGAACTCCTTTTCGCTCCACCCGGCTAGGTTTATATCACGGCAGGCACTGAAATCTGCCTGGTTGATTTCGATGCAATTTCCGTACTGATCAAGTTTTGTCAGGAGGCACTTAGCACCAAAAACTAGGAGATCTGAGTCTTCGGATAGAATCCCGTCAAGAATCCCCTTTCTCTCTAGGTATACCATCTGTGCATCTGCTTCGTATGGTGCGACAATATACTGAACCCCAGCCATATTCAACTCGTCGATGAGCTGCCTGGCCATTTCAGGAGTAACATCAACTGCTTTCTGGAGTTCAAGATTGGCCTGTGCGACTTTTCCTGCATTCAATAGCTCTAGTCCAAGTGTTTTGCTGGCTGCTCGTCTTTTATTGCGGTCCGCTTCGGTAGCCGCCTTGCTGGGGAGGTAATCTCCATCGAAGATTAAAAACGGTATGACGCCAAAATGCTGAAGCATTCGTACCCGGTGCATGGCAAAATCAACAAATCTGGTTCTTGTTAGAAGTGTCTTTATCAAATATTCGCAAATACGTACTTCCTTGTTGGCTTCCCCATCACCAAATCCATGGTACAAGATATTGTACCCCTGTGAAGCCATCCATAGGCATCTACACCTATCGTCTGCCCCGCAAACTTCTTGAGATTACATGGTTTATGTATAGACTTGAGCAATGGCAGTAGCCCTACACGTTGTCAGCTTGCTTTCTGTATTCAACTCGGAGTATATCAAACCGCTGATACCCATTGGTCACAAAGGGCCGTGGTGAAGAGACGCAGGGACTCGTGGAATGTCGACTACCGCATGAGCATGAGCATTGGTGGGCAAATAAATGGCAACTAGAAGAAGTGCAAGGCTGAAGGTGCTCTGGGTCCTGAAAGGAAGGTTGTCGTGTCGCAGTGGCTATCACCCCTCGATATCCAGGGCTTCAAGGGTCATAAATCGCGTCTAGACGCCTGGTCGCGTCGCTCCATGTCGGCATGGAAACGGGCCGCGCCCACAATTTTGGCACTAGAAGATTACGATAAACGATAAGGAAAGTTGAAAATGAGGGAACTTTTAACATCGCCGACCGAGATAATCTACGATAACGACCACGCTCTCCTCGTATTCAAGATGCCGAAAGGACTCCAAAAGACCCGGAAGAAGATTAACAAGAAGGGCGGCGATATCCATGCCCTTCATGAGAACTCTAGAGGTCCGCGCCCCACACATTTCCATCAGCTACCTCCTGTACTAAAAATCCATGGCAGACTCCATGCGCCTCCGCCGCGCGAGTAACAGAGACGAGAAGCTCAAACGAGTAGGAACGGCAAAGAGGAAGGATAACCAGCCTTTGAGTGAGTGCTGTGGCTTTAGTGGTTTTCGGGTCAACACTAACGACGATGATTAGTTGTCCGGGCAGCTTATTTCCAGGAAGCTGTGCGCAAGAATGACGGGAAGGAATTGACGATGGAACAAATTACGCCACTAATTGAAGAGTATGCATCTCTATATGCATTTATACGATGTGTACTAATCCGACGGGTAGATTCGTACACCAACACGACGAAGAATTCAGCGAAGTCAAAAGCCAACGCCGCCCAGGACGGCCGTCTTCAACAAGAGAGGACGTTTTGAGGATCAAAATAGCTAAAGACGAGAAGGAGTGGGAGAATGGCTTCTGTTAGTAAATATCCTAGACCTGTGGACCTGTTACTGATATTATGACAGACCTACCTGACCTAACAATCCCCGACAACGCTATATATCTCGATAGATGGGACGGGACTTGGTCGTATCTGCCGACTCTGAAATGGGTTACAATTGCGAAGAATGGGACCGTGAAGCCATCTAGCTTCCCGCCTAAGGGACAGACATGAAGATATAATGATCCGAAGGCGTTTATATGGTGCATCTGAAGGAGTTGGGCGACAATACCGCAACATTTGTGAAAGTGAAGCGGCTCTTTTACGGATAACAATAGTTAGCCAGGATTTATAGTGCAAGAAATCGTTTATTGTAATTATTGAGACTTCCAATTTCGTATCTGAGCTTCCATTTTGTTCAGTTGGTGATAAATGTTACCAGCGGGTCTGATATTACGCTAGACCCCACTAGGCGTGGCACGGATTAGCTCCCGCAGCTCTAAAAAGTTGCTGTTGACTGACGACTGTCTTGATCGAAGATATCATCATTTACCATCACATTCTTTCATCTCAAAATAATCCAATTCCATAATCCCAGCATTCCAATCATGCTTTCTCTTCGTGCCATTGCGCGCTCAGCTCCGCGCGCCGTCTCCAGGCTCACAGTCTCCGCTGCTCGCCGCTCAGCAGCTCCTATTTCCATTCAGTCATCATGGATGCCAATCCGCACACAAGCCGCCGCCGCGTTCTCTACATCGAGAATGTACAAGGCAACGGCAGGTGAGGTTGACGATGAGCTCGTCGCCAAGCTTGAGTCTGAGATTTCGATGGAGCAAGAGATGAAGGAGAACAGCGAGGTCCCGCAAAGCGTTAGGGAGTACCTCGAGAACGGACCCTTCGAGATCCAAGATGTTGAGGGATCGGAGGAAGTCGTATTGACGAGGACATACGGCGAGGAATCGTGAGTAAATTCAATCCCTGATGATAAAGTACTGTGCTAAAAGAACGTAATAGTATCCGCGTCTCCTTTTCCGTTGCCGACTTGAACGCCATCGACCCCGAAGCCGACTATGAGGACCGCGCCATGGCTGATGAGGAGGATATTGAGCAGCAAGAGAAGGAACTTGCAGAGGAGGAGGGCGAGTCCGAGGCCACAGACTCCTTCCCAGTCCGCATCAACGTTATCATCGAGAAGGCAAACAAGGGCGCGCTCGCCGTCGAGACCATTGCCCAGGATGGACAAATCATCATCGACAACGTCTACTACTACAAGGATGCCGCGCAGGCACGCGCCAAGACCGCTGAGCTGGCACACACCAGACAGGACCTCTACGTTGGCCCACCATTCGGCAACCTTGATGAGGATCTCCAAATTACTTTGGAGAGATACCTGGACGAGAGAGGCATCAACACCGCTCTGGCTCTCTTCGCCCCTGATTACATAGACATGAAGGAGCAGAAGGAGTACCTGGCATGGCTGGCGAATGTCAAGGGCTTCGTTGAGGCTTAAATGGGGGATTGGTGATACTTTCATGCTTGTTTTTTACATATCCACTCTAATGGCGAAACGTGTATAATATTAGTGTACGATGATAGATTGGAGATTTGGGCCTAGGATGTCTCTCATAGTTGTATTTTAGACCATCAAATTATTGGCAAACAAACTCAAGATATGATTGAAAATGTTATTGTGCATGGTATTGTTTAAGGACTGGGAACAAGTCATGTAATCATTACTGCCTATAGACCAAACGCCAAACCCGTCGTAATAATACCAGTCTACATGTCTTTAAGCATTCGCCTGTACAACCCTATACCCTCCCGCAACTGTCTTCGTTATTTCCTCATTCTTGTGCTGGAGCAGGCTTAGAGCGTATGCGACATCATTCCACTGCCTCTCACTCTCACATCTCGCCAGCCTAGCCGCCAGTTTATCAGCGAGCTGCTTAGCATGTTTATCCTGCATAGTATTAGCACAATGTCTTCACACATCCAATTCCTAGAGTGTTTCTTTACCTTCTCAATAAAACCGGCCAAGAACTTAATGATCCTCTTCAAGGCGTCCTCCTCTAAGTCCTTCTCCGCCGAGAGCAAACTGAACATATCTACGAAGTGATTATAAACCGCATTGTCCTTGGTGCTAAGCTCCGTGAAGAACATCCGACTGAGATCGGCAATCCTCTTATCCTCATCCTCGAGGCACTTCGCCATCTCTCCAAGTTGACCCTTGACCTTCACTTGGCCAGCCAAGATGAGGAATGTCAAAGTCATCAAACATGTACGCTTAACACTGGCATCCTTGTCATTCAAGCGGCGATATAGGAAGTCCGTGTTCTCGTCGATGAGGTGGTTGAAGCAGACGGCCATGTCTCCGAGGGCAATGACGACGTTGGAGCGGGTAATGGGATCCTTAGAGCGCTCGAGGATCGTAATCAGAAGAGGAAGGTTCTGTTCGCAGTACTCGGAGCTGACACACATGAGCTTTGCTAAGCAAAGCGTTGCTGCGGCTTGAAGGTTACGGTCTTTGTAGCTAGTGTTGTTTGAGCAGATCTCGGCCACAAGAGGGCCAAAGTTGGCTAACAAAGAGTCCGGGCCATAGAGAAGCTCTCGCTCCCTAATGTGTGCCATAGCTTCCGTGAAGTCGTCCTCTGTAGTCCCGCCAATCAGGTCAAGATCGTCGGCGTCTTCCTTGGCCTGCTTCTCTGCTGGAGTTGCGGCAGGCTTAACCTTGTCCTTTTCATTTTTGCGCCTCTTGAAGTCTAATTCACAAAGCTCTAAGTGGACTATTTGCTTGATAGCAACATGGCCCACAATAAACAGCAACTGAGACAATGCAATGGAGCCTTTCTGGCCAGGCTCGTTAGGCTCTTCTTCTTCTTGTGGTGGAGTTGGTGGTGTCCCTTCGTCAACGTCCATCATATCAACGTCCATGGCATCTGGGTCAGCAGCAGGCGTGGGCGCAGGCGGCTCAGACTTTTGACGCTTCTGGAAAACATGCTTCGTCTTCCTTCGCAAGATCTCCGAGCACAGTGTATCTGGGTGCTTGGATAGGACATAGATGGCGCTGATAGCCTGCTCGGCAACTCCATACCATTCTTTGCTATCGGACTCCACTTCAATTATCGAAGCAAGCTTCGAGAGAACCGCGTGATCGTTGGGGAGCTTTGAAAATTTGGAACCCGACTCTTGGGATTGACGCCCTGTTGGGCTGATACGACGCAGGGCGATACACGTATATTTAGCAAGCTGAAGATCCCTTCTCCCAAGTCCTCCCAACCCGATTCGAAGCATCGTCTCCAGCTCACCAACAACTATATCAGGGCTTGCTGTGGCTAGCATACCTAGCACAATAATTGCACCGCGGCGTTGGCTCTTTGAGATTTCCTTTTTCTGTACACCGTACACCTGCCAAAGCTTCGAAATCACAGTTTCGGAGACATGGCCCGCTTTCATCATGGTGCTTAAAAGCTGCTCCAACGACGTAAGCTCAGCTGGAGTCGCTCCGAATGTCAAACTGATCATATTCCTCGCAATGTAATTCGCCGCATCATTTGCGCTGAAGGAGTCCGGTGCTTCGAAGAACAACGTTTTGTAACAATCAATTAGGTGGGACTGAACGCCCTTTCCTTCATCGCTGTTTCCCTTTGTCCAAATAAGTCTGAGCATGCGTCGAATGCCCAACTTGTTTTGCTCGATCTTGTATGCATCACCGATTTTGAAGTAGTCCATCGCCTCTATCACCTCGCTCTTGTTCTTAGAGCCAAGTAATTGACAAATTGTTGTTGTTGCTCCGTGCAAAACTTCAATGAACTTCAACGCTTCGACATAGTATCTTCTTGTGAGTGTCAACTTGCCGATTGCTTCGGAAGTTGCTGCTTCCTCTTGCGCTTTCTGAACAGCCGCAATTTTCTGGCTATCAGTCATAGGCTTTTGAGGCGAGTCGGTCTCCATTTGCGTCGCTTCATCAAGAAGTGCTTCGTCAACAGTCGCAGCAGTCTTGTCCACCAACCCAGGGGTCTCCGGAGGAGGCCTTAACGCATTCAATTGCGCATCCACAGCGTCTAAACGGGCGTTCCAATCCTGGTAATTGAGCTCCCCGCCATGCATGACGCTGAAAGGATGTGTTTTGATTAACGCCCCAAGGAGTTTGATTGCATTTCTGCGGACATTGCTGCTCTTGTCTTCGAGACTTCGAGCGGCTAGCTCAGCCGCCTTTTGCCTGCGTTTTGGGAACTTCTGCTCGAGATCGCAGAGCTTGATATAAACTTGGATTGTTCTGCACCTGGAATAGGGGTTGATGTCGAGAAAGCGCTCTTCGAGCACGTCGAAGAAGGCGTTCAGCTGCGATTTGTGGTTCTCTCCACGCTCTTCCTGCTTACTTAAATCTGCAACCATGTTCCCGCACACTTCGATAACAGCACAGCGTAGGGTATAAGATTCGCTATCAAGCTGCTTTGCAATCATGGTCATCTGTTTGATAACCACCCTTGGTGCCAGCTCAGAGAACTTGACCATGAACGTAGATACCGACTTCGGCCCTTTAGTATCATTGCTGTTGAACTCCTTGTTGCTAAGTTCCCTGAGAACCTCATCTGCCAGTTGGGGATAGTCATACTGCTCAGCAAGGATATGTAGGAATTCTGCCATAGGCTCCGATAGATGCTCGAAATATGTTAGATTCTGCACAATGGAGATCTGGGCAGCATAGGCGTGCCCATGATGCTTCACTGCAATACACAGAACCTTGAAAACATGCATGCGGATTGCTGTGCTCTTAACACGTTGCTCGCTCTCCAGAACCAAGTATGCGGGCCTTGTAAGTAAGCCGATAAATGTATCTCGTTCAGATGTAGTAAGGAAAATCTTCGAGAGCTTGAGCTTCAGCACCTTGCACATGACTTCGAGTGCAACCTGTAGTTGCGCCGACGAGTCCCAGTTGGCGTCCTTTGCTGAGGCCTTTGGCTTGGCGGCCTTGCCTCTGCCTCTTGATGCTGGTGTTGTTGTAGGTTTCTCCGCCGCCTTCGTTTCAACAGCTGCCAACGTCCATTGTAACAGAAATCCGAAGATTTCTAGAAGCTGTTTGTGGTGTGCGATAATATCCTGCTCGTCCGACTCGAGATCATTGCTGATTATATCGGCTTCGGCGGACAAGCCCGAGACGACGAGGTCCAGGACTTTGCCCAAGGCATGTGGCGGGAGGATGGACGTTGATCTAGAAAGCAGGAAGAGTTTAGGACTTGGGCTTTTGGAGGAGATGTGGGGGTCTGAAGCAGTAATGGAAGTTGGGGCACACTTTAGAAGGAACTGCAAAGAGTCGAACGAAGAGCTTCTCGTGATAGCATCTGGGTTCTCCGCCACAGAGTCCACAATCGGATTCAAGATACTGTTTATCAACGAGTTCGTAAAGGCTTCGGGGTCGTTTTCGCAGTCGGTGAGGTTCGAATCGGCTTCTGGGGTGGGTATGTTCGTGGGGTCGCTCATGTAATGCTTGAGCGCATCGTTGATGTCGAAGTCGATATTGTCCATGATTGCGAAAAATTCCAAGTGTGCGGCAAATATGCCTTACAGCCAAACGTTCGTCAGCTTCAAACAAAGCAGCTGTCGTCTGTCGTTGCTAACTTGTTGTGACGGGTGAGATTGTTTATGATAATCACCGTGGACGATGGGTGGTCGCGATTGTTGATTTTCGTTCCTAATCGAGTCTAGTCAACTGTTGATAAGAGCGCGTTCTCCGTCGCGAACCGCCCTCGAAGCGCCTCGAAGATTCGAATTTCGTTAATTCTTAAGGCAAATTTGTACTGTTGTGGCTCCTAATATAGGACCAGGGTAATTGCAATAAACAATACTGGTTCTGAGCAATTGGACTTCACAGGACGCCATGAGCGTGGTGAAAGACTATGCACGACCTGTCCAATTTGACATAAACGACGAAGACCCAGAGATTGACGACTCCGCAGACGAGGAGACCCATGACCAAATGATAGAGGACGAAGAGATGGTATGGGCCCAGCAAGCCGAATTGGAGGAGACGGATGCGTACTCCGAGTGGTCCGAGGAGAGTGAAGAGGAAGTTGACCCCGCAGTTCAAGAGGACATGGACAAATTCGTGGCAACGTTCAAAGGCATTAAAGATCGATTCAGGCTCATAAATCGAATTGGAGAAGGTTGGTTTTCTTATATTTTGAACTGTTGTCGGATTGGATTCTAACGATATGCAGGGACCTTTTCTACGGTTTATAAGGCAGAGGATCTGAATTATGACATGTTTGAAAACAGCTGGGATTTGGAACAAAAGGAGATCGAGAAGAATGCCAAATGGGCTGCGCCAGACTTAAAAAGAGGCTCTGTTGAACCTACCCGCCGAAAGCCAAAGTTTGTTGCTATCAAGCAAATCTATGTTACCAGCAGTCCGTCCCGCATTCTCAACGAGCTGGATCTCCTGAACGATCTCCGTGGTTGTCTATCCGTCTGCCCACTCATATCCGCCTACCGCCACACCGACCAAGTGGTGGCCGTCCTCCCCTACTTCAAGCACTCAGACTTCCGAGAGTATTTCCGGAAGATGACCATCCCAGATATGCGTATCTACTTCCGCTCCCTCTTCGTTGCCCTCGCCGCAGTCCACAAGCAGGGCATTCTACACCGTGACATCAAACCCACAAACTTCCTTTACGAGCCGTCAAGGCGGCACGGTGTGCTCGTCGATTTCGGCCTTGCTGAGCGCGAAGGCACGGATAGCAAGCCTTGTCTATGCCAACAACATTCCATGGATCGTCGGCGGCATATCAATAACAGCGTCGCGGCGGCCAATGGGCCTGCAGCTGGCTATCCCAAACAAGACACTCGCCCTTCACGTCGAGCGAACCGCGCTGGAACCCGTGGTTTCCGTGCGCCAGAGGTTCTCTTTAAATGCACGGCACAAACAACCAAAATCGACATCTGGTCCGTGGGTGTCATTCTCCTGACTATCCTGTCACGACGCTTTCCCTTTTTCAACTCAGCAGACGACGTTGAGGCCATGATTGAGATTGCAACAATCTTCGGCTCAAAACGTATGAAGCAAGGGGCGCTGCTACACGGAACTGTCTTCGAGACCAACATCCCAACAGTCGGACAGCAAGGATTTAGTCTCGAGAAGATTATTCTGTGGAGCACGTGCAGGACGGAAAACGATGCTAATGGGAAGGATGTCTCCTTGAGCGATGAGGAGAAACTAGCGATACGATTCTTGGAACGCTGCTTTGATTTGGATCCAAACAAGCGGATTAGTGCAGCGGAAGCGCTGGAGCATCCTTTTTTGAGGGAGAAAGATGCAGCTACGGAGGACGAGGATGAGGACGAGATAAATATGATATGATTAGCGGCGAATGTTTTGGGGGAGTTGGGGACGGACGGCATTTAAGGGGCATTGCATAGGGATAGGCTTCATTATGGATTATTCCGGGCGTTTAAGACGTTGCTCAGCAGCTAGAGATACCACGATTATAGAAATACTGTAATAAAACAATCACATACAAAAGAACGTTTTGAGTTTTAACATGTTCGAGAATGAAGGATCTTCAAGCCGCAAATTTTCAAAGAGTTCTCACAGCACCAGACAAAATTGCGGTCACATAAACATAAGGGCAAAAATTGTTCGTGATGTGTTTTGATATCATTGATCGAACTCCGATAGCCGTAGCCATGCCAATCCTTTCATGCCATGAGATACCGACTAGAATAACAACCCTGAATCATAAACCCATTTATGCGACCAACTCAACGACACCACCGGCCTCGGTGATCTTCTTCTCAGCGAGCTTCGAGACCCATCTGGCGCGGACGACAATTGGGATGTTTGGCAGGCGACCCTTTCCGAGGACCTTGGAGTATCCGAGGGGGAGGAGGTCGATGACGGGGACGGTGTCGGTGTTCTTGGACTGGAGGTACTCCTCACGCTTCTCAGCGGGGACGAGCGACCAGAGCTGCGAGTCAATTAGCCACCATTCCCTCCCACCACGACACGGCTGAAAGACTTTTTGTCGCGGGGCAAAATATCAGAGGGTATACATACCTTGTCGAGGTTGACAACAGGCTTCCAGAAGTGGTTCTGTTGCTTGTGGAAGTAACGCATACCGACCTTTCCGAAGTAACCAGGATGGTACTTGTCCATGTTGGTACGGTGGTGGTGCTGACCACCAGCGAGACCACGACCACCTGGATGCTTGCGGTGCTTTCCTACACGTCCCTTACCGGCGGAGACATGACCGCGGCTATGAAAATGTCAGTACAGTGTACGACAAAATTCTAACGAGGCTAAAGCTTCGCCCCGGCGCTCACCCTCGAGCTTTCGCTGAGGGGCGCATCATCGCTCAAGTTTTGCATTGATGCCGATGATATAGATTCGGTAGAGATCTGGTTCAGACGTACTGTTTGCGGGTCTTCGAAAGATGGGTAGGCATTGTCGGGGATGTCGAGTGCCGTAAATTTGTCGATGACCTTCAATTCTCTGTACACAATCTTCAATTTGCTTGACTTCACAATTGCTAGCGCGTTCGCTTATCGGTCAGGGCTGAAAACCCTAACGCGGATAGGAGCGATAGTGAGTGACGACGACATGCCCAATATAGTAATTTGACAATTATTTGAAGGCGCTACTGAACCGCAATTGAAATGTATTATATAATGATCTATTGGAACTCAGTATATGAAATCGATGTCAAATAAATCTGCGAGTTCCATTGGAGACCACCAATTCTAGAATCCAGGACAATTTCGCGATCACGTGACCGACCCCTTTGAGAGCCATCAGAAGCTATACTGATATAGAAAATTGTATTTGCATACATATCACAGATACATTTCACTAAGAGGTCACCTTCTTACTCCTAAAAAAAGTCCCCAGCCCACCCATCAACTCCCCAAACCCCTTCCCCTCGCACCCCTCCACCAACCCATCCCTAATCCACCCCGGCAACTTCCTCCTAATCCCCTCCTTCCCAAACCGCCCATCCACCATGATAATAGACGCAAAATCATTCTTATGCCTAATCGCCCTGCCCACACTCTGATTAACAGCCCTCATACATGCATTCTCGTAAAACTCCCTCGCTTCTGCCTTCCCTGCAGCTTGGCGACTGGATGGAGTGCCTTCGGAAGTGGCTTCTAGACGTTCGATTGTGGCGGTTTCGATATAGGACATCTTTGCTTTCCATTCCCCGCTCATTATGTTGGGGAAGGGTAACCCGACGATGATAACACAGCGACCGAGACGATCGCTGAAATTAATCCCCTCGCTCATTTTCCCTCCCACAACACTGAGAAGCAGCCCGCCTTGATTCCCATCAATAGCCTTAGCATATTCCGTGAGCACATCTTCCGCTCCAACCTTCGCATCTTTAGCCTCCCTAAACAGCGATTTCCTCTTCCCCAACCTCTCCCAGATGCTAGGCCTGCCGGGTTCAAGAATAACCTCCCATCGCTTGATAACGGTGTCGAGGTAGGAGTAGCTGGGGAAGAAGACGACGATGCCGTCAGGGACGATGGTGCAGATATTCAGCACGGCACGGCCGAGTTCATCTATCATCTCCTCCCCCTCGCGGCCCGCGCGTTTGCTGAATGTAAACTCGAATGGTTTCCCCGTGGGCCCTTTTGATAACGTCCAAGCAAGCAGATTCTCCTTGGGGATGACGTGCCCACAGCTGAGAGTCGTGATTCGCTCAGCTGGTAAATAGGATAGTAAATGAGACGTGTAGTCCGCCATGGGGGACATAGTTCCGCCTGCAAGGATGACAGCTCGGGCTTCGGAGACGATCTCTTGGAAGTGGTGTGTTGGGTCGAGGAGCATGTATTTGAGGAGGATGTCGGAGGTTTCGGGATCTTTGGCGTAGAAGAGTCTTCCCTCCTTAGATGGGTTTGTGAGCGCTACTAGCAGAGACTGGATATGTTGCAGCGTTGGTGTTGCTGCTTCGGATGCCCCATCTGGCTTTCTCGCCTTCCCAGCTGCGTTTCCAGCATCCGCAGCACCCTCCGCAAAAATGATATACCCCTCAACCTTCCTCGCCAGCTTAGAATCCTGCAAGTACCTCATCAGCTTATAGAGATCAATCTGATCCACCCCCCTCCCCGCCAACAGCTCACTCGGCTCCACCACCATCTCCCCCTTCTGCCCAGCCTTCCCATCCAAAAACTGCGCCAGCGAATCAATCAACCTCACAACCTGCGCGACATACACCCTATTCTTGCCCTTGAGTTTATTCCTAAACCGCTGCAGGTACTGTCCGATCTGCGCTCGAGATCGTTTCAACTGGCTTAGTGAAACTGTGATCCCGTAGATACCGGCGATGGCATCCATGAGATTGTGCGCCTCGTCTACGACCACAACGTGGCCTTTGACGCTCACGCCTAGCGCTTCTCGTGCGCTCTTTTGCAGGAGTAAGGGATAGGGTAGTGTCACGATCTCAGCGGGTTTGATGGCGGATCGTGAGGCGTAGTAGGGACATATCTTCAGCTCCTTCCCGAGGTCGCCTAGTTCTTCGATATCTCGTATCGTTGCCAGTGCGTGATCGCGGAAGTCGTTGACGAGAGGCTGGTTCTGTTGGTTGGGAAGAAAGCCACATTTCTTATCTGCCGCTGTGCCAGACTGCTGTAATTCCATACACCGCTCATTAATCGCCGTCGCAGATCGAAGCTTGTTAACTGAAGGGTTGATACACAGGTTCTTCCTTGATCCCAAAGTCAAATGCTTAAACTCCTCTTCCAGCAGTGGCTTAACAGGCGCAGGTTCCGGCTGAAGAGCAGGTGGTATCTTAACACGGCGTAACTCGTTGATAAACTGCGTGAGCTGAGAATGCGTCCTCGAGCAGTAAAAGATCTTAATCTCCTCCTCAACTTCCTCCTCCTCTTCCTCCCTCGCCTTCCCATAACCCACACCCAGTTTATCCATCAACGCCAGCGTCTCCGCCGACAGCCCACCCGTCGCACTTCCCGACTTCGAAGCACCGTCCGCTTCCCTATCACTCTCATAGTCATCAAGCGCGAATTGTTCCTCATCGTCCTGTTTCTCCACTCCCAGACCGCCCTCTTCAACTCTCCTCCTCTTCCCGCCTTTAGTTTCCGCTAACATCCTCTTCTTCATCGCCGCCTCCTTCTTCCTCGCATTCTCAAGTCTCTTCTCCATCTCCTCCCGATGTCTTAACAATTCCTTCCTCTTCCGCGCCTTAGCCGCCTCGATAACCCACTCCGGCTCATCCTCGTCAGCAACCTCCATCTTCATCCCCTCCTCAAAGCATCGGCGCTTATATTCCCTCAACCACGTCAGCGAGGCACAAATAAGGGATAGCGATTTCCCCGTCCCTGTTGGGGATTCGAGGATCCCGACGCTGGAGTCGCCGCGCTCGAGGACGGAATAGACGGTTTGCATGAACTCTTCTTGGATGGAATAGGGTGTGTATGGGTGATGGAAGTCCACCGCCTGTATGGCCGGGTTATCCGCCTCCATCACTGCGTCGTGGGATAGGGGCTTTTGGTTCGCCATGCTTCTGGTCTGGAGTACACGTGACTGGTTTGAGGACGTGATATTTTCTGTTAGGACTGTCTAGGTATATCACCTATGATTGAAGACGCGTTGATGAACAGCCTATGCATGGTTACGGTGGTGGATTCCCGTTGGCGAGATTTGGAGGGTGGTGGGGTTCTTTCACAGCGAGGTTTTCGACTTGAGGTCTTTGCTCAAAAAACGACATTTACAGCATATGCGAAACGAAAGGTCACCACACACCGAGCCACAATGATATTCCAAACTTTTAAATCCATACGGTACTGATCTTACGAGCTTTTTAATATAGACAACTCGCTGGTAATGTTTAAATTCCTATATATAGTCTCGGCAGTAATACTATTTGTCACGACAAGTTGCCCTCAGTTTGGATGAAGATATATATATCATGACCATTTGCCCCTGTCCGCATATTCGGATATATATATTGCCAGCCCAACCAACCACTTGCGACCCTATATAAATATAATACATTAAAACAAAAAAAAGGAGCCATGCCAGATAAAAAAAAAACACCCTAGATCGCCATAATCCCAGTACCAGATTCATCCCCAACACGTCGCTTGATGCATCCACAAACATAAGTTTGATGTTAGTTATAGTTTCATGCTTTGTACTCCTTTTCAACCACCCCCACCCTTTCCCATTTTGAAACAATGCCACCACCACCCCCCAATCACCTCGTCACCCCAAACATCCCCTCCATCCCGCCCCCGCTCGTCGTCCCATTGCGCCCCCCATTCGCAGCATGCAGGCTCTTAGCACCAACGGGGTAGTTCCACCCACCACCGCTACTCCTCTTGGTGCTCTCGCGCTCCTTATCTTCCTCCTCCTCCATGCTGAACACAAAGTCGCCCTGCTCCTCATCAATCGGCATATTGACTCTTCCCGCCGCCAAACTGGCGCCAATGCTCGCGCCGCTAGCAGCACGCTCAGGTCGCGTGGGTGCACCTATCGGGTTGCTAGTCACGCGCTGCACCGCTGGGAGGAGACTGGTCTCAGCGCCGGCGGATTCAGTGCGGCCGAGACGTGTGCGCTGGAGTTGTTGGGAGATGATGGACATTGAGGATTGGCGGGGTGGGGATGCCACGTATGGGGAGGCGTCGCCGGAGGCAGCGGCAGCTGAGCGGCTAACGGCGGGGATGGAAGCGGATGTCATAGTTGAGTTGCGGAGTGGTGAGCCGACATGGCCGAAGACTGAGGCTCGGGAGGCTTTTTCTTCCTCTTCGCGCTGTTGGCGCTGGAATAGCGGGCCCCAGCGTGAAGGGCTCGCGTTTGATGGGGATCCGAACTTGCTTGATGCGTCTGGTGTGCCGTTGCCGCTGTAGATGGGCCTACTCTCCTCTTCGGCGTTTCTGGATCCTCGACGCGCCTTCTCTTGTGGAGTTAGAAGCTCCTTGAGGTTGTCTGGTAGATAATCTTCTTCGAAGGTGAAATCGTTGTCCCAGTCCTTGTCGATTGCCAACCCCGCCTTTGGCAGACTGGCTGACATAATCTTCTGCCTTGCGAATCGCTGGGAATGCATGAGGCGCTTTCCGAAGTATTCGTCCGCGAGAGGAGCTGGAGGGGAGGCAGCTCCATTAAAGCTATCGCGCGTGTCATCGCCGAACGCGGAGCTGTATAGGTTTTTGAGGGCTTCAGATGTCCTTCCGTCCTTTGCGAATCCTAGCGACGGTGGTGGTGACTCAAGACCAAACTTCGAAGGGACAGATGCTGCCACCGGTCCATGTCTCGCGATCCACGAGACTCCATTGCTATCAAAGGACGCAGGTAGTGGGGCGTCTAAGACGCTCAATCCCTTTGCCGGGACTGGCGACAACCCAAGTCCGAACCGACTCTGCAAGTCGTCGTCTCGAGGCGAGCCGTACGCAGACCCAGGATGCGACGCATAACTCGTGTCAATCGTTGGCACACCAATATCCATGCCGCCGCGGGGAAAGCCCTCGTCTTGGTTCGCAAAGGGCGAGTAAGGCGCGCCAAACGGCTGTTGCGCTCCCATATTCGCGCGGTATAGAGAGTTAGTCAAAGCCGAGCTCTGACTGTGGTACTGGTCCGGGTGCACACGTCCACCGAGGTTTAATCCGCCAATTCCAATCGGCCCTCCCTTGTGGTAGTTTACTCGTTGCCCGTTCGGTAGTACATGGATGTTGGCACATTTCGGCCCAAACTTACAATTGCCCTAGAAAACGTCAGAAAACGAGTCGCCAAAAACATACTCTCGTCACTAACCTTTGCAAAGTACTTGCACACGTTATCAGTAGTGCTCGAGAGGTCGTGACTGAATGGACACGCCTTCCCCGCCTGGCACGCGCCTTGGCGGAAGAACTTGCAAGGCACATGCGATGTGTCTACAGAACCGCATTAGCACACCACGCCACTTTTCCCCAGGGGTCCAAAGGCAACCTACTCTGTTTTCCCGGCGGGCTCCGCGGTCCTTCAAACCTGCCTCCCGGCGCCATGGCTCCAGCAGCCTGCGCCTGACCGCTCCCATTCGGCTGCCCAAGTCCATTCGGGATGTTGAGGCTCCCCGAGCTCATATGTCTGTATGCAGGAATCTCGGCCGAAGGGCCACCGCCGCTCACGCTGCCATTCCGGGCGTGCGGTGCAGCAGCAGCGCCGTTGCTGTTGCTGAGCATCGTGAGTTTTCTGTGGGTATTCTGCGTCGGAATTGGTGGGGTCGTCGCACGGACGAGACTGCGAGTCTCGTGAGCTCCGATTGCGAAGGGGCGGGTTGTTGGAAAGAGGACAGAGTGGAGATTTGTCGGGATTGTCGCGGGGAGAAAATCGAGTCGTGGAAAGTTGGGGGCCCGACTCGAGGAGTGTTTTGGGGGTCGTTTGGGGAGGTTTGTGGTGCGTTGTGTGTCGTACTGTTCCGTTACCAAAGGTGACTTGAGATGATGGAGTGAGGTTCGGCTGGGATTAGTGCACGGAACTTCACTGCCTGTCGTGCCGCCTGTGTGATTTGGCAATAAATTCTGACCGCTTTGGTTCCCGGGCCGTTAGCTTATCGTGGAACGGGAGGGAGGCTGGTAGCTGGTCCCCTGGTTATTGATGCTCCGGTTCGAGTGGTTCAGTGATCCAGTGATCGAGTTACAATGTAGGGTTCTTTTTCTTCGGGGTTCAAAAGGATAATCGCCGTATGAGTATGACCGTATGATCCCGTTGAGACGGTTGAGGCGGCGAGGGAGCAGCACATATATCTATCTGCAGCAGCAGGTGAAGATAGCTAGCTGCTTCCTGCACTGTAACACTCGAGTCGTGTGTATATCAACTCAACAAATATAACGATCGAGGGGTATATTCCGCCTTCACATGACAGTGACAGAGAACGAGGAAACCCACAGCGCAATGGGTGAGTAATATAATATAATATATCAGTGAAGGGAGGGGAAGAGAAGGTGCAATAGGAAAGGAAGATTGCAGCAAGGGCGGATGGATATTCGAATGGAGGGGTTGCATATAAGCGATTTAAGAAGCGATATACCGCGATCCGCGATATACCGTAGTCGTCGTAGTAGTATACATATACATATACATAGAAGTTAGTAGTATAGTAGTAGTAATGGGTAATGGGTAAGTGGTGGGAATCCCCCCGACTTCCCGCCGTTTGACCATGCTCCCATGCTCACCAGCCACGCTAATTTTGACTTTAGCATAGCCATCATTGTTATCATAGCCCATGGTCTAACTCTATTCTCTATTCTACTGTTGCAAAAGATGGACGCATCCCTACTCTACAGGGGAAAATCGTCAAGGATAGCTTTCTCCGCATATATTGGGCGAGTCAAGGGCACACAGGTCGGTTCTCAGGCAAGCTACATACATACTCTACTTCTACTCTACATATCTTACATATCCTACATATGGTATCTTACATATGTCGTGCGCGTGCCAGGGTGTACCAAACAAAACACCTGTCGTGGGGGTTGCTAGTTGCTATACAATACACCCCCAAGGTTACGAGAAAACATACCCCAAGTCCTACCTCCCTCTCCTCTCGCCGGTCTATCAAACTCCGTGGAGCTGCATTCCCTTTCCCCCTTAGTATCTATCTCTTGGTAATAGCACTCATTAGCCCGCCATATCAACCCTTGGCAACCCTCGCCTGCAATGTCTCAGCACGGCACGCACAGCTCCAGCACTTAGCCCTCCATCCCGTTAGCTCCTCCCCGACCTCAAGCCGGCGTTCGAAACGTGATAGGTCGTCGTAGAGACACTGCATATGCAGCCACCCACGCATCAAGGCCCACCAAGCGCTGATGGTTGCGAGAGTCTGGGACATCCATCCATAATCCGCGGTTCCTCAACATCCTCATTTCAATGCGCAGAAAGTGATGCCGTGTGAATCCATCAGTCGGCGACTCCGCGTAGCCACCCAAGGGATGACGGGACATATGACGAGGGAGACGAGATGGAGGGACGCCTTGGGAAATATTTAGAATCGACGCCGGCTGGGATGGGAGCCGTTCGGGTCATCCGCCGACTTGGGCCCTGGACGCCCAATCAGGGCTTTAAACTCGTGCCACTCTACCAGCCGCAGACTGCCGTGCGGTGGTGTTCCCCTCCCTTGAGTCCTGTTTGGGAGTGTGAGGGTTGGGGGGGTTTTGGCACCATCGTATTTGTTCTTGTTCACAAGAACAGCCTTCTCCACTGGGTGTGCTGAGACAGGAGCTCTCACATGCAAGTCACATGTCCCTTTGATCTAGTCGAGTTGGGAAGTGATACCAGCAATCTGTGTTTGTAGAACCTCTCTTTTTGATCCCGTTTATAAGCAACTCTCATGTTGAAAAGTCATGATATAGCCATCATATATGTCCGCCATAGCTCCAAGTAATCAAGCACCCTCATCATACCCATAGCTCCTGCAACCCGCGTCTATACGCCCAATACTCGTCCACTCCTCCATGCAGCCCAGGTACTCAACACCTATCCCCCTTCCTGTGATAAAACATCTGTTTCACCGCAACCTGCAACTCTTCCAATAAAGCCACCAGCCAACCTCTGTCCCCATCAGGGCGTCCCAAACCCAAAAATCCCCAGCCTGCTCCCTTCCTCGTATCCCCACGAACCCCCCTCCCCCGCCTTTCACCCACCCAGCCAATCAAGCACCGCCCACGCACCCACCTCCCCGTCCAGCCTCGTTCGCGATACTGCAAGATTGATAACCTCGCATGGCAGATGAGCGAGCGTGGCGCAAAGCTAAGAATAAGCCCAATAAATCCCCGCGTCCTAAAGCACGGTCTTCTCTCTTCTCTCTGCTCTCTCCCCGCATCAAAAATTTGTTTTATTCGTAGATATCGAGATCGAATCGATAGTCTCCCAGCCAGCGCGTGCGGACAGATTCTAGTCAGCAGTGCGTGGCGGTGATCATGCGGGGCCGTCGATACCGAGCATATCCTAATATCACACACACCATCAGTATTCGTAACCCATCACCACAACGCCTCGCTGCCTTGATTACTCCACCGCCGCGTCTTCCATCAGCCACACCAAAGACGTCACCTCCTCCAGTTCTATTTATTTTTATTAGGGGGGGGGGAGAAGTACGTACCCAAAGCGCCTCCTTCCCAATAACCCCCGAATCCAACAACATCGCCTCCAACTCCTTATACGCCCTCTTCCTATTATCCCTCGTTCTCTTCCACCTCCTCCACTCCCCCTCCACCTTCTCCCTCTCCTCTACGTTCACGGGTTTGGTACTCCCTGCTCTCAAGACGCGGAGACGTTCTTCTTTGTCCTGTTTATCAGTTTCCAGTGTCTGGACGGCGTCGCGGAGGCTGGAGGTCGTGGGTGCAGAGCGGAGGATGGAGAGGGTGTTGGAGGCGGATTTGAGTTCGGATTTGAGGGTTGGGATCTTGTCTCGAAGGGCTGCGATTTGGGCGTCTACTGCGGCGAGCTCGGCGGGTGTGCTGGTGGCATTTGGATCCTAACCCCTCTATTAGTCCTCTCCTAGACCTCAGTTCCCCAGTTCTCCCCACTACCCCTCCTCCAAACCCCAAACCCCCCTCCCCCTCCATCCCTCCCCCTCCATCCCTCCCCCCTCCCCACCCCTCCCCTCCTAATAACCCCAAACAAACAAACAAAGCACACATACCTGCACCCCCCAAAAAACCCACTGTTTCCCGCTCGCCCTCCCCGCAATCTCCCCCCTCTCAAACATCTCCCTGAGCAACTTATCCGTCCGCGCCTTCGTGACGGCATTATGGAGGTTACTGCTGATTTCGGTGGCGGAGTAGGGCCGGTTCTGAGTGGTGAGGTAGGTGTGGATTAGGGTGCTGGCTTGGGTGTCGGTGGGGGTGGGTTTTGTGGTGGTGCTGGAGGTGGTGGTGGGGGGTTTGCGGGGGGGCATTGTGGTTGTTGGGGATGGGATGGGATGAGGGTTGGGGGTGATGGGATAGAGATGGAGATGGTTGGTATAGTTATGGGATGGGTTGGAAGTAGATTGTGGGATAAAAGGCTAGATAGATGGAAGTGGACTGAATTTGTGATGAACAAATCTGGCAAACAAAGACCATATAACTTCACCCCCCAGGCGAGACGAGGCGAGAGCTAAACCTACACAACAATCCTATATTTACCACCCCCATACTACGACCAAAAAAACTATGTAAAACGACCCTCTCTCAATGCCAAAAACCACCGTAGAAAGGAGGTAGGTATCAAATCAATGCCCAAATAAACAAAAATAAAGGGCCAAGAAAGAACATTATACTTTATACAGAATAAACCTCTGAACAAAATCTGTCTCCAATGTATGCATATACCCTTCTATTGTTCCCAGATAAAAACAAAGTCTTCAAAATGGACTGTTGTTTCGTAAATCATCATCATTCGTCCTTTTTTTATGGTTGGTTGTTTCACATAACCAACTACGCAGATGTTAGAAAATACAATCTCAACATAACGAGGGAAGACAGAGTTGAAACTTACGCATTCACTATCCTTGGAAGCAGCAGGAACCCCCATCTCCTCAAAAGTCTGCGGTCCCTTCTTCGGCGGCGGCTGTGGCTTCGCAATTGGCGGCGTCGGAGCAGGTGATATCGTCACAGCCGGTCCCCCAGCTCCAGGCGGAATCGAGGAATATCTCGATGGGTATACACCTTGCCCGTTGCCACCAGCCGAGGACACAGGCCTATCTCCGCTCTGGCCTCCAGGAGCATGCGGCTTCAGCGGCGCCTGAGCGGAGTAGGTCCTCTCATTCGTAGCTGTATTTGGCCTATTCTGCTGCGAATAATCGTTGCGAGGCTGTAGGTGCTGAGGAGGCTGCTGACCATGCTGCGGTGGCAATTGTGGGTGAGGTTTGTTTACCGGAGCCCCTTGCATCTGGAGTTTACCCCTTCCGTCGCCCTGCTGTTGTGGTTGGCTGTAAGGGAGTCGATATTGGGATTCCCAGTCATTATTGGTAGGTCCCTCTCGTTTCGGCTGGTGTGGAACAACTGGCTGGCCTCGGCCTCCCTGGGCTGGGTGTGGTCGTTGCTGGGATTGCAAATCTCCCACGGCGCTCATAGGGCGACGAGCTGGGTCCTGACCAGGTCCAAAGGAATGGTTAGGGTGCAGAGGCTTGATTCCGAAAGCTGAATTGGGTCGGTCAGCTGGCGGTCCTGACAGTGGTCTCAGGTTGGGGTTTGCTTGTATCGGGTGCGCGACGTCGTTCTCGGGGTATGGCGCTGTATTAGGTGTCCCGCCAATGCTACCTCCCGAGCCTGACCTGTAATGGCTATGTAGTGGCGAGCTGGGCATAGAGCCCCCGTGTCTCACATCGCCAGACACAGGGGTTACCACGCGGAATGGTGGTTGCTGTTGCTGTGAGAGTCGGGCGTTGGAGTCTGGTACGGGGGTTATCACGCGGAATGGTGGCTGCTGTGGCTGGACGGAACTGCTTCTGGGCGGGTAAACGCTGACTGGGCGCGGCGAGTCGTCTCTCTCCTCGCTCATCACTGGGAGCGTTGGGGCTTGTTGGGCGGCTATTTTCTGCGCCAGGTGATCGGGCCTCTTGCCCTTGCGAGAGCCGTATTGCGATCGGATGCGTGTGATGGCCATCTGTTCGTGGTCTTTCCTGGATAAGGTCCTGTGCAGACGAAGGGCGTCGATTCTAGCTACAGCATCCGCATTGCCGTGATCTGCGGCTTTCTGATACCACTCTTGGGATCGACCAAGATCCATCGGTACATGCAGTCCAACCTCGTAGAAATAACCAAGAGCGAATTCAGCAGTAGGAAGTTCTTGCTGGGCTGCGCGCTTCGCATACGTGAAGGCGATTTCTTCGTTCTTCTCAAAAACACCTGCGAAACCACAGAGGAACCACTTGCTGATAGCCATCTCGGCTTCCGGCTCACCTTGGCTTGCTGCCAGGCGGTTGTAATGCAGTGAAAGAGTTGGGTTGAATTCGCAGCCCAAGAGACAAAGCTCATAAGCCGAGCCCATCTTCAGCTGTGCCTTCGAAAACCCGAGTAACGCAGCTCGCTCAACATAGTGTCTTGCTTGCTCCAAATCATATACCAAAACAAAGTCGGGGAGTGAGATGTTCGGCAGTTCCCTCGCGAGAAGCATTCCGTAAACATATGAACCTTGCGGAGCGTTCTCATCTGCTGTATCCGCAGCATATTTCACCTGCCTAACTCCAACCTCGTAGTTCTGCGGCTGTCCATGCTGGCCAAGTAATGCCATCATACCCATACGGTAGTTTGAAGCCGAATCGTGCTGTGCCACTCCGTTCTGGTAGTGCTTGACGGCTCGCGGCATATCTTTGCTGCTCTCGTACCGAGTTCCAATCCGATATTCAGCTCGCGCGTAGCCCCTCTCTGCCGCTCTCTTGTATCCTGCGAACGACTCCTTTGCATCTTCGGGAAAGCCGAATTTGCCAAACTCGTACCAGCCTGCCCTCAAGAACTCGGCCTTTGGGTGGCCTTGCTCGGCGAGGAACTTGGTGATGTTCAGGGCATCATCGCGGATCCGGCGCTCGACATTTGGTGTAGTAGGCCTGCTTGTCGAACCGACAGCAGCTCGGCGCCGGCTCTGGATTGCAATGTCGGACCAGTGTAGTGCATCCTGTGCCCATCTCAACTGCCTCTCCGGGTCATTTGAGCCCACTACCTTCTCCCTGCATTGTTCCAGCTCCTCTTCCATTTGATCGTCCGTCAGCGGCACGTTTGGCCCTGGGTTCTGCAGCCCCGGGAACGGGGAGGGTAACGGCATATCGCCGTCCCTGCGTATCGTCGGTTGTGAGGGGTTGTTCTGGTATCCAGGGGCGCCCGCCTGCTCATAACTCGCCGCGTACCCTTGCGGGGCGTTGCTTTGTTGATATGTTATATTGCGACTGGCACCATACTGCTCATGGATCGGCGACACCGTTGACGGATTTGCCTCGAGTTCGAGATGCGCGAGTCCCTCTTGCATATTGGAAGGCACCTCGGGCATTACCCTGGAGAAACGAAGCGTTCAGTCAGCCAAAGTAAACATAGTAAGCGGGATCCTTCGGACGGCGGGGCAGTGGCTGTACTGCGCGCGTACACGCAATGAATCCACGAATCTCATAGGATGCGACGTACCTCTGGGGAGCTGGCGATATCAACTCAGGCATGTCAAAACCGTCGAGTCCTCCAGGATAGAATGTGGCGCCGAGCTGTGGTCGGTCTTCCTGCTTTGGAGTCGTCATCTTCGTCTAGATTATTGATCTATTGACTTTATATTAAGTACCCGCAGTAGGAGGGTCTATCCTTGGCGGATCTTGCGCACAAGCCTCAACAAACAGGAGCTCTGCATTTATCGGATAAAAACTATCAAAAGCGAAGCCAGAAATTTCTAGCGGGGAGGTCTTTAAAGAAATAAAAGAACTTCTTGAAGCTTTGCGGCCCGAGGTCTGTTTGTAAAGTTTTTAGACAAGTGACACCAATACCACCAGTATGCCACTAGAAAGCCGGCGCAGCCTTGTTGGTTGTTACCAGTCCTTGCCAGGCCCCTGTTGATCGTGGATGCACGATGAAGTGGAGGAGAACAATGACGGATCTCACAGGGGCGAGAAATTACAAAACTGCAATGATGTGTATAAATAGCAATAAGTTTTGGGGGTTTGTTCTGATTCAACTCCTACGAACCCCGCCACTATAGCCACTATAGCCACTATTAGCCACTACGTCGTAGTGGTTGAGCCAAGCCACGTTCCTGTCTGACAACCAAACCACATGCAGACTACAACCGTAAATGATGTCTTGGATGGGCCGCAACATTGGAATGCACAGTGGAATGTGAGATTGGCACGGGTTCACCAGTGGTCTAACAGTACTCCAGTGACTAAATATTTGTCTTTTATGAATTTTATGAGAATTCTGCACAAAAAAGGAGACCAAAAGGGAAGTCAAGGGGAGAAATATACGCGTATACAACCAGGAAGTCCGGACAATTATCCCTGACTTGACTCGGTCCGTGGATTTCTATATTCGGGACCAATCTCCAGTTTTAATCGTAACCCTGACTACGTTGATGCTAGAACATATAAAGAGCCGGACTAGGAAGCCAACTTTACCCAGGGACACGGAAGGAGTATATGGCATACGCACCAGTACAGGGTCACTGCATGAGGGATCACCGCCGACGTCTACCCACATAGCGAAGCGGCAATGTTAATCTCCACTCTTTACTATTTCAACATCATGAAATTTGGACAGACGAGGCTGAGCACAATCCACGCGGGTACGCAGCCGAGTTTCGCGCTCGGATAACGCGGGGGAGTTGGGCATTCGGGCAGTTAGTTTCCAAGGAGGCAGTGGGACAATCATTAAAAATCACAATGTGACAACGATTATGAACATCGTCGCCGCTTCTGTAAACGCGCTCCAGTGTCTCTCCGATCATCACGTTTTCTTACAGTGTGACAACATATGCCAAGAGCGCCTCACACAGCCATATTGACGTAGCCAAGACAATGAACCGACGGCAAGGCTTTCCAGGCAGGTTGCTTGATGGGAAAACTTCGCTTTTTAATGTTTGATGCCAACAATAACTTCGCGGAGCTGAGATCTGATGGGTGTTTTTGGTATTCTGCATCTCTGGCCGCTATTTTGCCAAGAAGAATCCTAAAAAAGTAGCGTAAGAGGTTGATGAAAATAACATTGGGATGCGCTTCCTGCGGATAGGAAAGTAACATGGGGCGACGGAACAAAGTAACGCCGGGCATCCCACTTCGTTGTCTACCATAATAGCAATAAATTTCCTCTCAGCCTCGTCGAACCCCGGATTAGGAATTATATTACCCAAAAGCGTCGCTGCATTTCTTGACGCCCCCCAACCGCTGTAAAATCTTGAGGCGGCAACCAGTAAAAGAGAAGCAAGCTTTGGGGCAGTACTTGCTACTTATTACAGTCTTTTTGCAAGGATGGGAAACTACGACAGCGACTCCTCTGATGGAGGGGAACAGGATTATACCGAGACCAACGTGCTCCTGGGGTACGCTTCGAAAGAAGCCTCGGAATCAGATGATGTGAACAGCTATATCGGAGGACGACCTGTAAGTTCCCCTTCCACCGCAAAAATCACACATGCCACCCTCCCACCATCGAACCCCTCTAACATCTACCCCGCAGACCTGGCTCTCCCCCACCACCCCTCCCTCCGCCTCCCTCGCCCGCTGCAAAATCTGCTCCGACATGCTCATCCTCCTCCTCCAACTAAACGGCGACCTCCCCAAAGACTTCCCCGGCCACGAGCGCCGTCTCTACGTCCTCACCTGCCGCCGCAAAACCTGCCGGAGGAAGGAAGGCAGCATCCGCGTCCTGCGGAGTCTCCGCGTCAGCGAAGCCGCGGCGGCGAAGGAGGTCCAGAAGAAGGAGGAGGTGAAGCCGGCACCAAAACCAGCAGCGGGGCAGGGGAAGGTGGTGTCAAATACGATGTTTGGGGATAGTTTGTTTGGGTCGAAATCGACGGGTGGTGGTGCGTTTGGGGGGAACCCCTTTTCTAGCCCAGGAGGTGTTGGGGGGGCAAACCCTTTTTCGACTGCTGCACCTGCTGCTGCTGCTGCGAATCCATTCGCCACGTCGGAACTGGCGGCGAAACCACCACAGAAGCCTGATGCTGATCTCCCCCAAACATTCGCTGCAGCACTCTCCCTCAACGCTCCTGCCCCCTCCCCTCCTACCCCCGCGGAACCCTGGCCTGTCGATGCAGAACTGCCAGCACCATACCCGCTCTTCTACCTCGCCGACGCCGACTACGAGACGCTGGACAAAGACGAGCCTGAACCGATCCAAAAGCACGAGATGCTAGAAATGGAAGTCGAAGGCCCATCCGGCTCCTCGGGCGGAAAAGAGGACAAAGACGTGTATGAAAGCAGTATCGACACCACGTTCCAGAAATTCGCAGACCGGCTCAGCCAGAACCCCGAACAAGTGATCCGATACGAGTTCAAGGGGAGCCCGCTGCTGTATACCAAGAGCGATGCGGTTGGGAAGCTGCTTGGCGGTGGAAGTGGGAGTAGTAATGCGAAGGTGACGGTGGGAGGGGGCAAGATGCCGAGGTGTGCGAATTGTGGTGCGGGGAGGTGCTTTGAGGTGCAGTTAACTCCCCATGCTATCACGGAGCTGGAGAGCGAGGAGGTGAGTCTGGAGGGTATGGAGTGGGGGACTGTGATTGTGGGTGTGTGTGAACGGGATTGTCAGGCCCGCGGTGTGGAGGCTGGTGAGGTTGGGTATCTGGAGGAGTGGGCGGCTGTGCAGTGGGAGGAGGTGCCGGATAAGATGAAGGGGTAGAGAGATGTGTGGAGTGAGAGGAGGCCTGGATATGAAGGGGTAGATGGAAATGGATGGGGGTTCTCAGAACCGCGCTGGTCAGTCTTAGAGCCGCAATGGCGAGAATATCAACGTATTCACCCATTTTGACTCTCCTTCACACAGCTGATCCCCTCGAGCTGTGAGGGAACTGCTCGCTACCTCTCCTCAAGGGTGAACCAGGCGCGACCTGGTTGACACCCTCGAGGGTTTGGGTCTCGGCGTGGTTGCGCCCTAACACGCCGCTTCGCTCTGCTTCGCACAAAGAAGCTATTCACAAACAAAACACCCCCTTTCATCCACACTCCTCAACCCCCCAAAAAAATCCCAAACTCCAGCAACAAAAGGCAGATCTTCAAAGCCAATCCTCAAAGCCAAACGATCGTATCTTCTGATCTTTGGCTTCAGGGATTGGTCTTTAAACCCAAACAATCTGTTCTTCAAAGCCAATTCTTCAAATCCAAACAATCAATCAATTCCTCAAACCCAAATCTTCAAAGAACCCAAAACTCAAAAATCCAATCAATCAATCATTCACCATGGACGAACCATCTGACGATACATCCTGCCCCCCTTGCCAACCTAACGGCACCGACGCCGCCGCCACGCAGACGCCGCACAGTGACGCCGTCGCCAACATCCTCGCCACTACCCCGGATTGGCGTACGCAAGCGGGTCCCTCCCCAGCCGCAACCGCGGGGGAGATTCGGGGTCAAGCCGCACCTCAAGCCGCAAACGCGGGGCCTCAGCAGGGTCAAGCCGCAGCGGGGCATCAAGCTCAAGCCGCATTCCCAGCCGCAACCACGGGGCAGCAATTCGGGGTCCAAGCCGCAGCAGCAGCAGGTCATCAGGGTCAAATTGGCGGCCACTCCTCCCAGATCGGGGGGTTCCAAAATGGATTCGCAAACACCACCACCTCCTTCACCTTCACCACCGGCACCACCTCCTCCTCCGCCTTCGCCACCACCACATCCAACCAAACCGCAGCAATCGCGAACCAATCCCGCACCCGATCCCGCACCCTCGCAACCACCGATTTCAACACCCCCCACCCAACCTACCACGCGCACCCCTCCCCCTTCGCCGCCACCACACCCGCTGCCCGCCCCATCCCCCGAATCGTCATCACCACCCCAGACATGCGCACCCACGCCCCGGACTCCCCGACCCTCCACCGCGCCCGCCAACCCGCGCACCGCCGTCTTCGTCGTCACGAACTGCAAAACCGTATCGCGGAACACGAGCAGCGTATTCGCGAGATGAGCGATGAAGCAGACGCCCAAGAGATGGTCACCGAGGCGCTGTGGGTGGAGAATGAGAAGTTGAAGAGGAAGATTAGGGAGTTGGAGGGGGAGGGGGAGAGGAGGGCGGGGGAGCTGGAGAGGGTTAGGGAGATGGCGGGGAGGGAGACGGAGAGGGCGGCGTGGGCGGAGGGGGTGTTGATGTTGTTGGAGGGGTGGGGGGAGGGAGAGGGAGAGGGGTGGGGAAGGGTGGATGGGGGGGAGGATGGGGAGGATGGGGAGGGAGGTGGGGAGGAGTTTATGGATTGTGAGTAAGGGGTGAGAGGCTGGGGCACGTGATTTTGTCTTCTAGCGACCTTCGCAGTCGGTGTTTGGGGGGGGACTTGTATATTATGGATGGATGATCAGGAACTGGGTGTGGACATGGGTATGATGAGTAACTAGGCATGGAGATGGGGATGATGGGGTTTCGGGGTAGGGATATCAACTTTGAGTCTTTGAGAAGTATAGGAGAATGGAACTCAATGAAAACAGTGTATATGCGTTGTTTGGTGATTGCCACGGGTTCTTTGAGCGTGAGGGGTTGGCGGAAGTGACAAACACATCAGTGTTTTAATTCCTGGCTTACTGTTTTCAAATAATACACCTTAGGAACACACATGAATGGGAAGGCATCTAGGATGGGGACTTTGAGGATCCGAGAAGTATAGGAGAATGGAACTCAATGAAAACAGTGTATATGCTTTGTTTGGTGATTGTCACGGATTCTTTGAGTGTGAGGCGTTGGCGGAAGTGACAAACACATCAGTGTTTTGATTCCTAGTTTACCGTAACAGTACTCCTTCTTCTCACGTATCTCTCTAGGTCTCTCTCGTTTCCAAAGTATAGGAGAATGGAACTCAATGAAAAATGCGTTGTTTGGTGATTGGGAATGGGTTCTTTGAGTGTGAGGGGTTGGTGGAGGAAGGAAACGGATTGGTGATTGGGAATGTGTTCTTTGAGTGTGAGGGGTTAATGCAAGCTACGAACGCATTAGTGTTTTAATTCCTGGTTTACTGTAACAGTGCACTTCCTTTTCTTAGAACTCTTTGAATCTCTTATTTCCTAAGGATGGATCTTAGGAACTCACACAACGAGAAAGAGTTACAGTGTATCTTCTTTGTTCGACAACTGTGAGAGGTAATAAAAACTTATTATCTATACAACATACACCTCCATTACATCTCCTCCTTCACATCCCCCTTCTCCCGCTTCTTGATAACCGACATCAAAAACTCCCACTCCCCCCCCGTAACACCCGTAACACTCAACCGACTCTGTTTCAACAACTGCATCTCACTAATCTCCTTCCAACTCCCCTGCATATCCTTCAACTCGCGTAGGGTGAGCGGGTTGCTGAATTTCTCCCGGAACTCCACATGCACCACGCTCCAGCGGGGGTTCGACGGATCCGTGTCCTTTGGGTCGTAGTAGGCGGCTTTTGGGTCTTGTGCTGTTACTGTGGAGGGGTTGAGGTTAGTATGGTGTTGGGTTTGTGGAGTTGGAGGGATGGAATGGGAGAGAGGGAAGAAGGTGGAGGAGGAAGGGGGAGAAACGTACAGTCGGGGGAGTGTTCTTGTACAATCTCCATGACCCCGACGATGGCTGGGGTTTTGCAGGAGGAGTGATAGAAGAATGCTAGATCTCCCTTTTTCATCGCGCGGAGGTTGTTTCGCGCTGTTTGGCACGGTTAGTCACTCTTCTTCTCGTCATCATTCCCTTCTCCTCTACAAATAAGAGGGGTGGGGGGGGGTGCGTACCAGCGTATGAGCGGATTCCTATATTCCTGTTAGAGACATGAACAACGAAGGGGACGGGAGGGGAGAGGAGGGGGAAGGGGGGACATACCATCCCAAGGCTCCGGCACACTCTTCGCAGCCAAATCATCAATTGAGAACTTAACATCATGCCCCTTTTCGAGGCGGGATTCGGGCTCGGCTTTTAGGAGCCAGTGTTGTCTTTCTCCTGGTGCTGAGGGAGCGGTTCCATTTGTTTTTGCTGGTAGAGTCTCGGTTTTCTATAGCGAGGATTAGTATCGGCTTGGGGTATGTGGTGTGTCTTGTTGGGATTGGTTGGTGGTTGTTGAAGTTGGGGGGAAGGGGAGGGGGGTGCAAATAAATACTCGTGACTTCATTTAAATCGAAGAATATAAAATCAAAATAATAAACCACACCTCATTAATCGAGCGCGTGAGAATATAATCTGACATCAACAAAAAACAAACGACGAGATAAAATCAAAATAATCCGTACCTTTACTTCCTCCTTACTCTCACTCTCCTCATCCTTGATTGGGCTCTTCTTAACCGCCATTCCCTTCGTCTTTACCGTATCCTTAGCCTTCACCTTCTCCACAATCATCTCCTCGTCAACCACCTCCTCCTTCACCGTCCTACCCCTAGTCGACCTCCTCGTAACCCTCTCCTCCCCCAGCTCGCCATCTATTGTTTTCCTCTTCGCCATAGTAGCGCGTTCCTACGAGTTGTAGTTTTTGTAAGTGGCCACACAGACAGTTGTTGTGATGGACGAGAGGTGTGGATGCACGGCCGTAGTCGCGGACAGGGGTAAAGTGTGGGTGGGCGGCCCACAACTTTAAAAATGGCTGGGCTGGGGGGAGGGACTTGCATCGGTGAATTAGGCTGACTGAGAGGGGGGGGAGCAGATGGATTGTTAGTTTCGTAATTACGCGTTTGCTGTTTTATCTAATTATATTATTATACTTGGGGAAATAAATGTTGACTCGTCATATAAGGGGATTTATTATATATATATAGTATTTTACAAATGAAGAAATTTGTGTAAAGTGTGTAGACTGGTGGTCGTCGATGTGTGTGTGCTCCAGTGCTGCCGCACCCAAGTAGCGCCCTCTCTCTCATCTCCCCTCCCACCCATCCACTACTGTGGCACATGGGACATGACATGGGGGTTTCCTGCGGGAGTATCTTGTTCTTGGCACTGACTGAGTGAGCGAGAGGGAGAGAGGGAGCGATGGGGATAAGACTCCACCAGCACCTCGATGGAGCACTACGGAGGAAAGGTGAAGTACCATGCATGTGCATCTGAGCACAGGCTTCCTTCGACAGGAAGTTACTTGACTGAGTGGCGTGTTGGTTTGGGGCCAGGCTAGATGGAGTAGACGCACGAGTATTTATTCCCCAAGTTATTACCACTATGAGTAACTCTCCATCTGCACACAATGCACAGAATTGAGCCATTTCTTCTTCCTTGCCCTCCTCACACCTCCCCCTCCACATAAGTATCTATAGACACCCAGCCCGATCAAAACCCTACCACTCATACCCTCTCCAAGTATGCCACACACGATTCGTGCACTCACTCGGGGTCCCTTGAACGAGCGATGACCGGATCGGCCACTAGCTCCATGTATACGTATAGACACATAAGGTGCAGGTAGGTAGGTAAGGCAGTGGTGAGGCGGGTGAGGCGGGTTGGGAGATGTGAGTACACGGGGGGGAGGAGGGGGATACATAAGGGACGCATCCCCCGCTCTTGGATCTGTTGCTCCTTCATTTATTTTTTGTTGGTTGTGTGGTTATCGATCGTGGTGTTGGTTGTTGTCGTCTTCGCGCCTGTGAGTGGTGGTGGTGGAGCTATGTATGGTTCGACTACGAGAAATGAGATTGCCAACCTACCTTTCGATGAACTGGCCAAATGCGCAGACAACTCATTTTTCGAGGGATTGAACATTTCATCAACTCTCTGAAAAAGGGGATGAATCTGTCATCACTCTCTCGGTTGAACATTCTCTTTCCCGAAAACCAACCTCGATGATGCGGTGCCGTCGAACCCGATGTGGTGGGGTGCCTTGTCCGACGACAGTGTGCAGGGGGTGCAACGGGAGTATTATTTCTCATCGATTAACAAAGATACAGGGGACTAACGGCGAGATCACGGCTCGCAATTCTAGGAAATCAAAGTGAGGAAATCACGGGCCGAGTCTGGGGCTTGAGAGTGGGATACTCATGATAGGGCTTGGTTGATTTCCCTCTTGAACAGAGGTCTCAGGTGAGTGAGTGTGTGGGCGAGAAAGCGACTCGAGACTCGAGAGAGAGATAACCACGATCTGTGTGTGCGTGTATCTCCCTCTCTCTCTCTCTCTCGAAGGGGATCGATAGCATCCAACCATTAACAACCAACCCATCCATCTCTCATCTCTCAATCAATCCCCACTAACCCCGATCCGCGCATCTGAGAAGTTGAGAGCGGTTTTCGGACCAATCAGAGGGGACAGCTGACATGACAGAATTTATCTCGCAATGGGCAGTCTTTTCTTTGTTCCGAAAGAGCCAAGAGAACCAGGCAAGTCATACTTACTCTAGGAGAAGCCCGTTCGGCCAGTTCAGCACACACACACAAGTACCCACGGCTTTTTCCGATTTTTGCTACTCGGAAGGGAAAGTGACTGACTGACTGACTGATCTCTGGGGATCCCGGGAGACGGAAACGACGGACGCCAACGAAACGGCCACCACGGATGACCACGCACACACGATTTGATTCTCCACGTCCCACACACGCTACTACCACTTACTGCCGCTACTATTATCGTTACTACTGCGTTATTGCGTTACTACTGTTACTACCGGTGCATATCCGAAGAAAAAGGTACGACTGACTGACAACCAAGCTTGTGTGTGTGTACGTACTGGACCCTTCTGGACCGTGGGAAAGGCCAATCTGCAACCTGCAATCTCCAATCTGCATCCAGTCTCTCTGGGATTACCTGGGATACTATTACCCGTTACCCGTGCCTGCCTTACCACCACCCACCGCCTTCTTTCTCGTGGCACAGCACAGCACAACACAGAACCCACGCACATCCACGCACACTCACGCATCCACACACTCACACACAGACGCACGACGCCTCAAGGCCTTACCTTGCCTTACCAGGTTGACACCTTCCCCCGTCTCCAAACCTGTCACTCAACCTCCCACAGCCCACAGCTATCCCACCACCGCCTCCTACACACGCACACCCCTCATCCGGGTTGAACTGACGCTCATCCCCGTCGCCGTCTTTATCGTCCCCGCACACCTTCCTCCCCCTCTCATTCGATCATTCCCATCCCCATCCTATCCCCGTTGGTCGTTCCAGGGTCCAACGACCGGCTACCAACGTCATATTTGAATCAAAGAGCGGTGGTTCTTTTATTTAGGATTTGCTGCTAAGAGTCCCAACCAAGACCCTACTACTGCTACCCTTCCCTACCGCGCATCAAATAGAACGTCTACGAGAAGGAGTGCGGAAGGTACATACATACACCTGCCTGTCTACCAGCCTAATACAGTAATTGTCATTCCACACATCCAAAGGTACGAGATCTTCTTTTTCTTTACTTCCATTCCTCAGCCTGCCTGGATCGATCGTCGTGTCCTTCCTACCCCACTTTGGAAAGTGTCTTCGTCAATCCCCCAGTCTTTTTTGGAGTCTTATTACACCTCTTACCACCTTACTACCTACTACTCTACCCCACACATCCATCGTCGTCCACACATCTTCGGCCCCAATCGACCCGTCCGTCCCTCCTCTCACCGATGCCACATGGAAGCAGCCGTGGAGCCTGAAGCAGCGTGGCGTGGTCATCACAACAGACAGACGAATTGCCGCCCGTTCCCCCCGACCTGAACCATGAACAAGCTTCCACCATCCCGCCTTGTCGGTCGCACCCACCTTTTTTCTTTTACCTGTCCGAATTTAGATTAATCGCATTCTGGAAAATACCCATGTCTATTTTTATTCTTTACAGTTTGCTGTGTGTGTTTATTTGTTTATTATTTGCTGCTTTTATTGATTTACTGAGATGGCTAATCCTGTGGTGTTTTCTAGAAAAAGGTCACAGTCACGGGTACCAGCCTTACTTAATCTCTGGCTCTGATCTCTCTCGTCCCCCTTCCCCCCATTCAATTTCTCAAAATTTCGCCTATTTCTCACACCATCCCCAATCCGGGTAAGCGGGGCTACTCTGTAACTAGTCGCACCTTCGCAATCGACCGCCGGAGGAACAGAACAACCTGGAAGCTCAAGTCCACTGTAAACCACCGAACAACACGCGCCTGCCTTAGGTAAGACCCTCCATCATTCCCTTTTTCCATCGTTCCATACCCATCGTTTTCCATTTTGTCTCGTGACATTTGGCCCTTGGAGTCTTTCTATTCCAGTCGTGGTTGCCGTTTTGCTGCCAAATATTCGCGGCGGCCAATCCTGCTGAGAGAGCCCCCAAGCCTCTGACACTCAACACTACCGCGTCGCGTTACTTTCATCGCGACACCAACCACAACAACCGTTCCCATCTATTTTTGGTTTCGCATAGGCTCAATGGACTCATGCCTATGTCTTGCGATCAATTGCTGACAGCGTGCTCTCTCGCAGATGGGTAGCCATCCGGCGTCACGAATATGAGCTCCTGGATGAACGACGCCGCTGCCGTCCACAATCACAATGGCGCGGCCTTCAACCACCTCAACGACCCCAATATGGGCGCGAACATGCTCGACCCCAGCGCGTTCATGGGCACTCCCACTGGCAACTTCGTCGACCCATCGCAGTTCCAGAATCAACAGATCCAGCGCATGCAGAATGGCGGCATGCGAAATGCGTCCCCTTCATTCAACAGCCCCGTCTATCAAACGAACCCTGTAGTACCATCAAAGCGACCGCGACCGAGGGAAGACAGCCTGGGCACGTCGCCGCGTCAGGCTCCCGGGATGCTGCCCGCGTCGCGGTCGCAAACGCCACAACAAAGCTATCCTGGCTTTAACGGAAATCCTAGGGAGGCGACACAGCATGCGCCTCAGCCAACGCCCTATGCACATCTCCAACACAACGGCTCAGCCGATGCGAGCCCATCGCCCGTGATGGGCAATCAGCTCCGACCTGGCGCTGTCCCACAGAGGGTGTCCACCGCGTCTCCTCACCCCTTCTCCCCTGCCGTGCAGCAGTTTGCGCCTTCGCCATCACACTCGGATCACACGAATCGCGTCGAAACTCCCCAGGCACAGGCGCAATACGCGCAAAATCCTGGCTTTGGCCCAGGGTATAATCAGCCGTTCACGCCGCCGCAGGGGCGGAACGCGCCTCCTCCACAACAGCAAGGGGCGATGCAAACACCCCAAATGCAGCAGATGCATCAACAGCCACAGATGCAACCTCCTCAAATGTATCAACAGCAGCCTCAACAACCACAGCAGGCTCAGGCGCAGATGGACCAACAGAATAAAATGATTTATCAGATGCAATTGCAGCAGCAGCTCAATTCGCGAGGTCTGATGAATGCGCAACAACAGGCGGCGCGGATGCAGGGTATGCCGCAGAATCCGAACGCGATGGTGAAGCCACAGATGCCTGGCGGCCCTAATGGCCAGTTTCCTCAAGGGATGCGGCCTCAACAGTCGGCTGTGCCTCGACCGAATAATCCTGAGCAGTTTATGCGGAATCTTTCGCAGTTCATGCAATCGAAGGGACAACCTCTCGACGTAAACCCGATTGTTGGTGATAGGACTATCAATCTTGTCATGCTATACATGGCTGTCACAAAGTATGGAGGATACAGAAAGGTTCACCAGCAAGGTTTGTGGCCACAGGTAGCCCAAACTCTACAGTTCAACCCGATCCAGATGCCAAGCGCGCCAGCGCAGATCAAGGGACATTACGAGAGGAATCTTATGATGTTTGAAGACGCGTTTGCCTCCCAGCAGCGCCAGAAGGCTATGATGCAGCAGAATGCGAATATGGCTGGCCATCCTCAAATGTCGCCGACGAAGCAGCTTAGCATGCAGAGTCAGATGGCTCAGCAGCAGCAGCAGCAACAACAGCAGCAACAGCAGTTTATGAACCGACAGGCTCAGCAGCAACATATGGGTCAACAGTCACCGCCTATTGGAATGCAGCAACAGGCCCTCCAGACACCCGTTAAACAGATGCCTCAACAGGGACAGCAGGTAGCTGTAAATGGCTTCTCGACACCGCAGATGCCAAACCAAGCGCAGCAAAATGCACAAGCACACGCGCGGGCAATGTCGCGGAGTAACGAGGGCACGCCGATGCAAAATGGCGCGCCCTTCGCGGTATCGTCTCCAACGCCACTGAGCAAACCTGGCAGCATGACACTTCAGTCTACTCACGAGATCCAAATCGAAGAGAAGAAGCCGAAATCGTCAGCATATGAGCCGAGGACGCGCCCGCTGACTACTTGGGGAGGTGTAAATCCTGAGGCGTTGGAGAATCTGTGCATTGATCTGGTTAATCTGAGGCCGAATGTGCCTAGTGTTCCTGAATTGGGAGTTATTGATATTCATGCACTGACGATGAGTCTACAATCTGGGATTCACTCGGAAGTGCGTTTGGCTCTGGATACGCTGGTGACTGTCTCGGTGGAGCCGAGGGTTCAGCTTGATCTGAGGGCTTGTGGAGATCTTGTTGAGAGTATTGTCGACTGTGCTGAGGAACAAGTCGAGTTGCTCGCAGAGAATGCCGCGGAGGTGTCTGATGTAATGCTAATCAGCTCATACGAAGACGTTGCTCGCGGCTGCCGACTCGAGCGAGAAGGATTACAAGACGTCCCTCTCTTCGGAACCGTGGAGTACGAACTAGACCGTTCCGTGGAGCGCCTAATCTGCATCACGACCATCCTGCGCAACCTCTCCTTCTACGAGACCAACCACCCCCTCCTCGCCGATAAACCCGTCATCACCTTCCTCTGCACCGTGGTCCGCTACCTCGGCACGCGCAACATGCTCCTCCGCACCCACTCCAACACGCTCGACCTGATGAAGGACCTCATAATCTTCTTCTCCAACCTCGCCCAAGCCGTCGAGATCCCCGGCAAAGAGCAAGCCCTCTGCCTCCTCCACTTCCTCCTCGCCTTCTCCCCCTGCCCGCCCCCCGTCAACCCGGGATCGGATAAAGTCATCTTCTCCCCCTACGACCCGGCCATCCACCGCTACCTCGCCCCCGCAGTCGATAGCTGGGCCAAGCTCCTCGCGAGGGACGAGCCGAATCGCACGTTCTATAAGAAGATCTTCGCGTCGGACGTCACGTCGTCTCCGCCGTACGAGCTCCTGACGAAATCCTTCGCCCTGGCTATCTCGCCCATCCCGGGACATAAACACGATTCGGGACGCGCGGGCATGATGGCCGTCGTCGACGCGCGGAAACCCCACTTGATGCAAGGCATGCTCGCAGCGGAGATCATCTCCGGCCTTGTTCCCGGCCCCGAAGTCCCCATCGCGCGGTCCTGGCTCACGTCTGAAGATGGGTTCGCGCAGAGCCTGTTGAGGTTGATCACGGTCCTATCGACGGAGCCGCCGTCGAGCGTGCCGCCGCCGCCGGGTGCGAGGGGTGGGCAGCAGGGCGCGGCGGCGGCGGGGAGGAGTGCGGATGATGAGGCGTTGTTGCATATTACGCTTAGTGGGATTACGGTCTTAAGAAGGTTGTATGAGAAGGCGAGGGATGTGGAGGTGGAGGGTGGGGAGGGGGGAATGGAGGGGGTGGGAAGGGGGATGAGGGGGATGGCGGAGGGGATGATT